CGCTTATGATGGTATATTGCAACTACTCTGACATTACAGAGTGACATGCACATAGTGGACAAACACAGTAGTAACGACATATGACACTAGATGTCGCTACTTTGACCAATTTTAAATATATAACAGCTACAGTAAACTTTTGGTATACTTATTCACAACAAAATAATCATTTCTATTATTACATAGAGAGTCATGGTGGCCATTTTGAACATTTACTTGCCTAACGGGTCAGTTCATTCTTGATTTTTAAATTACTTTGCTGCCAAATGTATTGATCTCCACTGATGATGATGTATTAGTTTTATTTAAGCTTTAAATCAATAAATCTTCAAAACTACTGAACTGAAGTACATTAATTTTATATCATTATAAAGGGAATTGAAAGACCTTTAAAATAAAGTATCACTCGACCCCTCTTTCCATTTAAGATTTTGGGGGTGGTGTCACCCCCGCTTTGGGGGCTGCACGTGCTAACGTGTTTTTTTGCCAAACTTGTGTCCCCCTCGAAAACAAAATCGACGGGTCTGAGCGTTTTTCAAAAAAAAAACTGAGCAGCCAGTAAATGCGTCTGTTTCGATGCGCCACCCTGTATACACTACTACTAACCTTCTGCCATCTGTCAAAGGTTTATCTTACTTATGATTCTATGCCCACCATTTTATGCAATCTTCAGGTGGTACACGATGTAACTTTTAACTTTTGTTTTAAATAATTTTAATCCCTTTTTAATTTGTTCTTGACACACAGTTGTGTGTAGTTTGTATCAATGTTGACGTTTTTACCACGTATCCAGCTTTCACCAGGTTACTGGGTGTTTCCCTCAACCTAAACGTGAATAACTTTTAGCAACATCCTCACATACTACTGTAAGTTAACTTAACATTCATTTTGCACAATTGTTGCTATTCTTCTTAATGTTATTACAGCTCCTGATGATGATGGCAAAGACCATTGAAAGCTAGAGAGATTAATAAGGTATTAAAAAGTCCTCTTTGCTTAAAATTTTTGTCGAAGTACCCAACAAAAGGCGGAAGCTTTAATTTTTCACCTAACTAGTCTAGACGACAATGACCACCTCTCAAGTTTATATATATATATAGGGTGGCCCATCCATATGTGGACGGAATATTACTCATAAACAAATACATTTTGGGAAAATCTATTTATGGGATGTTAAAATATTGGTCCCAATTTCGACCTCCATATCAAAGTTGTGATTTTTCAAATAGAATGACTTAAATTTTATTGCATATTTGGATAAACCAATTCAAAAGAAGAAAATTGATATAACATACTATGGGGTTTTGGTAATTAGCTACTGAGATAAAATGTGTTTTGCCTAGAATAAAACCCCACTTCGGCAACCCCTCAGTCCGCCATTTTGAAATTTGGAGTGCTGAATTTTGTATCAAAACAAAATTACACACCTCAGCTTTTATCTTGTTTGTTACTTTTTCGAATTTCGATTTTTGCTCATACAGGGTGGTCAAAAACGCAAATTGTATTTTTTCTCAAAAATTTCAAATGCATCAGCCTGAGTATTTGTGCAGGTTTGGATTCAATTTTTTATAAGATTTTTTTTTGATACTAGACACATAAGGGTTTTTACGGCTATTTTTTCTGTTATTAGCACGTCCCTAATACATATATCGCATCATCCTTGGAAACAAATAAATTGTTGATTAGTTACAAACTGTACTCTGGACCGTCAGGACGTCAAGGAGCTTGGACTCAAGGCGATTCTCAACTTCGTTAAAAGGGCGAGGCTTGTGATTTAAGGATTGTAGAGGTGCATAAGGGCCTGCTTAAGCAGCCTATGCACTGGGTCCTTATGGTGGCCGGAATGCCTCTAATTTCAAGATTAATTCATTCATACAAACTGTCATAATTAGCTTTGAGAGCATTATTATTAAAAACGTGTTTAAACAAATTTTCTAAAGAAGAAATGGTGAATATCAGTGGCGAAGTATTTACAGACATTTTGCGCCTAATAATATTAAACTTATCTGTAGCAGTGCCGAAGCGTCCATGTAACCATTGTTACCATTGTTAACAGTTTAAAATCTTAGAAATAAATATTTTATAACTAAGTACTGTGAAATAATTTCATTTATTTGCTTACCAACAGAGATATGTAATAGTAATTCAGTAAATATAAAATTAGCCCCACGAAAATAATGCGCCTTGTCTAGGTCTTGCGAACACGATGAAGCTGACTCGCCTCAACTTGGTTGTCGGTTGTTATCATTTTCATTTATGGATACACTTGGTAGTCTGTCGGGGACTGTCGGTACCGGCTCGTGTCTGATCGCGGTCGCTCGAGTGCGAGGGGCGCTGCTGCGACTATTATGTGGGCTTGTTACCATTTTTTGATTTGGTTACTCACTTCTCACTCGTTAGTAGCCGTTTTGGTTACCGGCTATAGTGTGCGTGCAATTAAACATGGACGAGTGTCGCTGCGTAATCGATCAACTACTTCAAAAGTCATTCTCCTTGTATAATTTTTAAGAAAAAAAAGGAGATCATTGAAGATGGAAGACCAACACCTATTTTAGATAATTTTAAAAAGGAATAAAAAAACGTAATTTGATATTTTAAATTAAGTCGGTATATGGAAACTCTTGGTTATGTGGTTGCAAAAAAACAGATTGTATTGTTGGCGATGTCACCTGTTTTATACAGAAAAAAATCGGTGGACCAGCAGCGGAGTCAACAATTTAAATAGTTTTAGGGTTCTAAAGAGGAGGCATGAAATTTCTCCTTTACATGTGAGATGTGTAGCCAATTTAATTCAGTTTGGCAAAACAAGAATCGAAAGTTGTCTTAACCAAGCTTTTAGGCAGCACACTTCTAGATACCGTATGTTTTTTGGCAAAACAGGAATTACCGTTCATTTTGAAGGGGATGACTCTGACAATAGAGGAAATTACAGGGAATTGTTAGCATTCATTGCCAGAAAAAATAAAAAATTTCACATTTCACATCTAGACACGCCGACTGTTTTTTCGGACACCTTGGATTAGTCATAGCATGAGGTATATCAAATGCCCCAGACGCTCAGTCCAGGAATGTTTACCTTAATTTAAAAATAGTTTAAATAAAATAGTAAGATAAGCAAAAAGTTATATTTTGGAGGTTCAAAATAAACTTTTTTTAATAAGATTTTTCACATCTGGTTTTGGTAACAGTTTAGGAAAAGTCACGCGTCGCCACTGGTGAATATGGTGTTCGTTTTGGGCGAGCATCTCGCATTATGTCTTGGCCTATATCTTCGCCACCTAGATCACCAGATATGACACCGATAGACTTCTTTATATGGGGCTACGTTGAGCAGAAATATGAAGGAAAGGATTAAGGATGCTTTTCTGAACATAAGGGAACACATGCTGAGGGATGTGCAACAGTCATTTATCCAAAGATTACGGCTGTGTATTCAACATAGTGGAGATATTTTCGAGCAGTTTTTGTAGATTAGGTCTTGAGTAGTGATAGTTGTTTGTTTATGTTATTGTTTTTCCCTATTACGCTTGAAGCAGAATACTGTTCTGATTCTTATTAGTTTTTACATCAAATCTGTACTCTTAGTGGCAATATGGAACTAGCCCACTGTTTGTCTTTTGTTTCCATGGATGATGTGATTTTTTCCCTTAATTTTGGTGTGTTGTTCTATTAAAAGCTTACTAACTCAAAATCTAGTGATTTTATGTGGATCAAACCTTATACCAAAATAAAGCTTATAAAAAATTGAATCCAAACTTGTACAAATATACAGAATGATACATTTTAAATTTTTGAGAAAAAGTACAATTCGCGTTTTTGACTACCCTGTATGAGCAAAAATTAAAATTCGAAAAGGTAACAAATAAGATAAAAGCTGATATGTGTAAGTTTTTTTTTTGATAAAAAATTCAACACACCAAATTTCAAAATGACGGATTGAGGTGTTGCCGAAGTGGACGGTTTTTTCTGGACAAAACACCTTACATCTCAGTAGCTAATTACTAAAACCCCATATTATGTTATATCAATCTTCTTCTTTTGAATTGCTTTATCAAAATATGCAATAAAATTTGAGGCATTCCATTTAAAAAATCACAACTTTGATATGTAGGTCAAAATTGGGACACCCTGTATAATTGCCAATACTTTAGAAATGTTCCCTCAAATGTCATGTATAGCATGCCATAAATAGTTTTTTTCAAAAATGTATTTGTTTATGAGTAATATTCCGTCCACACATGGATGGGCCACCCTGTATATGCCCGAGGATTTTAGTTTTGGAAATGGTGAGCAATACAATACAAAGTTATTTATAAAGGCAAAGTTGTGCTTAGTGGTACTTAGATAGTTAAGCAATTCAGATTATTTTTGGACAGATAGAAAATACGTATTTACGCTGAACCATTTTCATTTTCTCCTGTCTTAATTTGAGCTGAGATTTCATCATACATTTCATTAACACTGGCTTTTTTACAGAGTAACTGTTAGTATGTTAGTTGATTAGTATGCATGTGTTGGACAAATCCTCAACGGAATTTTGAACCAATTAACGTTAACCAGTTAAGCTGAAATTAAGTCAATACATAATGAATCAACTGCCGCCATTTTGAATCTAATATGGCATAATAATAATAATCTTTATTGATCATGGAAAAAATAGACAAGTATTCAACACTTAAAAAAGTCTGTTTTATTTTATTTGATTTGGAACTTGTGCTGTTATAACGTATCAAGAGTACATATTTACATATATCAAGGTAAATAGTAAGTTGTTTGATTTTTAGAGGTTTTACTGCAATAACTTGAAGATTATATCCCCGATTTTGGTATTCGAAAATTGAAAAGGTACTTTAGTGCTAAAAAATGGAGCGATTGAATAACTTGATAAAAAAATGAAAAAACAATTCTGACTTTTCCATAAATAAAAAAACCCAGAATGAGTAACTGCACAACTATAGCTTTGAGAGATGAACTCTCTTCACTTTCATGTTGTATTTCAGGAACAAAAAGATGTTGAATACGTACCTGGGTTGTATAAAATCTTTGATGAAATATTAGTGAATGCTGCTGACAACAAACAGAGAGATAAAACTATGGATTGCATCAAAATTGAAGTGAATGCTGAAGATAACGTGATATCTGTTTGGAATAATGGCAAAGGTAAAGAAAATATTTTCATTAGAATGGTTCGTACTGTGTGCCATGCTCTCTTATATAAGTGATGACTTGTATGTGAAAATGTTTTTTTCTCTTGTTTTTCTTTGCTTTTAGAGGAAATCTTAAATTACAGTTTCTGTCGACCTTTTGTACCAAATTTATATTTAAATTAATTCTCTATTACAGGCATCCCTGTCACTATACACAAAGAAGAGAAAATGTATGTTCCATCAATGATATTTGGTCATTTGCTAACCTCATCAAACTACAATGATGAGGAAGAAAAAGTGACAGGCGGTCGCAATGGTTACGGAGCAAAACTGTGCAATATATTCAGCACAAAATTCACTGTTGAAACTGCTAGCAAAGAGTACAAAAGGCAATTCAAACAGACATGGGCTAGCAATATGACCAAAACGTCTGAGCCTAAGGTGAAAGAATTTTCTGGAGAAGACTACACAAAGATTACATTCAGTCCAGATCTGACGAAGTTCAAGATGGACAAGTTGGATGATGGTATTGTTGGAATTATTTGTAGGTGAGTGAACCTAATTGGTTCAACTTCCAAAAATTAAAGAATCCAAGAAATGATAAAGGCATTGTTTAGAAATATATAAACTATGTTTCAAAGGTAGAGTAAAATACTTGAGGGCGTTATTCTTGGGTTCACTTCAATCTACCGACTTACATTTTTCGCGTAAACAATAAGAAATATTCCTCTGCATGGTCATATGGCTATAATGTGGAAATTGATACAGAATAACTAATGACATAACAGGAACATAACATTTTGTATGCAACAGCCATAAATTGGTGGTAAAGAATCAAGAGACCAAATTTGCTTTGAGACAGTAGTGAGAATTTTGAAAATAATTATTGTTGTGAGAAAAAGCAGTGATGTATGGTATTTTTCTTCAAAACCATTTTGCTAGTTCTCATCCTTTTTGGTCATTACCGACAGAAAAAATGCGGGTCCATCAGCCGAAGTTAACTTTGTGATGGAACATTTAGTGATGTGAAGAACCCCAAAAAAAAAAATATTTTTCTGAAAGTGGATTCATTCACCAGCTTATTTAACAAATGTAAACAACTCTCAGGATTGGGATCATTCACCAAGGAAGAGGATCATGCCCACTTTCTCTCAGTAATTCTACTTTCTCGTTTTCAAGAATAGGGGAACATATTATTTTGCCGAAAATGGATGCATTGTCAAACTTTTTTGATACACGTCAAGCGCTGTCAGAATTTGGATTATTCCACTGTCATATTCTACTGCACTCGAGAATTGAACCCTAGGACAAGTGTGTCTCTAATGTTTTGTATCAACTAATTTCTGACAAGGAAGTTCAATATGTTAGTTGATAGTATCATTGAACATATATATAAGAATATAACAATGAAGTCCGAATTTAAATATTTCACAGTGACAGGGATAGAAATCCAATCATGCCTAATGTACACGAAATTTAAATGTATGATTATGCACCATGTATCCTGTCGCTATCCCGTGCGCGAACTAGCATGCATATGAAAGCACTGTCCTTGTTTGATCAGATCCGATTGAGGGAGTCCTGGTCTGGACTGTTATGTAAAAAAACCTATAAAATGTCAAAAAAAGATCAATGAAGTGTCGTCTTGTAGAAAGCAAGTATATGTTTTGTGAAGCCGAGTAGTCTGTAGTTTTCATCTTTGAGAAGATGTTAAAGAAAGAAAGTTGGTTGAATGGCAAGATCGCATCTGGATGATTATGTGTATTGGTCGGCATGTGAATAAAATCTGTGATATTTGCTGTGTAAGAAAAGTATTACTAAAAATGCTGCCAATCAAGTATATCTATTAGCTGGGCCCGATGGTTATTTACATGTTGTCCTTTCTGAAGACAGGTTATTTTCAAAGTTAGAAATTACGATTTTCCTGTTTTTATTTTGTGTTTTCAAAAACTTTGAGGAACACACGCGTTGCTTGCATTTAAGCCACATCACAGAAAAAGTAGTAATGACGCATTTTCGCAATGCCTCACATGTAGGCGCTGATTTGTGTTTCCATTGACATCAAAAAATAAATTTCTATAAAATTCAAATGACTGGAAATAAAAATAATGTAATGCTTCATAAATATTCCGGTCTGTAGCATATTTTCTCACCAGTTCCTTCACCAACCAGGGATTTTCTTTTCTCATGTCTCTCATTTTTGAAATCCAGCAAACTTGCATTTGTACCAGAATGAATAAGAAAAAGTGGATGCGCAACTAATTTCTAGCTTTGAATCTCAAGTAAGTGTATTTGAGACAAGAAACCCATGGAATTATCATCTACACATATTATTAGTATAAAAATCCTCAATATGCACTGCCATTTCCTTCCAGCTATAGTATACATTTTAGACCTCCAATAATGCCATCTCTGAAGCAGATGTTTCACCACATTAGAGCGAAACGTTGATAACTGAAGCATCATGACGTTTAAGCAACACGTACAGCTACAAAACGAATGAACAACAAGTGTCCATCAGCTAGTGCTAACATCTTGTAGAAAAACCTACGATATGTTACAAACAAACCTACGTTTTGTCAAAAAAACTTACCTAATGTCACCTTTCAAAATACGCAATACCCGTTTCGGACTTATTGTGCCTTGTTCCTCCAAAGTTACAGTACCCAATCCAGAAGAATTGATGCGTTTTGTGATCCAGTGTCTCGCACTCGCATTTATTTCTGTAACCTTGTAATTGAGGTTCAATACTCAAAAAACCAAGTAATATGAAAAAAAAAATTAGAACATCTCACAAATATCCTAGAGTTGAGGTAGTTGTCCTTTTGCAGGGCGTGTCTGTTCTATATCAACACTTGCCGATAAAGTGACTCATTTATAACTTACGAATTCAATGCGCAGAGTCAACAGCTGTCAACCTGGCAGCTTAAGACTGACCGACTTGTAGTATGCACTTGCATCCTGACTTTTGATTACGATTTCATGGACCAAAATAAATCACATACTTGCTCCTTCTTCATAATCTGAAATCGTGAACGAGACTGGAGATATAAGTAAATATTCTTTGAGTAACGTTGTGATTAGTTCATCTACTGCTACACACTAGCCTGATATACGGTTTTCAAACTCTTACTAACTCCAGCATGTTATCAGTTCAGATTACAGATTTTACGATAGTACCCAAACAACTGTTTCATCAACTAGCTTTCCAGGTTACCCTCTATGTCTGACCTCAATTGCCCCACAAAACACAGATTTCACCATAGAGACGATGCCAATATTCCGCTATCAGGCCGACGATGTTTCCCTTTTTGTCTACCGCGTGCGCGGCTATCGATTCAGTTTGTCCCGCAGCGGTATTACGTATCTTGAAAAGTGATGTTAGGTCGGTTTCTTTTGACAAAACGTAGGTCTTTCTACAAGATGTTAACTTAACACTAGCTGATGGACACTTGTTGTGAATTCGTTTTGTAGTTGTACGTGTTGCCTAAACGTAATGATGCTTCAGTTATCAATGTTTGACTCTGACGTGATGTAACATATGCTTCAGAGATGGCATTATTCGAGGTCTAAGCTGTAAGTTGTATACTATTGTGCTGATAAAATGCGTTGATGATAAATCTATTGATTTTTTGTCTTAAATACACTTACTTCATTCTGGAAATTACATATGCAAATTTGATGAATTTCAAAAATGAGAGAGATAAGAAAAAAATGGTTGGTGAAGTAACAGGTGGGAAAATATGCTACAGACAGAGATATTTACTAAAGTGAAAAGGTTTGTTACATAATTTTTATTTCCAGTCATTTAAATTTTATAGAAATTTATTTTGCGGTCAATAGAAAATACAAATCAGCGCCTAGATATGAGGCGCACATTCCTAATTTTTCTGTGATGTGTCTTAATTGCACACAACGCAGGCGCGGTGGCGATATCAAAGTTTTTGAAAACACAAAAAAAAACGACAACATATGAATAACCCACAGCTAATAGATATACTTCATTGGCAGCATTTTTAGTAATAATCTTCTCACACAGCAAATATCACGGATTTTATACACATGCAGACCAATACACATAATCATCCAGATACGATCTTGCTATTAAACCAACCTTCTCAGAGATGAAAACTACAGACTACTCGGCTTCACAAAACATATGCAACCAACAATGCGTGTAGTTGAGTCATTCCTCCATAGATGGACGCTCACAGCAATCATAACGAGCAAACGCGGAATGAACTATTTGCAGCCTAAAAACCACCTAGTCTGCAAGATGACATTGTCGTTTTTTCTTTGACGTTTTTTCAGGATTTTTACATAATACCCGTGCCGCTATGCTCTTCTCGCCCACCGCCATTTAACTCGTAACTAATTTTCAGGAGAGCATTCGATGTGGCTGCATCGACAAGAGGCGTAAAAGTATTTCTAAATGGCAAAAGAGTACCAGTGAAAACATTCAAGGACTACATTGACATGTATATAAAAGGCAAGGAGGATGACTCGGGCAATAATTTGAAGGCCATTCATGAGACATGCAACGAGCGATGGGAGATCGGGCTCACAGTATCCGATAAAGGCTTCCAGCAAATGTCATTTGTCAACAGTATTGCGACTACTAAGGGTGGTAGACATGTAGATTATGTTGTTGATATGATTGTTAAGCAGCTAATTGAGGTGCTCAAAAAGAAAAATAAGGTGAGTGTTGCGTATGTAATAAATCAATTTTACTTCGTTGTGCGGTGACTAGAGATGGTCCATATCGTTATTTTTGAATGTCTGTGATATGATATCTTTACTTTTTGATATCACTGATTTAAAATCGTGATGTTATCACCACTTTCTAATAACGATGAGAGTATGGGTATACTAATATCCTGAGACAAATACAGTGTTTTTAGTGCAACAAAAATAACGAATCGGTAAACCTTCCAGTACGTTATTTTTGACAGCAACGGCAAATAACGAATGTCGACGAAAAAAGAGTTTTAAGACCACTAACGTGAACAATAGTAATTTAGCAGTATTGACAAAATTTTTCCATACAAAAGTTTTGGTAATATTTGTATCCAAACCGGACCAGTAATGGATAGTTTTAGAATCACACAAGAACAGAAGGACAACTGACCACAAAATCAACAGAACTACAATAAAAGGCTACCTTGCCACATTGCATACATAAGAACAATTCAATTTATTTAGAACACTTCTTATGCAGTTACTTTTGTCTGTGATGTCAAACTAATATTTCTATTATATTTCAACCAATATATTTGTATAACATGAAATCATTTTAATCTATCTTATCCAGCTTTGCAAATTCAGGCAACAGTGCTGAATAAGGAAAATGTAACCTTACGAAAGAAGTATTATCTGTAATTATCCAAGCTTTCCTCTCGCTACTGCGCAAAAAAGGAATCAGGAAGGTCATAATGAAGCAGCAAAACAAGAGAAGGCTCTAAAAACTAACACCGCGATCAAATCGCATAGACCATACTACTACAAGCATATAATAGTCTAAGCAATTAGACAAAAATACCCCTGGTTTGCGAAATAATTGTAAAGTCTGGTTTTATTGATGCAAGTTGTACAAGGGGATATTTAAAACATGGACGCTTAAAATGGGTACACCAATTTTTGTGGGAAAACTTTTATTCGACAACAAAAAATGAGAAAACTTGTTCTTTGGTATTCAATTGAAAGTGTTGGCAGGAACGAAAAAACTCTTTGGATAAGGTTTTTAGGTATTTATGACACATACAGAACGAGACCACACGTAAAAAGATCCGACTAAGAGTAAAAAAGTTATGGCCGAAAACCGAGGCAAAATGCAGGTTGCTGATGCGACGATAATTTTCGCAGCTATTTGAAATTCTTCAAATCCGTAGGCTTCATACTTTCAATAACCACAACAAAATTGGAGTCGATTGGTCAAGTAGTTTTTGAGAATTTCTAATTGTTCAACACAAAACACCTGTCTTACGGTCATGACTACTAGTTTACTGAGCAATACACAGGGTTGGTTCAAAGGGGATTTTATAACAAAATACACGAGTTTACCTTGCTTACCCTTTACCTTTTCAGCTCTAAATATGTATACACACAAATCTTGAAAACATATTTTTCTTCGCAACAAAATGTGACAGACACATCCGCTTTGTTTTAAAATATGTATAATAACGTATGTTTTTCGAATATCGTAGCGAATTTGTTCACTCACAAATACGATATGCTTGAATTTGTTTAGGAGAAAAAAACGAAACCGTTCGTTTTTCGCATGAAAATAACAATTATCTTTCCGAATGGATTCATGTTGGCAATGTAAACTCGCATATTTTGCTATAAAATGCCCTTCGAACGAACCCTGTATATTGCTCACTAAACTAGTAGTGATGGCCGGAAGACAGGTGATTCAGGATAAACAATTAGAAATTCTCAAAAACTACTTGACCAATCGACTCCGATTTTGTTGTCGCTATGTAGAAGTATGAATATTACCCATTTGAAGAATTTCAAGTACCTGTGTGAAATTATCATAGCATTACCCACAAGTGCCAAAACCTGCATTTTGCCTCGGTTTTCGGCCATAACGTTTTTGCTATTAGTCGGATCTTTTTACATGTGTTCTCATTTTGTAGGTCTCATAAATACCTAAACTAAAAATCTTATTTGAAGGGTTTTTTTCGTTCCAGCCAACACTTTCAATTGAATCCCAAAAAAACACGTTTTCTCATTATTTGTTGTCGAATAAAAAGTTTTCCTACATAGATTGGTGTACCCATTTTATGCGTGCATATTTTAAATACCCCCTTGAACAACTTGCATCAATAAAACCAGACTTTACAATTATTTTGGGGAAATTAGCTAATATGATTACGATATCACTTGCAGGCCATAGTAGTTTTATGGTGGTATACGGTTCTTGACCTTAGCAGATAGCCCACATGCGCATCCCATACACATTCAAATGTCGTGATGCCATGATACCATTCTGCATTGTCGTTGCCGACTTTGCTGACACCCTCAATTGGGTTTTGCTCGATACAGAATTTTATTAGTAAAACCTCAGTGTATTTAATATCTTTTATGCTTTCTTCTAGGGAGGAATAAACATAAAACCTTTCCAAGTAAAGAACCACATGTGGGTATTCATAAATTGTCTGATCGTCAACCCAACATTTGACTCGCAAACTAAAGAAAACATGACCTTGCAAATGAAAAGTTTTGGGTCCAAATGTACTCTGAGTGAAAAGTTCATCAACCAAGTAACAAAAAGCGGTATAGTAGAATCTGTATTAAGCTGGGCGAAGTTCAAAGCTCAGAATTTATTGGAGAAGAAAGGTGGCAAGAAACAAGTCAAGCTAAAGGGTGAGTTCGTCAGTTGCAATACTCTGTTCAAGTATTATTTGTGGGTTCCAGATTCGGTGTAATATTTACTCAATTCAATTATTTTAGTATAGGGGCGTATAGGAGAATGGTATCCAAATATGGATCAATCCAAATTAGGGTATATAGGGTCGAATAACCTTAGACAAATTTTTGATGGCTCTGAGTTTCCTAAAAATCTCTAAGGACTGATGTGGTAGTAACCTAGTGTCAAAATTTGATGAAAATGAGGGTTTTCTGTGGTTTTGTGATGTAACCCCTTGAATTATTGTAAACTTCTTTCAGGTATTCCAAAATTGGAAGATGCAAATGAAGCTGGAGGCAAAAACGCACTTAAATGTACATTGATTCTCACTGAGGGTGACTCAGCCAAAAGTACAGTAGTATCGGGCTTGGGTGTTGTCGGTAGAGATTACTATGGTATATTCCCATTGAAGGGTAAAATCCTGAACGTACGAGAAGCTACGCACAAACAGATTTTGGAGAATCAGGAAATTAATAATATTATCAAGATTCTTGGGCTGCAGTACAAAAAGAAATACAATTCTCAAGGTGAGTAACACTTTGATTTCTATAATTGAAAAGCATTATTAAAGATGTTGCGAGTTAGTAGTCAGGAAAATGTCAGAAAAAATTATCAGTTATTTTTTAGCGTCGTTTTCTGTCTCGTGACAAACGTTCATTTGCGCTTATTTTATTAACGTAGTTAAAAACATAAAATGATATGCAAAACATGTCGCGTTAAGTAACAACGTCTCAGATCCACAAAAATGAGGTTTTTTGGAATATATGTTCCATAAAACCGTACAGGTTAGTCTGAATTTCAGTAGTTGTTCCATGTCACGCGCTGTCTATACAAAAGTTAGATTTTTGTTGTTTATTCATGAATTTTGCTTATGAGCTATGATATACCGAGTGATGGAAAACGAGCATGGGCATTTAATTTTCAAAATAAAAGTCAATACTCTTTCGATTTTTGGAGTGTATTTATATCAGGCTTTCCGTAATCTACTTTTCGTCTTATATGAACCATAAATAAATATGTATTAACTTATTGATCCTCATTTTGGAAACCACATCACTTCATTTTTCAACAAAGTACTGATCAAATCTTCCAAAGAGCACAAAGCCCAGAAATGCTTTCAGTTTTTTACAACATCATATACCCGTTTTATAGGGGTTTATTTCTGCTTTAGTAGAAGTGTTATCTGAATATACATAAGAAAATATGTGGTGGTCCCTGAAAAAAGCTAGTTTTTTGTGTCATAGAATTGTGCAACACCCTGTAGATTTCCAATTAATTTAAAGATACACACCTGTAATATTTTAACCTTGCTACGTAAATCGTTTTCGAATCTCTTTTATAGTTTTTCTCTGAAACTACTCTCCATTTTTGTTTGGACGCCCCATATACGTTATATTCATGTATTCACGTGATTTTGATAAAAGCCCTGTCGTACAGCTGTCGCCAACCTGCCAGTGATCGTGTCCAAGATCCCACAAATCCCTTTCATTCTGCTCCGCTATATAGACGGAATGTATACGGCCGGATCCCAAACACAGTCACCAACCACTGTACGAACAAACCTATTGATAAGTCTACAATAAAATGGTGAGTGTCTGCTTACCTACAGTGGCTATGGCACCAAACTTTTTTTAACACCCTGTATCTTCAACAGAAATCATGTCTGGGCCTTTCGCCAATTGGAATATGTGATCATGACAAGAGCTATTACTACACGAATTTTCATTAAAATTGACTGGTGGTCAAATTCCATATATGTATTTTGTGCCTGGTACTTTCTCGGTCCAATATCGGAAACGTTCCTACTTAGTGAGATTTTTTTTGCATTTTTTACGCCTTTTGGTGAACCCAATTAGGGAAATATAATTCATCGCCGGATAAAGAAACAACGCCAAAATGACCCATTGCCGTTTAGTCATCTGTCGAGGTATGAGAGGCAATCGTTCTATTAATATTTATCTTTTAATATTCGCCAATAGTTTTGTATCGCTGATCTGTTTTTTCATTATTAGTTTGTATTGAGGTCTGATAAAAAACACGCATTAATTTCGTACCTAATAATTCGCAGATGATCTGAAGTCCTTGCGATATGGCAAAGTGATGATCATGACAGATCAGGATCAAGATGGATCACATATCAAGGGTTTGTTCATCAACTTCATACATCACAACTGGCCCGAGCTGTTGAAGCAGAATTTCATCGAACAATTTATCACGCCCATCGTGAAAGCACGGAAGAAGAATGAATGTATTTCATTCTATTCTCTACCAGAATTCGAGGAGTGGAAAGCATCAACCCCTAATCAACATACGTATTCTATCAAATACTACAAAGGTTTGTATTGCTTACAATATTTATTGTACATTTAACTAAATGGGTGCCACATTTATGATAGATTAGTCGCCACTTGAGTGTTGAGTTTTAATACCAGGAATGGAACCTTTAATTCTCATAATAAACATATTTGGTCGTTAGAAAATCTCAGTTCTGTAAGAATCCACTCGTTTCAACACAGATTTTCTAGATATGTCTGGTGCGGCATTTTCAATGGCCAACTTTTATGCACGTATTGCTATAGCTTCTCTAGACAATTATTACATAGAAAATGTTTTAGATGATGTTCCGTTGGCAACCAGAGTACGAATGTGGTATCATCACGACGGTGCCCCACCGCATGTTCGTCGTGACATAACCGCATGGTTAAATAATCATTTTAGACAACGATGGATTGACAAAAACGGACCCGTATATTGGCCTTGATTTGAACCCCCTGGATTTCTTTTTGCGGAGCACTTTTAAACAACTAATGTATGCTGAACAAATTAATACTGTTGATCAGTTACAAGAAAGAATAGATATTGCGTTTCATCAAATTCAAGCCACAACAAATTTTTCGGAAATATATTTTTCTTAATTAAAAAATTGCCGCACTTGTATCCGTCAGAATGGTGGTCCTTTTGAACATATATTGAAATGAAGCTTTGATAATCTAATTTTTTTTATGTTTACGAAAACAATGCACTCTAGGAAAAAAACACAAGAGTAATTATTTGTAGGAAATTGAAGGTAACATTTGGAAAATTGCAAATTTCGAGAAAAAACAGTGGCGTACTATTTTTTATTTGGAAAAATAGTGCCACTAATTCCCTGTATCTCCGCCACGGGTGCACGTTAATTTCAAGTAAAGACTTTTGAATTTGTTTAATGCTTAGGTAAATCCACATACCAAATTTTAGTTCGTTCGATTTGACGGTTTTGAATATATATAATTATTTGTAGCAAATTGAAGGTAACATTCGGAAAATTGCTCATTTCGAAAAAAAAAACAGTGGCGTACTATTTTTTATTTGGAAGACTTTTGAATGTGGATAATACTTAGGTAAATCCATATACCAAATTTTAGTTCGTTCCATTTGACGGTTTTGAATATTATATATAACAGAAAATAGTATGATGATGGGCAAAATCCACAAAAAGAAGGAAAGTGAATTCGAGCAAATATAGCAAAATAGCACAGGTAACCCGAGCGATACGTATTTCTGCTAGTTGGCTTCATTAGGCCCGAAATGAATGTACATATAATAATAATAATGCCTTTATTAGCTGCAGTGAGGCGAAGTTTACCCAGACGGCTACTCTTACACTCAACCCCACAACATACAAAAAAAAAGGATACTTAAACACATAAACAAAATAATAACATACAAAAAAAATACAGTTCATAAGTATGACAACATTGACTGCACGAGACAAATGCAGATAGTATTGTGAGAGTTTTAAATTTTAAACAAAAATAGTAGAAAGTAGTAAAAAAAGCACATGAACACAAGAAAAACTGAACTAAATGGACTCCAGCAGCTGACTTTTCATTGATTTCTTAAAAGAAGCAACCTGTTTGGATCGATAGCCACTGTTGACTACATTGTAATGCTTGACAGCATTATAGGTGTAACCTCTTTCAAAGACTGAGGTATTGTGAGGAGGCATGTTAAAATTAGCATTAAATCTAAGAGCTCTGGTAACAAAACTACCTCGTGGAACTAATTTGCTATCAAGGTAAGCTGGTCTGTTAGATAATAGAACTTTATGGGTGAAGACGGTCAAAAGATATAAAAATAAATTATCAATTCGCAACCAGTTGAGTTTTTTGATTTTATCTGAGACGCGACTAAACTTGCGCAATCCAAAAATAAACCTACAACAGCTGTTCTGAATTGACTGGAGTTTCTTTTTGTGAATGTAGTCGAAACATGGGTAATAAAGAACAAGAGAGTAAGAAATGACAGACAACACAAGACTTTCGGCGAGCTTTTTTCGAGTTTTAAAATTCAGGATGAATCGATTAGAATAGAGGAGTTTCAAACGCATATACGATACTCTAGATAAGAAAGAGACATGCCGATCGAATCTCATATTTAAGTCAAGGGTAACACCGAGATTCTTGGCGTAATCCACAAAAGGGATGAGTGTCTCATCCAAAACAACACAAATCCTCTCCTTCATTTCACGGTAGTTTTTCGAACAGTACAACATTGCAGTAGTTTTATTAGGATTGATCTTCAAGCAGTGTTTGTTACAGTAATCACTGATGTTAGCCAAATCTAAATTAACTTTAAAAGAAATCTCATCAACCTTTGATGGATTGAAACCAAACACTAACTGAGTATCATCAGCATAAGTTTGCTTACAACAGTGGACTAAACAGTCTTGCAGATCCATCGAATAAATCAGATATAGTAAGGGACCTGAACCCTGTGGAACTCCTGAAGGAACTGGCTTAGTGGAGGAAATTTCCTGATCAGTTTTCGCTGTTTGTTGACGATTTAGCAAGTATGACTCAAAGAACCTTAGAACTATATCTGACATTCCATAATGAGATAACTTACTCATTAGTATCTGGTGATTGACCATGTCAAAGGCTTTCGAGAAATCTAACAGTACCAAGACGGTGTTGATGTGAGTATCTAAATTGTGAATGATGGAATCAGTAAGATGTAATAAAGACGAAGTAGTGCTGTAACCAGCTCTGAAATCTGACTGATGTAGATGAAATAAGTGATTTTGTTCGAAAAACTCCACTAGTTGTGAGTAGACAGCTCTTTCGAGTATTTTTGATAGAAAGCATAATAAGGTAATTGGCCTAAGATCCCAATATTGTTCTGGATGATTAGTTTTAGCTATTGGAATAATAATACCATTTTTCCAACTGGCAGGAAAGTAACCTGTTTCAAGACAGACATTAATAATGTGAGTTATATGGTCTATGGTATCAGGCAAACATAAGCAAACCATATTTAAAGTTAGACCACAGAGCCACATGCCGTAAACTTAATGTGAGAGATTATATTGACGATGTCTTGCTGAGTAAGGAGTTCAATCAAATTTGGATCAGCTGCAACTGTCCGGAAAATTGAAAGAAAATAATTGTTTAAAATGTTAGGCTCAAGGAGACCGGGAGGTATCGCAACATGTTTCTGGGCTACCACATTCATCCTCCTCAGGTGTTTCCAAGCTTGACTAGAGTTAAGATTCCCGAAACGTGACATATATGCTTTTTTCTCTCTTCTAAGCGATGCAAGGGCATAATTTCTCAAATCTTTGTAACTGGCCCAATTCAGATCAGATCTGTTATGCTGATAGACAGCAAATGCCTCGTCTCTGAGTTGAAAAATCATTTTCAAGTTAGGAGTGAACCAGGGCCCACACGTTGTATACGTATAAAATGGCTAAAAGACCTCGAATTCAAGGCGACTTCTAACCACAACCACGCGGCTGGTTATAGCCACTTGCTGTGGTACTTAAAGCCGAAAGGATCTGCAAAAAGAAAATGATCATGCGGAGAAAGATATATAACAAAAAATAGGAAAATAATGGTCAAAATCCGCAAAAAGAAGGAAAGTGGATTCGAGCAGAAAATAGGATAGGTAACCCGAGCGATACGTATTTCTGCTGGTTGGCGCAAAATGAATGCACATATGCAACTACAAAGTAGATACACATACCCATACATCTGGACTGAGCAACCGAAGATGGAGCGGGAAAAAATCACATACGAAGTCCAGAACAAGAGCCAACCTACACATTTGTTAAGTCATATTGCAAAACTTTTATAGTGCCCTTTGTATAAATATATGAGACAATGAAGATTAATGTTTTGGCATTAGTGGTGTGCTAATGTAGTGGTACATTGCGTCGAGTATTGCCAATTTTGGCGTCAGACCTGTTTTTAAAAATTTTGCATTTTTTATTTATTGGGTTTTTGCTGTTTCAATTTGGAATTAGAAATACTTAAATAATCTCGCTTCTTTCCTTCCACAGGTTTGGGTACCTCGGACAGAGCCGAAGGCAGAGAGTACTTCGCAAACATCGATCGGCACAGGATCAGGTTCAAGTATACCGGCCAATCGGACGACGACCACATCATGTTAGCTTTCAGTAAAAAGTACGTCGAACACAGAAAGGAGTGGTTGACGAACTTCATGGTCGAATCCAGAAGACGGAAGGAGATCGGCCTTCCCGAGAAGTATCTGTATGAGAAGGATACTAGAGTGGTGACATACACGGATTTCATCAATCAAGAGTTGATCTTGTTCTCGAATATGGATAATGTCCGTTCGATACCAAGTATGGTGGATGGATTTAAGCCTGGGCAGAGGAAAGTAAGTACTTGTTAGGTTGGATTAATATGACTGAATGTGAATATTTAAGGTGATTTTTGAGTCGATTTTGAGAAGAAAACTTTATATGAATGTATGTCCTAAACGTCTTAACTGAGGTACAGGCTGACAAAGTTTTCAAAAATAAATCATTTGGCACGCTACTGATTAGATATGTATTCATTTTTGAACAGATTTAACTTTTTTGGCTGAAGCACGGTTTTCACAAAAAAAAATGTATTTGTCTGCTTGGTGATATTGTCATATGAACTATATTGTTATGATCATGCGGAGAAATGGCTTTAATTTTTTTAACCGACGACCATACATCAGATTGAAGCGATCAAATTTGCTTAGAAATGATTGGGGATTTCAATAATTATTTTTGTTTCCAGAAAAATCAGTGGCGTATCATCAATATCCACCAAAACAGTTCCGTACGAACGTCACTGATGGAAATTAAAAAAAAAATGTACATTAAATAATGCCTCTCATACCTTGTACATAAAGGGTGTCTCAACAAGAGCGCCGGATTTGAATTTGCCCCCATTTTTTTGTACAAATGGTATGGTGTTTACTTGATGACAGCTGTCATGTCCAGACCACGCGATTATACGTCATGGAGCAGTATTCAAACGAGCAACGTTGAATTAATGTGAAAACTCACCACAAAAATGGAGAAAATTACGCGGAAAAGGTTTGCAAATTACGTACAATTTTCGGTCGCAATAATGCGCCAAATGAGTCGACAGTTCGCCGTTTAATAACAAAATTTGAGACGAAATTCACTTAGCTGAATGTGAAGACCACTGTTCGTCGCCGTCCTGGTCGGTCCCTCGAAAATATAGTCGCAGTGCGGGAAAGTGTGGCCGAGAATCCAGGCGCTTCCATTCGGCATCGTGACCAAAAATTGAACCTTACCAGACCCACCCTGCAACGAATTTTGACAAAACATATTGTTTGTTTTTGTGGTCCCAGTTGGATCGAATTGATGGCGGGGATATGTTCTTCCAACAAGACGGTGCGACCTGCCACACAGCACGCGAAGCAATGGTGTTACTGCGGACCAATTTCCCAGACCGTATCGGTTGAGCGATCAAAATTGGCCACCAAGATCGTGCGATCTAACGCCAATGGACTTCTTCATGTGGGGCTATGTGAAGGAAAAGTGTATGCAAATAAGCCACAAACAGTTGAATGCCTTAAAGAAGAGATACGGCGCGTTATCGACGAAATGAGCCACAGTTGTGCGAAAACGTTATCCAGAATTTTAAGAAAAGATTGACCATGTGCCAGAGACATGGTGGCCATTTACCGGATGTCCTATTTCATGTTTAATCGCATATATTCCTGTTCATGTTTGAAAATAAATACTCGCTTAATTCGAAAAGAAATTGTGTTTTTCTTGAAAATCAAATCCGGCGCTCTTATTGGGACCCCCCTTATATGCCAGATTTCATTAAAATATCTAAAGTGATATTACAGATATTGACATTTAATGAGTTATTTTTAAAATGTTTACCATACGTAGTCATGCCATAAGTTCTGTCCCTCGTTTTCAAACAAGTGTAGACCTGTTAATACTTGTCCGATTGTTTACATTGTGGTGTCAGTTGATTAAGCGCTTTTCGGGTAATTACATATACCTCAGTTTGTATTGATCTCTCGAAGCATAACGATGGAGTGGGGCAAGGCAGAGAACCGTATTGCAGTGATAGCTTTACATAAGTGTAATCACAGTGCTAGTCAGATTTTTGAACTCTTACGCGGCCTTCAAATATCGCGTAAATTTGTGTCTAGGACCATTCAGCGGTACAATGAGACGTCCTCTGTTGATGACAGGCCAAGAAGCGGAAGACCTCGTCAAGTAAGGACTCCAGCAGCCATCAAAGCCGTAAAAGCCAGGATTCAAAGGAATCCACTCCGGAAGCAGAAGATCCTATCCAGGGAAATGAAGATTCCTGTCCGGACGATGTCGCGCATCATTAAACAAGACCTAGGGCTAGGGGCTTACCGGAGACGTACGGGCCAGCGACTTACGGCCACCTTGCGACACATCAGGGCGACAAGATCCAAGAAGCTCTTGGAGAGGTACGCAGCTGCGGGATTCCGAAAGATTTTGTTCACGGATGAGAAAATCTTCACCATAGAAGAAAAATTCAACCGACAAAATGACAAAGTGTATGCAAGGAGTTCACAGGAAGCTTCGGAGATCATTCCGAGAGTTGAGAGAGGCCACCACCCTGCGTCAGTCATGGTTTGGTGGGGGGTGTCCTACGAAGGGGTCACTCAGCTCCATTTCTGTAAATAGGGCGTGAAAACAAAAGCGGCAAACTATCAGAGCGACATACTGGATCCTATCGTCAAGCCTTTAAGTGGTAAATTGTTTGCCAACCAACACTGGGTCTACCAGCAGGATTCCGCCCCCGCTCACAAGGCTAAGAGTACGCAGCGCTGGCTGGAAAGCAATGTGCCAGAGTTCATTGCTGCGGAAGATTGGCCCCCAGGGAGTCCGGACCTCAATCCTTTAGACTACAAGTTGTGGGACCTGCTAGAGCAGTTGGCCTGCTCCAAAGCCCACCGTAATATCGAGTCCCTGAAAGCGGATTTGATCCGATCAGCGGCAGCTATTCCTTTGGAAGCTGTGCGTGCAGTGATAGATGAGTGGCCCGCGAGATTGAAGCAGTGTGTGAAGGCCAAGGGGGGACATTTTGAATAAAACTGTTTGATTATGAATTCTAAAAATGTTGTCGAATAAATAATATCTTTCATATAAATATATCTTATCTTGTTTCATTTTTATCATGAGATTATCATGGGACAGAACTTATGGCACGACTACGTATATCTCAATAGTTGAGACGTTTATTACGTACGTCCATATGAAGTTTTCGTCTTGAAATGAACTCAAAATATAAATATTGAGATTCAATTAGCCTGTTGATCGTCGTCATTAGCTGCCAGCGTTGAAATCTCCCGGGTGTTGTCGCAGATTATCAGATTTACTTTTTAGTCGTTGAGTTATTTTGAGAAAACGAAATCTTAAGAATAATTACGATGGAATTTGAGGGGCGATATTGGATGGTTGATGTCATCTCCAAGAATAAACAAGTGTAAAATTGAATGTAAGTCGACCATGGAAAATCTTCTGGTTAGAGCTTTGCACTTTTGAGCTCGGTTGAGGTCAGTTAGCGAAAAGGTCGAGGGAGATCCGTAAAGAGTTGAAAATCGGAAAAATAGCGTCGTTGGGTCACCACCACGTGGTGATTACTATGTGCCTCGCTCCTGACTGACATGTAGTGAAAATCAAACTTATTTGATGTCAAGCGTAAGCTACGTGGACTTGCCTCTCTCTCTCTCGATGTCGTCAGAGGCAAACACATCTCGATCAGACGGAAGTAATTCCAGGAATGTATCAGGCTAGCGTGTCACGCTCCGTGAAAATTAGCTTTACATGGACAAGGTGTTGGCGATGCGCTGCTTTTATGGCCGATGTTCATGGAGCTATGGTTCGACATCATGACGGATGCGTTATCTCTCGATTCACAATTATTCCCTCTAGCCAAATTTGACGCAATCGACCAAGAATCGTCCATTTATATACTCAGTGACATTAGAAGTGTTACACCCAGAAAAAATAATGTCTTCAACATAATGACTAATACTCGTATTTAGAGCATGCTGTAGCAACAATGTTAACTTTTTATCTTTGTTTTTGTTTACCTTTGTTGAAATGTTATCTCTTAGTTTTTGTGGAGAAAGCAGAGTTGAGTAGTACAGGTATTTTTAGCTATTGCCCTTTCATTTACTAGTGTTAAACATAACCAAATGCCTCGAGTTTGAAGACGTCCAAATTATCACCATGCTAGAGACTTTAACAGGGGTAGAATTATTGCCTATCGAGATGTTATTGAGTACCTAAAAATGATGTAACATAAAGCCGTTTGAGATGCTAGTCAGCGACAGTGGCAGCATTGTCCAACTTTATTCCCGTTCTGCGACGCTTGTGTGGTCGGAGGTAAAAAGTAAAAGTAAGAAAAAGACAGTTGATGGAAAGGTGAACTATTTTCATTACGTTTTGACGTCTTTTGACGTGAACAGCTGATCAGCACGTAACATTTCTTTATTAAATAAATATGTGGCGTTGGCTGTGCTGGCTGGTAAAGCTCAGAGCCGTATTCAGAACTATTTACAACAAAAACTAATGAAAGCGTCATCTACTTCTACCTTTCATTGTCCTTCCGCAGTGGCGTATCCAGAAAATAGGGCTTAAGAGGAGATCCAACTTTTGAGTGAGGGGAATCACTTAGTCACATTGTATTATTTAAGGAAAAACGTATAAGGCCGTGGGGTTCTGGAGGGGCATTAGCCCCAAAGCCTCCCCTAAATCCGCCGGTGGTACTTCATGTAAGTTGCACTACAGAACAGGCAAACATTAACGCGAAGCGAAGCGTAAAATGTCACACCGGAATAGCTCAGCCGAAGGTTTACGCTATTCTATATTGTTCGTGTAATGCGGATGGCCAAAAATTTTCTGAAATCTCCCTTATTTAAGCTGTTTATTTTAGTTTCCGGAAAAAAACATCTATAATGTATTTTAGGTATTGTACGTCTGCTTGAAACGTAATGACAAAAGAGAAATGAAGGTCGGCCAGCTGGTAGGTTCTGTTATGGAAAAGGCGGCTTACCATCATGGTGAAATGTCATTATCCATGACTATTATTAACATGGCGCAGAACTTCGTGGGAAGCAATAACATTAATCTTCTGGAACCTAAAGGTAAATGGTTAGATATACATAGTATACAATGCTTTTCTTTAATTTTTTGAACAGGTCAAGTCTGCAAGTTGAAATTCAGCATGATAAAATGTTCGCATGAATATATTTTCGCGTCAAAGTGACAGTCAAAATTTCAGGATGGCTCCAATCTGACTTTTTCAAATAGATTGTAAATCATATGGTTGATTTTATATCCCTAAAAAACAAAATTGTGTATTTTGAAAAATTCGAGAGTTTTTACTGGCTTTTCTCCAACTTGACCAGATTTGTTAGTATTTTGGTTTGCGGGACAAATCTTGGAACTGAATTTTGAACAAGTTAGCTTTACCTTATTAAGCTAAAATTTTATACACACGTTTTGTTCGCGTGACAGTACAAAATGAATTAACTGACCATTTTGAATCCAATATGGCTTCTTGAAAATGGCGAATCACCATTTTCTGATATTGGTATCAAATGAAGAGCTTGATGACAGAAACAGATCAAGCAGAGTGGCGTCATGCTAAAGCCGCAAAATGGCGATTTACTTTTTTCATAGTCATCCCCATGATATGGGAAGGGCTTGAGCGAATCGCAATCAGCAAATAATGTCATTCTAAATGTCACATGACGATCGCCGAAGAATATCGATTTATCGGGATTTATATCAGTCGAAATTTTATAATACAAATCAAATAAGTTTTATGAGATATACAGTAGCGGACAAAAGTTTGGAAAGATTCTTAGTAATTTTTAAAAAGTGTGCTAATTTTTTGTTCTTCATTATTAAGGATTTTTTTCTCATATAGTTTGCTTACAGTCTTGAGGATACAAATGACAATTTGTGTTTGCTGTGATACTCCAGACTACCATTAAAATACCTTCATATTATTTTATGATCGAAAATGAGACGACAAAAGCGTGGAAAGATATTTTTTTATAACAAAATTAAATACAATAACTCTACAAAAAGTAATCTTTGGTAGGATAGCCTTTAGCATTCAACACTGCCTGACATCTGCTGCTCATAGAAGACACTAATTTTTTACAGACGTCTGGTGGGATATTTTGCCAAATATTTTTTACATAATGAAATAAATCGTTAATATTTTTTAAAGTTTTTCTTTTCCGTTGACTTAGCATGCTCCCAGAGTTGTTCTACGTATATGGTTTAGGTCCGGGGATTGCGAAGGCCATGTAAGAAAATTCTTTTTTTTTTAGTCTTAACCAGTCCTTTACGAATTTTGAGGTATGCTTCTGGTCATTATCTTGAGGAATGTCCATCTTAAAGGCATTTCTTCTTCAGCAAAAGGGAGCATGTGTTCAATAAGAATATCTTTGTAAAGTTATTGATCATTTTTCCCAACAATTTTAACAATTGGACCCGATCCAGAACTAGAAAAACAGCTAGCCCCAAACCATGATGTTGCCTCCTCCGTGCTTAACTGTTGTCAAGTGATACTTTTTGTCGAATCTTTTTCATATTGGGCGTCTCACATATGCCGTACCGCCAGATCCAGACAAGTTAAATTTGCTTTCATCGTTCGACAAAACTGTATTCCATTGTTGTTCTGTCCAATTTAGATGAGTTTTAGCAAATTCAAGGCGAGCAATACGATTTTTTATTTTGTGAAATGAGAGGCTTTTGCACTGGACGCCTACCAAAAAGCCCAAAATCCACCAATCGTCTCTGCATTGTTGTGACAGAAAGATTCTCGGCACTCTCTTCTACGATTCTTTTGAAAATATGTGTAGCTGGCATTCGAGGATTTTCATGGGACAAACGTTTAATGTAGCGATCCAAAACATAATCGGTTTTTTTTTCGGTCTTCCGCACTGGGCCGCGTTGCTGTTGATCCGTTTTCTTGATATTTACGAATAATTTTCGTAATCGACCCTTTGTTTATTTTTAATCTTTGAGAAATGTCAACATTTATGACACCACTTCTAAATAATTCAACTACTTTGTCTCTTAACTCTATTGAAAACTCTTTTACTTTTGCCAATCTCACTGATGTTAATATTTATCGCACGCAATATCAGAGCATCGCAGAACGAATAAATACGGCAAAACTGAAATGTTTTCATACTTTTGTCGTTTCAAAAACTGGTATTTTAAAAAACGCGTGTTTTATTTTCAGAGAATTTGAATATTGATAAGATACACCTTGTATTAGTACTGGAGCCAAGGGTAGACTTTAATATTTATATTATCTGTTCCTTGACAATTTTAATTTAGGTTTATAGGTATAGGTTCATAATAATGATATTTGTTTCCAATCTTTAGTCCGCTACCATATGAAGATTTTATAGAAATTACCTAACTAGCTATGTGACATCATAAATACTGAAAAGTAAAAAAAAATGAAATAAAAAAATACAATTTTTAAAACAAGCGTTTATTTAGCTGTATTAATTAAGTGAACTAAAAATTATAAAATATTTTTTTCCGATTGGAAATATTTAAACAATAAAGCTTTCAAATAAAAGCACGTTTTGACACGCTTTTGTTTGAAAACTTGAGATGAACGAGCTTAATTATCTATTGAATATTTCCAATCGGAAAAGATATTTTTAAATTTTTACTTCATTTAATCAACGGCTAAATAAAAGTTTGTTTTTTAAAATATATTTTTGTGTTTTATGTGTTATGTCAATTTCTTCGTTCAACCTGGAAAAAATGTGGAAGTTACCAAAATTAGACCACATAGAATTTGCAGCTAATATTGTTATTATTCCAGGTCAATTCGGCACAAGGTTAGTCGGTGGTAAAGACTCTGCCAGTCCGAGGTACATCTTCACCAAACTGTCACCTTTGACGCGTCTGATATTTCATCAACACGACGATCCCCTCCTAAAATACGAATATGACGATAACCTAAAAATCGAACCCTTCTGGTTCTGTCCTATCATCCCTATGCTGTTGGTAAATGGTGCTGAAGGTATTGGAACTGGTTGGATGACTAAGATACCAAACTACAACCCCAGGGAACTCGTTAGTAACCTTAGGAAGTTGATAGAGGACGAGGAACCGAAAGAGCTCATTCCTTGGTACAAGAATTTTAAAGGTGAGCATTTTTATTCCTTGCTTTTACTTAATAGAAAATACAGCTCAGATAACAGCAACCATTCTTTTCAAACACAAGCTTCGTACTATATAGGAACATTGATTGACATATTCTTCAAGAAGATGTCCAAACCTAAGCTATATTTACCCTTTCATATCCAATATCCATAGTTACAGTAATGGTGCCAAGTAGGAATCCAGTAATTCCATTAGAATTGAAGCCTTTGGCGCAAAAAGGTGTTATCTCAGATTTTATAGTTTAAAGTTTAAATCCTGACATTTTTTATTGAATAGTGTTAGGGCTGCTTTCATTATTGAAGGTTATTTTAGACACATATAAAAGTATCTCGAATATACAGTTTTGTTAAAAAAATTGCTTTTATTGTCAGAAATTTGAAAAAGATTGTTGTAAATCTATCTTAACAGCCTTTTTAAAAAACTTATTTGCTTGGTCTGGAAAATGAAAGTAGCAGAAAGGTATTAATTCAAACATGTTATTTATTAAAAGTAAACATTGTTCTTTTTGCTTATTACAAACTCACAAAAGATAAAAGACTCTAAAATTTGCTGGTATTAAAGGAATGTGTTCCTGAATATTATCAAACTTATTGGACCCAATAGGTCGGCTTCAGTCGACATTCAATAAAATGTTATACTCTTCTATCGGGATTTCGCTGTTTTCTTGTATCAACAGTAGTCCATTTTTCCGTTTTATTAAAAGAGTATCTGTACTGGGTTACACCAAATTCTTGAATCTGGATCAAAGGTCACTGGGTGTAAAAATGTTTGAACCAATCTTAAAACCTGCTCACGTCGGTTTCTGGAGTACCTAAATCCAAAATTTTGTGTTTGTTTTAACGAGGTAATGCAGAGGTTACCTCAAGGTCAAATTAAAGTCATTTGAAGGTTAAATTGAAATTAGTCAAAGGTCAAATTATGTGTAGCTCAAGGTTAAGGTTAGTACAAGGTCAAATTAAGGTTAGTTCACTGTTGAATTAAGGTTCAATGTCAAATTAAGATTAATTGAAAGTAAATTCACTGTCAAATTAAGGTAGGTTCATTGTCAACGTATATGACCTTGCCGGGCAAAACAAACGCCATATTTGAATTTAGCGACCCGATGGACTACAGCACTGCATTCAACAACCTCAAAAAACCCAAGATATTGCTATATGTTTCATTCATAACTCTCAGATCACATGTTAGCGTCTGTTATAGTAAATGGAATTGACTTCCAGGTACGATCGAGTACTGCGGAGATGGCCGATACGTGTGCAGCGGCGAGGTTTCGATTCTCGATGACGACAAATTAGAAATAACGGAATTGCCGGTGGGAACATGGACGCAGGCTTACAAGGAGAATGTGCTAGAACCGATGTTGCATGGCTCGGAAAAGACAAAAGCAGTATTACAGGATTACAAGGACTATTCTACGGATACAACGATCAAGTTTGTGATCACAACTCTGCCAGGACAGTTGCGCGAAATGGAAAGAGAGGGCTTGCATAAGGTGTTCAAGCTGCAATCGATGATCGGTACCGGCTCAATGTGTGCTTTCGACGAATACGGAAGCTTAAAGAGGTAATCCCGTAGTGCAGGCTGGCCAATTTATAGTTGACAAATTTGCTTCTCCGGCATCTTCAAAATAAAATAAAATATATCATTGGGAGTTAGAAGTTATGTATGCAGAATGATGTTGCATGAATGCCCGCATCTCCAAGACACAAACCTGAGTCCGTATTTTTTGAGATCCCATTTTAGAATATTAGGAATCACAAAGTCTTTCATCATATCTCCAGTTCTCTCAAAAAAGTAAGTCAGATGACACGCTACAGGAACTCCTTTAGTCTCAGCGAACATTTCGCGATATGATTCAAAACTTAAAATTTGACAACTTGACCTTCAAGACGTGGTTTCAACAGTTTCTATTTCGCACATTTAAAAATCGATTTTGGAAATTAGACTGACAGTCTAGTCATCAACGAGCGACACCTTACTAAAGTGTGTTTATCTAAATATAATTATTTCCACGAGTTTAAGCCAACATTGCTTTTTAGCGTAATCATTATGGACCATCCTGTATTTTCATATTTCCTGTTATAAACCCAACCGTAATGTATAATTTCTGTTATTTAGGTACGATTCTGTAATGGTGATCCTCCAAGAATTCTACCAGCTCCGTCTGACTTACTATCAGAAGCGTAAGGTGTTCCTGGAAGGGATGCTGCAAGCGGAAGCAGATAGACTCACAGACCAGGCGCGCTTCATCATGGAGAAATGCAATGGAGAACTGGTGGTGGAGAACAAGAAACGGAAAGTGATAGTAGAAGAGTTAATCCGGCGAGGGTATGTAACAATATTTTCTAATGCTCCTTACTTTTTAAATTCATTCGATAAATATGTCTCGTAGGCATCCCACAGGAATAGCATGATGCTGAAAATGTGTATAGTAGCTTACTCGAGTATTCCCAGTACTCTATCATGTGCTGTTTTGTTTACTTCGGCATCCTTGGAGAATTAAGTTGATCGTTTTTATTAATCCTGGATTCGAATCAATGACCGATATTGCCGTCTGGCGGTGTCGCTGTAAACCATGACTGCTACAGTATGGTTCAACCGAAAATAATACAATACGTCTTTGTCTGCGACACCTGACTGGTGCATGTCCATAATTCATCACTGCCAAACCAAGATTCATCACTAAAAACGTTATACCATTCATCATCATTTTTCTCGGTCTCAGTTCTGTTTTAGAGATGCATGTTGGACGGGCATAAGTCTCGGAGATGCACTATACTGTAGAAGCCATGGTTTAAGGCGCCATTACCAGTAACTCGCCTCTATAGTTTTCATTAAAGCGACATTAGCTTTTACCTTTTCTCCAAATGTTTGAGAGCCTTTTTTCCAACAACCTTCACCAATTTTAGCAGCTTTTCAGTATCAAGTACCGCTTGCTTTGGATGAGATACTTGAATGACATCATCAGAAGGATGCCCCGACGACTGAATGGATGTACGAGGTCTGTAAATTTAGTGATGAGGCTGTTTTTTATTCAAATATAATTACGATTTTATATTATCACTCTCAAAATAACTTGCTTCTGAAGCCACTCAACGCCGGAGACGGTTCTTCCACTCCTCATATCAGTACAGGAACTCCGATACTGGAATAGCCTTCAGCTGGTTGGTTACAGCCGTTTGAATGTTTTTCACTGTCCCTAAATGAGTTCCCTTGAGGTGGTTTTTCAACTTTGGGTACAAGGACTCAAGTCAGGCAAATAAGGAGGCGGAGGAGCCAAAGGAATGTTTTTACTGGCCGAAAACTCGTCTATTAAAATTGCTGCATGACAAGAAGCATTATCGTGATTCAACACCTAGTTGTTCTTGACGTTATGAACGGTGGTGTGAGTCAAAAGTCAAAAACTCTTCCCCGATCATTTTGACTTTCAACCGACGCACGCACAAGATTCATCTTCTATCGACTCTCTCCCTTCTGAAACTGCCTTTAACCACTAAAAAGCCTGGGCTCTTAACAAAACACTATATCTGAAGCCCTGCTGAAGTTTAGCAAGAGTTTCCGTTGTACTGTGCCCAAGTATGAAGCAAAACCTGATAGGAAATTGATGTCACACATTTTTAGAACACAATAGAAAAAACTATTAAAAAAAACGCTATCGACAACCTAATGACCCGAGCGAGTTCAAGCTTGTATTAAAGGCGGATCACACGTTCCCCTGTCTCTCCCCCAATTCGGCGTGTCCAGTGTTGCCAGATCGAACGCTACGTTGCCAGTCTAATCATTTAATTTCCAGACCTCGTATATGGCATCAAGGTGACCCATCACAATTAGCGATATCTAGCGATACCGTAAACTTCATTCAAATAAAATCATTTTTACTGGGGGTCCAATTTTCTTTGTCACTGAGTGTATTTTGACGTGCTGAACTGTCGTGCGGTGATTGAATTAAATTTTGGGTGGTTAATGTTGTGTTACAGATATAAGCCGGATTCAGTGATGGAGTGGAAGAAGAAGAATATGGAGGCTGAAGAAGAGGAGGAATCATCCGAAGCAGCCGCAGAGGCAACTGAATCTCAAGAAGAAGAGACCGAAGTGGAATCTGAAGCGGCTAAGAAAAAGAAAAATGCGCCGATGTCAGGTAATATTGATAAATAATCGGTCTTACATTGCGAAATTGTCATTCAGCTTACCCTATTAACTCTATACAATAGCTGCTTGGAGTGGTGTTATCGCACTACGATAGAGAGCAAATGTATCTGTAAAAGCAAGTAAGGTCATGAAGATGCCGTTGTAAAGAATATTTTTTTTAGTTATTACCTGAAGTTTGAGACATAACATAATGTTGTGATGTTGAGCACAACACATGCTCAAAATCTCACTCTGAATCGGCTCATTTCTTAAATATTAGTGCTGATATGGATTGGTTGGAGATTTCCTATGTTTTGCGAACCAGACTGGATATGTAAACAGTGCTTTTCTTTAATGTCCCCCTCCCCTTTGATTTTTTGAATGGATCAATTCAAAAAATTAAAAGTTGAGGTAATGAAATTGATGCGTGTATACCATATTGTAGAGTAAAATTGACAGATGAAAATGTCAAGATGGCTGCTAGGCATCGTAGTGTAATGGGAAAGATTGACGATTGCAGAACCGCAGGACGGAGGTTCGAATCCATGGAGCTCCTTCTTGCTCTATTATTTTTTTTTAATTTGGAGTAATATTTTGTCTCGGTTTTCGGCTATAGCGACTTTACTATTAATCGGATCTTTTTACATGTGGTCTCGTTTTGTAGGTCTCATAAATACCTAAAAATCTTATTTGAAGAGTTTTTTCGTGTCTGCCAACACTATCAATTGAATCCCAAAAAACGTGTTTTCTCATTCTTTGTTGTCGAATAAAAAGTTTTCCCACCAAAATTGTTGTACCCATTTTATGCGTCCATGTTTTAAATACCCCCTTAAATAACTTGCATCAATAAAACCCGACTTAACAATTATTGCAGGGAAATTTGCTTATATGATTAGACTAATAAAAGCAATCGAAAAGTAGAAAAGCCCGTATAATTATTTTAAACGTCACAAACACAAAAAGGTTAATCTTAGCTCAATTAAGCAAGTGAAAGCAGGCACGACTTCACCAATGGTCGGTGAATTATACCATTTGGTACTGCAGCACTTCCATTAAAAACGACACGAAGTTTTGTAGTTGTACTTTCAGGGCGCAAACAATGCGACGGTTGTGATAATGGGCATTAAGTGGCCGAAAAATAGAACAAAAGGGGGGGAGGGGGGTTGATACGCGAGGCACTAAAAGTGATATGAAACTGAAAAACGTATGTTTTTGGGACACAAGTGTATGCATGAGGGAGATGGAAATATGGAAGTGATAATTACTGTCACCTGCCGAAATAGGCGATAAGCCCAATATGTAACAACCTCCCTTAGACTGACACTTTTGGCACTCATTTTTTCTCCCGACATATTTGCCTTTGTGTCAAAGTGCAATACTAGAGCTCCAAGCGGCCAATATGCAGTTCCGTAAATCGTTACATTTTTGAACGTTGTTGAAGCTCTTGCAAAAGATTGTTAATCTGTTTTGTAGAAAAAACTCATCCAGACACAAAGAAATTTGACTACCTCCTTGGTATGTCTATGTGGATGTTGACTGATGAAAGAAAAAACGAATTACTCAGGCAGAAAGAAGCCAAACTGACTGAATTGGATACGTTGAAACGAAAAAGCAACAAGGATCTCTGGAGGGAGGATTTAGATCTATTCATAGACGAACTCGACAAATATGAAAAGAAAGAATTGGATGCTGAACAGAAGGAGGTTAAGAACAAAATCAAAAAGGAAGTGGTAAGCTTTGTTCATTTCAATGTTTGAACTTTGAATACACACTGTTGGCGCTATGTATCATAACAATTTGAGAAACTTTAAATAACTGTCTCATTTACACGTATATCATTTTCTTTGAACACTGCCCAAATGATATATGCTTATAGAAGTCTATGAGCTTCTCAGTACAGTAATTCTGTTGTCTCAAATTGTCTTGAAAATATACACCACTACAGTTTTATGCTCTCACATTTGAAGCAATCATTTCTGTTGATTATGCTTTCTATAGGATCAGGAAAAAAGGAAGGTAAGAACCTGAACGTCGAAACTATTATCCTTGAGTTACAAAGATTGAATCCCAAGGGACCGTTCTCACCGAAAACAACCAGCAACAATCAGTGTTGCAAAAATTTACGATTTTTTTGAACAAAACAAACAAAAATTATTCTTATCAATTTGTACTGATTCTTTTCGTAAATATTGCAATCATTTTTCTCTATTATTTTCAAAATATTTGTTGTTTAGATTTGTAGTTACAAAATTTCTTCGGTGACATACAAAAACACTTGTGTGCGACATATCGTGCGCGTACCTCGGCTTTCCTTTCGGAACAAGAAAATTCATTCGTCTTTATAATGAGCGGTTGACGCGAGACGGATCATTTCTTAACTTATAGTCGGCCCATATAAGTAAATTGCGTGTTCTTATTTCCTATCCTTTGTAGTCTAAATCGTACTGTGTTTTCAAAAGATAGCTGAAATGTCCTTAAGTGGTGGTAGAAGCAGAGAGAGCTCTAAAAAACGCAAATTTGAATTACAATGAATGGTTGAACGGAAAAAAGACACCAGGAGGTATGTCAGAAAACGGAAGCAGTTCAAGTAGATATATTATGTGCAGGTAAAATTATAAACTGTTTTTGTTGTAAACTGTGTTCTCTTAAGTTTATGGATATTTACGTTGGAATGAAGAGAATTAGTTAGGTTTTTAAACTTACATAATGTATGTAAACCATCAGGTTTAAACTTTAAACCATCTTCTTTTTTGGAATTACCTGATGAGTTGCTTCGGCGACTTGTTTTTACACCAATTTCTCTTACGATTATAATTAAAAAATCATTTGATTTAAATCGTCGCAACCCTGGTTCAAATACAGGCGTTCACATGCTTGTCAGCAATGCTATTAACATAACCTGTTCAAATCGAAAATATTAATTTTCTGATAATTTATCTGCGGCCAGCCTAAGTTTGCAGAGTCTTTGTTTAGTTTATGCAACTTTTGCACAATGCTGGTAGCATGGTGGGTACCTAGTACTCCCATCAGTGACCATGGAGGCCTATGTGGTGGATGTCCTTTTTTGACTTCTTAGACGCGGTCACTGTCGTTCAGAGGTGCTAGGAAACTGTATTTTCCTGCATCCGATCGGTAATACCGCGATTGGCTCGTAGGTGGCGTGTCTCCGATGGTTTTATTTTTCCCGCATCACAATATTGAGTTTATCAATAAACTAATTTCTCTTGTTAGCTTTCCGTCATCTGTTTCCAAATGACTACGCCTATACCATCCTGATGATTCCTAAAAAGCATGCAGCATGTATATGGTAGGTTATGGTTGTAAAGACGGAAACCACACAATAGCAAGGCAGTTGAAGTTGGGGTTGGTTTTGGTGGGAACAGTACCTAAAGTACGTTTTTTGTACCATGCCTACTGTATTTACACACTTATACACCGGAGACTTATGCACGGATTTTTAATATTGTTTTTAGGGTAGGAAAAGGCAAGCCTTAATTGAAACAATGCCCAGTCCAATGGCTCAACGAGTAGTTCCGACAATCAGTGAAGACATTAAGAAAAAGATACAAACGGCGATAAAACAGAAAGAGAACAGAATGAAGAAGGGCATCAAAAAAGAGAACATCACAGAAGAGGTAACTAGGAGTTGAATCTCCCCACATAAACATTTCGAAAATTGCAGTGAATTCTAGAAAAAAGTTTGATACGAAAGTTGTATGACCAAGGGGCAAAAAGATGTGAACCTTGACCACAACCTTCAAGATCATTTCAAGCTCAAGTAAATAGTTTTACGTTCGAACATCACCTTGGTCATGACCTTGGCCATTGGCTTCAAAGCTATTTCAAGGTCACATCAAGGCACTGAAAACAATTTGCTGTAGCAAAAATGTGCTATAGCATAGTTGTGAGGTTCACATTTAGGGTCAGTCCAAAATGACCTCAAAGTCAACGTCACATTCAGTCGTAAAATGTCTTGCTTTTTCAGTTTCTAGTAAAGAATGAGAGGTTTCCTTGACCCTGAAGGTCACTGTCAAGGTCACCGTTGGGCGATGTTGCACAAACCTCTCTGCTGTGCTGTGGAACATTTTTTCTACAGCAAATTGTCTACAATGACTTGATTTGACCTTGTAATGTCCTTTAAGGCAATGGTCAAGGTCATGATTCTTTTCAATTCCGATGTAAAGAATGGTGTTCTATTTGAAATTATTTTCTTGCCCCTGGAAGGACCTATACGCTCGTTATCAAGGCCATTGTCAGTTTGCCTCTCGACACCCTACAACTTTTGTTAGAAACTATTTTTTCTAGAATGAGCAGTTTTCAAAATATTCACATGGGGACGTTAAAATGTGACACAATGTACAGATGGGTTAACCAGAAATCTGTAGTTAAACCGCGATTCAATAGATTACACAGTCGAGCAAGTTCGCAAGCACACAAGGCCGCGGCTCGCACTGTGAACATCAAAACGTACCACTTTTGGTTCAACCAAAATTGTGATTTCTCTCCAATTTCTAATTAATTTTAGGATCATTTAAAAATTCCCGAATACTAGTTAACAATGCCAAGGCACCATTCAAATTGACGCACTTCTTTCTCGGTGGTCTACATTCTTCCTTCATTCCTTCCTTTCTTCTTCCCTTTTTTCTCCTTGCCTTATCTGGTATCTGGGCAACCAGACCTGACACACCTACTGACATACAAGACTTTAACCAAGAGTCAACAGTTGAAGATTAAGTTACACGTTAGTGCTCGAAAATTTACCTGCGACTACAAAACCAGGCCTTCGTAGTAGTTTGAATTTGACAATTTTAACAAAAAAGATATACAAATGACTATTGCACTGACAGAATGCTCTATGACGCAGATGTAATAGTATTTATTTAATAATACAATGTTTTTTTCAGGATGAAGATGAATTTGACGGTATGGTGAAGAGTAAGAAGACGCTTGCGGACAAGCTAGGTTCTCCTGATGAAGTCGAGAAGAAAGTAAGGAAGAAGAAGACTGCAGGGGATGGATTGAAACAGACAAAACTCAAATTCCCTAAAGCATCATGTAAGTACTTGGATTAGGAAATACAGTTTTGTTTCTATAGCTTTGCAGATAGTTTAACCTTTTTTTACTGCTGACATCCTAGGTTTTTCTTAATTTCGCCACTCGCTTGCGTTAGTCTCGCCTTTAAAAGCCACAATACAATGAATCGAAACGGATGTTAGGTTATTGCCCAACTCAAAAAAACTAGCCTCTATACTGTGAGGATTTTGGTAAAAATGTCTGCATGAGATGATATTCCCTATATATTTTGCATGATAATGCCAAGGACAAAAATCATTGCATATGCAGCATATAAATGGCTACAACGCCATCTATGAAACACCATTTTTTTAAGCTAAATATACATAGTAAATAGAGAAAACGGCTGTGATAAATTGTCATGGATGACGCTATGGTAACTCAATTTGTCGGATAATTTTTTGGGCGCAGGAATACAGCATCTTCAGGTAGAATACATTTTAACGGTGCCAGTGACTGCTATCGATATACACGATAGGTATTTTCATGGGTTTTGCGGGTTACAGTAAAGCTACCCGTATCATCTTTCTCTCTGACAAGAAACCTAATACTTCCAAAACATAGTACTTTACCTTGACTAATAAGAAGCGCTCTAGCCCTCATCATTACAGATGGTGTAGTTCGATCAAAGAGCCGTTCATTTTGGCTGGCCGGAGTCCAGATTATCGAGGACTTGATGTGGCACGAACCCATCAGCTGCTGGGGAAAAAGCTGGGCTATTTGTTCAGGACGAAGGAGAACTTTTCTCCACATAATCTATACACTCTGTTCAATGCCCAGATAAAGCCTATCCTCGAGTACTGGTCAAATGTTTGGGGTGCTGCCGCACCGACCACATTTTCCATACTCGATGCTGTTGTCCGACTGATGATGATGACTATTCTCTAACGGGACCCTTTCGCACCGAGAGGCCGTCAGCGATCTAGCTCTCTCCAACCACCCGCCTGTCTTCAGCCTCTCATCCTAACCGTCGAATTTCGTACATCGTCCCTCGGGTATCGAGATTCTAGAACAACCTACCTGAGGAGGTTTTTCCCAGTTCGACTAACCCCAGGCACTCCAAAAATCCGATTAACAAAGTTTCGTTAAGCTCCTCGGTGCTCTGCCGTGCGCTGGTATTTAGGTTTCTGCCTGTACGCCTGTTTCGGTATAAAACATACATATGCAGTCTGTCTATGCGCTCATAGACATATGTTTTTCAGTTTCGTCTCGCCGTCTTGAAAATGTTTTCGTATACGTATGAGTCTTCCACATCTATGCCTATAAATTGTCGGTCGCTAAGTGAAATTTTCAGTTTCCCTCGGAAAAGTTAAACTCTGCAAATAGCTACAGCTAATCGATTTGTGTACTTATTTCGTATGACATTTCTACGTAACCACTATATTGGATAAAAACATCTATCTCTATTTTTTTTTGTTTAGCTAACGGAAAAGGAAAGGGCGGTGATATGAGCGATGACGATGGCGATGTCGCAATCGTTGATGATTGCTCAGACGAGGAGTTGAGAGATGGCGTTAAGTTATCGAATTCTGGAAAGAAGGAGCGAGTATTAAGCAGAAGAGCCGCCACCAAGGTGACCAGATACACCTTGTCGGACGATTCGGATGAGAAATTCTCTGATGACGAACCAGAACTATTTGAGAATGAACATGTCAAAGAAAAGTCAATACAGCAAGAGAAGATACTTAGCTCGGATGAAGAAGCAGAAGACAAACCTCCTCCGAAGCATGAAACGTCAGAAGATATGTTCGATTCGTTAATAGGTAAAACTTGATTTAAACACTATGATTGTACTCCATTGCATAGCCTGGAAAGTTTTCTAGAAATTTTAGAAAGCTGATTTATATCTTCATGTATCCAGGATGTCCTGAAAGTTGGGACTGCCCTTTTCAAACTCAACTACGTTTGCAATACCAAAGCTAATTTGCGACAAAACAACACCGAAAACGTAAACAAATGAAGAAAAACACTCCTTATCCATTTGGTAAGGAGTTTCAAGTACTGTTTTGTTTGTAAACACTGCTTAGAGTTGTCGCTGTTCGATTTGAAAACACGAGTTTGTTTACATCTTCCTAAATTTGCAACATTTGGGGCTGCCTAGGTCTTCAACTGTGTTCAAAAAGTCGCTTTTTGATGGAAAGAAACATCGAGGACCGTGGCGACGTTCTAAGTACTCTCGCGGAGTATCAATAGGATCTTGAAGATGCTCATATCAAATTGATAGCAACGTTATTGCTCTAGGAATATGCCAATTTGTTTTTCAAATGCGGTTTGTTTATAAACTAGGTTAACCTAGACATCACGCGACGCCACACACACACACACACCCTCCTACCCTGTGCGGTCCCTCCACCACCCCTGTTCCAGGCAACCTCAAACCCTTGAGGAGTGGGGGGAAGAGCAATCTGCTCCTCCCCCCACTCCCGCCCAAAGGCCTGGAGTGGCGCTGCGTGGTTCAGGCCGCTTGCGCATTCCCCGAGTGTGTGCTGCCGAACGAGCTATCCCCCCTTCCCCAATTTTGCCCCTTTTTCCCGAAATTTGACTCGATCGCGCACGCGTCGCGGAAGCGCGTGGTGGACGTTTCTTCCAACTGTCGGTTCTCGACTTTATGGACGGCCTCTTTTCTTGGGGGTTCTGCGCTGGGGGCTTTTGACCTAAGCCCCTCCTAAAGGTTTCACGCGACGCCTGATTTGGATATTGACTCATATAGTCGTCTTAATAAATAAATTCATAACGTAGGAGGGGACTGCGGGACGGGAGGGAGGCAGGGACGTACTAGCTCATTTATTGCTTTCTAGAAACCTAACAACTCTGTTATCTTAAAGGTTTGGTATGCAGTAGCGGACAAAAGTTTGGAAACATTCTTAGTAATTTTTGAAAAGTACTTTTTTTTCTTGAATGACAATTTGTGTTTGCTGTGGTACTACAGGCTACCATTAAAATACCTTATTATTATTTTATGACCAAGAATGAGACGGCAAAAGTATGGAAACATATTTTTTTATTACAATATAAAATACAATAACTACAAAAAGATTTAAAAAATACTGTTTAGCTAATATTTGGTAGCTTAGCTGTTAGCATTCAACACTGCCTGACATAGGCTGCTCATAGAAGACACCAATTTTTTACAGACGTTTGTTGGGACATTTTGCCAAATATTTTTTTCATAATCAAATTAGTCATTACAATTTTTAAGAGTCTTTCTTGTCTATTAACATGCTGCCAGACACGTTCAATAGGGTTTAGGTCCGGGGATTCCGCACGCTATGTTAGAACATTAACATTTTTTAGTCTTAACCAGTCCCTTATGAATTTTGAGGTATGCTTGTGTTCATTATCTTGCTGGAATGTCCATCTTAAAGGCATTTCTTCTTCAGCAAAAGGGTGCATGTGTTCACTAAGAATATCTTTGTAAAATTTTTGATCCCTTTTCCCAACAATTATAACATTTGGACCCGTTCCAGAACCAGAAAAACAGCCCCAAACCATGATGTTGTCTGCACCGCGCAAGACTGTTGGCAACTGATACTTTTTGTGGAATCTTTTTCGTATTGGACGTCTCACATATGCCGTACTGTCAGATCCAAACAAGTTAAATTTGCTTTAGCGATCCAAAACATAATCGGTTTTTTTTCCTCACCTGGTCTACTGATAATTTTCGAAATCGTCCCTTTGTTCATTTTTAATCTTAGAGAAATGTCAGCCACTTTTAAATAATTTCCTTACTTTTGTCGTTACAAAAACTTTGTGACGCGTGTTTTTATTTTCAGAGAATTTGAATATTGATAAGATAAACCTTGTATTAGTACGGGAGCCAAAGGTAGACGTTAATATTTATATTATCTTCTCCTTCACAATTTCAATTTAGGTATATGAAATAGTTCATAATAATGTTAATATTTGTTTCCAAACTTTTGTCCACTACTGTATATGTTCTCTACTAGAAAAGACATGCTTATTATTGCTTGATCTGTAACGCTTTGTAAAGTCCCAACTATAAACGTGATCTTACCAAATTTTTACTTTGCTATCTCATGCCACGTTGGAAAAATGACGTCCAGAAACAGCTTTTTAATAGTGTCTTTTTTCCGGCTGCAGTGAACATTGAACTACGCTGCAATTTTCTAGTGTTCCGCCGGGATTTCGTTCAAATCTGTGAAACTAGTAGCGAAATATACATTTTTATTGTGAGTGATCTTAATTTCTGTTACCATTGACCAAAACATTCGACCTGAAGATAGTATATTAAATGCTATTAAATGCTTAAAACAAAGAGACAGCTACCACCCTCTTGATAGAAAAAAATTATGAGCAGTGATATAATAAAATTAAACTAAAAAATTGCAGTGTTAAAAGAAAAATTCGATCAAAAATGACCTGAAAGAAATGGAAAAAGGACAAACTGTATGAAGGAAGCCTTTTACCGTCCATTATTTTGTTCAATATTAATTTAACTCGTAATTGTAAATAAAGTAGTACTATTATTATTTTTACAGGTAGGAAAAAGAGTACTGATCAAGAAAAGTCACCGTCACCTTCACCTCAACCAAGCAGTAAAAGAAAAAAAGGTTCAGATTCTGACGATGATTTCAACCCTAAGAAAAACAAAGCTTTTTCCAGTGACGACGATGACGATTTCACGTTCGGCAAGAAAAACAATCCTCCTAAAGAAGAACCTAAAAAGCGAGGTCCAAAGAAGAAAAAGTTGGATGACGAAAATGCGCCGAAAAAGGCAAAAACGACAAAGAAAAAGAAATCTGCAGACTCTTCAGACGACGAGTTTGATGTGGCCAAGGAGAAACCTAAAAGAGGTAAAAAAAAGAAAGTCGCCGAAGACACATCTGATGACGAGTTTGCTGTGAGCACAGTCAAGGGTAAAAAGGGTAGGAAAAAGAAGAAGTCTGCCGAGTCTTCTGACGATGAATTTAATGTTGACAAAGCTGATAAGGATTCAGATGTGGAGATAACGAGTAGTACGGAAGTTGCAAAGCCTGCGAGAACTGGCAGAGCAGTAGCAGCAAAGTCGAAATATACTTTCAGTGATTCCGATGAATCATTCTAATTAACATTGTCTAATTATATGTCCACTCATTTCCACATTATTTATTTTTATGTCGATATTATAAGATGTCCAACAGTTTTAGAGTTGTGATTCGTATTTCATTTTTAATAAATACCGTTTTTTAATGTTTGTCTTCCTTTTTGGCCACCTCGTCACAAGATTCAGGATGAAACACTCAACCGGAAAAAAAAATGCAAAGGGTTTTAGAGTAGTAAAGGTGATGTATAGACAATAGAAAACATACTGTGTTTTTGGACATAGAAAGAACGTTTGAAACGGCCTCACTATGGATTTAAAGGATCTGTATTCAAAACAGAAGTCAAAAAACCAAAATTGGATCCACATTATCAAGGTCAAAAAATATTTCTGTTGGCGTACCACAAGGTGGCCCACTAGTATTTACTTTATACATTAATGACATTTGTAATATTTTAGTTTACTGTAAAATTCAGATATAAGCAGATGATGCAAAATATAGACGCTGCTTTAAAAATGCTAAATTCTGTCTTGGCGAAAATCATAAATTCGCTAAATGTAAATAAACTGAAATTAAAATACCTAAATAAAAGTACTATCACAGTTAGAATAAATGGTGAAATAACTGAAAATGTTGAATCAATTAAATATTTAGATATCTACTATTTGACAGTAAATTAAAGTTTGAGGATCACTATGAGTACATTATTTCAAAAAAATAGTTTATAATACAATTATTCTACCGCATTTACTACATTGTTCAACTATCTTATTCCTCCCAATGAAGCTGTATTCTCAAAATTACAAGTCCTGCAAAGAAAAGCCGAGATAATAATATTGAATAAAAACACGTACATTCATATAATTGGTTATTTTGATATTTGAAATAAAAAATAATCTTTGGCGACAACATCTAAAACACTACATGGAATTGAATAAGCATTGTAATTTAACGATTTTTAAAAGAACGTTAAAGGAATATTTCATGGATCATTTTTAGAGATGCAAATTCTATTTTTCTAAATATCTCTGTTATGTAAATGTTATAGTTTTTTAAAAGAATGTAATTGTACCAGACATACTAAAAAAACAGCTGAGACTACGTAGCTAAATGACTAAAGATTTGTGTGCTCGCAAAGGGTCCTATTTACATGTTTTCATCTCTTTGGTAGAACCTTTCATTGGCTCCATGATACCAATACATGATTTTAGCTGATGATTATAAATCATCGACTTCAACAAATAAAAATTCTGATACATTCTCTATGGAGCATCTAAATGGGCAATATTTGTGGCTCGTATATATATATATATTATATATATATATATATATATATATATATATATATATATATATCTGGGCTCGCCTATTTATTAATCAACAGGCCTACAAAATGGCAAGCGTGACGGAATTCGCGGCAGCTTACATTACATTAAGTGGGATCCAATAATTTAGCACTACATAAAAATAGGAATAGGAAATCTCGCAGGATTACTACTTTTTCAAACAAAAAAAAAACATCACAGTTAACTAGTTTAATGGTTTTGTTCAAAGAATAGAGGGATGCTTTTTATCCGCAAAAAATGCTCCCAAGTAAAAATTCCCCTATATGCCAACCCTGTCAAAGCACGACTGGTGAATCAGGTATCAAGTTTCGGGGTAGTTTTTACAGCACGAACAGCATTGCCATAGTGATGGAATAACGCTGCGGGGGAAAAATATTGCCCGTTTGGAAGCACCATAAGCAGCAATGAATTCCCTCCGGCACGGGTTTTATGTAAAAAACCTATAAAACATCAATAAAAAACCTATAAGAAATCTTGCAGAAAGTAGTTTTTAGGGTGCAGTCATTCCACGTTTGCTCACTAGGATTGTTGCGAGGGTCCAGCTATGGAGGAATGGCTCAACAACACGTATACACGCATTGTTGGTTGCATATGTTTTGTGAAACCGAGTCGGCTATAGTTTTTATCTCTGAGAAGAAAAGTTGGATATTTGGTTGAATAGCAAGATCCGGATCTGGATGATTGTGTGTATTGGTCTGCATGTGTATAATATCACTGATATTTGCTGTGTGAGAAAATCATTACTGAATATGCTGCCAGTGAAGCATATCTATTAGCTGTGCCCGACTGGTTATTTATATGTTGTCCTTTCGGAAGACAGGTTATGTTCAAAGTTATCAATTACGAGTTTTTACGTATTTTTTTGTGTTTACAAAAACTGAGGAGAATTACGGGAAATTCCCACCGCCCCCGCGTTGTGCGTACTTACTGTTAGCATGTATATGACGTGTAATTTTTTAAATTCAGCAAATTTGATATGTAATTTCCAGAATGGATAAGAAAAAGTGGATGCCCAACTAATTTCCAGCTTTGAATGTCAAGAAAGTGTATTTGAGACAAGAATCCAATGGAATTATCATCAACACATTATTAGCACACAAATCCTCACTATGCACCTATGCATTGCCGTTAGCTCCAGTAATGCCATCCCTGAAGCAGGTTTCACACTGATAACTGAAGCCTCATGACATTTAGGCAACACGTACAATTACAAAACGAGTTCACAACGTGTCCATTAGTTAGTGCTAAGTTAACATCTTGTAGAAAAACCTACATAATGCCACTCTCCAAGATACGTAATACCCTTGCCGGCCACGTCTTGAAATCTAGTATCGCAAGTACGATCTCTGTGGTTTAGCGGTGCAATAGACACCACATAAATCAAATCCAAGCGAATAACCAAAATTTCTGTGTTATGTGCCGCGGTTATAATATGGTTCAAGATGACACACGGGTTGATGACGTCAGTTACACGAATCGCTTGAACGCGTTGGTTTTAACCGCGGTTTTGTAGCAAGTTTTTTATTTTAGAAAAGCGCGTATATAATCTCTGATTATTTTTATTATCACTTAATAATCGGTGCTTTTTCGTCTACAACTGTATATGGAAAGTTTAAATAAGACACCTTTCATAATACTCATGGGAGAAATGTTTTTTCAGATTTTTTTTAATGATGCAACCATGGCTTTGTAGCTATGATAACTTTCAATTCTCTAAATTTTTCCGCATGTCAAAGAAAACATTTATTGATTCAGCAGAAACGATGAAAAAAGAAATTAGCAAAACCGTATACAGGTGGATATCATCTAGTGAGTTTATATGGCCATATTTTAATATTCTTGTGGTATATGGCTACACAGGATACTTTGTTAAGCATAGGAACTACATTTAAAGTGTCCCCAACAACCGTAATGAGTATAACTAATAAGGTGCTCCACTTTATGGTAAAACTGAAGTCAGCCTGTATCATTTCTCTCAAAAATGAAGCTGAAGTACAATAAGAATATCCAATTCCCGGCAAAATTCTAACTTGTCACATTTCAAATAATAACCAGAAATATAAAACTACTCTTGAGTTGGGTAAATACCACAATTTTGCGGTGATAACTATGACATATAACAGCTGATTCGTGACGTCACGGATCTTATAACCAAACTAATAACTATACTCGCTTGAACGGATTGGTAAATACCAGCCCAAAATGGTAAATACCATTTCCATTTGGTTATCCGCTTGAATTTGATTATAGACACTTCAAGTGCGTTCCGCAACTCGTCTCACTGGACATGCGCGTTCTAATTTTTGTGCGCACTTCCTTTCCTAACCTGAAAATATTTTAATATTTTTGAAAATTTTATGTTACAAAATTAAGTATGTTTTCTAAATTTATGGTCGGATCCGAAGGCAATATTTCAACTAATAATTTAAGTGGTTTATCTTATAAAAATATTTTTTTAGACGGTGTTGCAGAAACAACAAAAAATGAATCTCAAGAGAAAAATGCAAAAACTGTCCAAAATAATGCAGCAAAAACATCCTTTATCGACGATAAAATCCTTCGGATGATGGTAATCATTTAAGACAGCTATTTGCAGCAGATATTTCAATAATTTTTATATTCAAGGGTAACATGGGATATAAATCTGGAACCGGTTTAGGTAAAAACGAACAAGGAATAACAAGTACAATTGATATCACTTATCAACTGGGGAAACGTGGTCTTGGCCTGGATATAAAAAACCTGAACTCAACACAAGAATTATGGGATTTCAGTAAAGAAGTATTTTTCCAATTTTGAGCCGCTATTTTTTATGGACAATGTTTCATTTTAGAATGTCAATGTGAAAGAAGAATTGATTTGGATTGAAAACAAAAATGATGATAGTTTTTATGATATATCTAGTATGTCTCAGTGGATTAAAGAAGGAGCACCAAAATATCAGATTGAAGATGAGACAAACTTCTGTGATAAGGATATTCTTCACAATGTTATCCAGTCCAAAGTACCTATGTTTTTTATATAAAAAAGGATGATTTTATTTTTTTATGTTGGTATTTGGTAAAATATGTCCATAATTTTGCTTTGTGAATGTAAAATTGTGGCTGTGTTTTAATTTTTGTAGAAGAATATTTTTGGGGCCAATTGTTTTTTAAATTTTGAAGACTGCATATAATCTTTATACTACCTCTCACTTGTCACATCCTTCTAGGAACATTCAACCTTATTTTAACTGCAATTATCATCCTTAAACAGATAATATGACCATTGAAACCAAAGAAAGAAGTAGCTTAAGAATACCACTCCATGCTTCCAAATATTTCAAGAAGTGCCTATTATACATGGCAATAAAAGCATATGACATGCCATCAGACAGCATTAAAAGTGCACCTTAATTTGCTCACTTTTCCGAGAGCAACTGTCATGTATCTGTTGCAGACAGGCTGTTATGATTTCATCTTTGATTTCAATTCGAAAGATGTTTTTGTTGTAGATCTTACTTTACTACTTAATTTCTGTGGATATCTATGTTTTGATGTTGTTGCTATATCTTTCTTATTAAGATTTAGTCAGCAAACCGAGCCAATCCTATTTACTAGGAGAAGAAGGCTTGTCTTGCCGACATTCTTTGGGACTAGATTAATTCTATTCCAATCAGTAAAATATGTAGGAATTATCCTGGACTGCAAACTGAACTGGAGAGAGCATGTTGAATACAAGGTTAACAAGGCTATTCAATGTAGGCCACTGGCTCTATACGACGATGGTACGTCCATCTCTCTTGTACGGCTCCCTGGTCTGTGGCCTTGCAATGGAGCTGAGACAACCAAGGCCAAACTCAATAAAATTGAGCGTTTGCCATGTATTAGCATTACAAGCGCGGTACGAGCAACGCCATTGAGTGCAACGGAAGCTCTGCTGGGTCTCCCACCATTGGATCTAGTGATCCACGGTAAAGCGAGAGGAGTCGCTCATCGACTGTGGAGTCAGGGCAGCTGGGCCTTCTTGAATCCTGTCAAGGAGCATACTGCCATCTTAGTCGAACTGCAAAGGGAGGACCCGTAATACTAAGTAGGGGTGATCGTATTACCCCTAAATATCGCTTCAACCGCAAGTTTATTGTGGGGTATCCAACGAGGGAGGAGTGGAACGCCGGTAGCCGGAGCCTCTCCGGAGTGAGCGGGCAGGTCTGGTACACGGACGGCTAGGTCACCGAATAGCGCTCAGGTGCTGGGGTCTCTGGGCCTAGAACTAGGATATCTCTGCCTCTCGGTGGATACACCACTATTTTCCAGGCGGAAATCTTTGCGATTCTGGCTTGTGTGTCGGCCCTGCGCTAAGGATGGACGTTTCTGCTTATCTCTGGATAGAGCCAACCTAAGGTTGCTGGTGGGACTGTTGTCTGGACAACACGTTGAGGCGCCAGCTGCACGTGATGGGGGTGACTGAGGATCCCTTGTGTGAGCGTTGCGGGGTAGAGGAAGCTCTGAGCTACTATAGGCAGATGATACTGGGGTCCATTACCTTGGACCCTCAGGACGTCAAGGATATTGGACTCAAGGCCATGCTCATCTTCACTAGAAAGGCGAGGCTTGATGTCTAAGGAATGTGGAGATGCATAACGGCCCGTTTAAGCGGCCTATACGCTGGTTCCTTATGGTGGCCGGAACGCCTCTAATTTCACGATTCATTCATTCACCAATAGAAATAAATCAATTCTATGGTTATCATATTTTTTTATATTCTACTGATTACTCCTCTTTTCAGAACATTTTTGATGAATTAGATCTGCTGGAACTATGTAAAGCTCGATCAAAGGCTAATCCTTTTGAAACCATAAGATCTGTGTATTTTATGAATAGAGCAGCTTTAAAGATGGCAAATATTGATGCTGCAACAAATTTTATGTTTTCTAGGATTGATGAAAATGTATGTATCAAGGTTTATCAAATATTAATATGAGGCATTTTGGTTTTTCTCAAAGTAACAAACTATTGTCTATTGCCACATTACCAAGTATCTGTGAAAATAGATCGATATAGCTAGATTAGGGATCGACAGATACTGATATAAATATCGGCCTATTTTACCAACATAGGTATCTGGGCCGATATAGCGTCGAATATTGTTGAATTTAGAAATACTGTACAAAGAAATAAATTCATTTTCTGTATGTATGGAAAAATTAAACTTGACCGCTATTTTGGCAAAGGCTAAAGTCAAATAGATAAATCTAAAATTGAATATGGAAAATACTATATAAAAGTAGGTAACTAGAACAATATGGTTAGAAAACATTTGAAATTTAATTGAGGCAGAATATGGCATACAAGTGATAAAGCTTTTGCCATGTGAAAATTTAACCTGCTTCATTTGGCATCACAAATGTTGCTTGTTCACTGGATTTACTTGGGAGGTCTGTGTCTCATGTAAGTGGGATTTTTCCGATCATTTGGCCTATTTTCTTTCACACGTTTGATGGTCAGACATAAGAATAAAATGCTGCAGTAGTAAAAAAATTATTGGTTTTCCACTACACAATGAACTTCCTTTCCATTTTTTTACATAGGTCACAAATTGTACTATCAAATTCGTCAGTCTTTTGTTCGAAATATGTCCTGACAGCGCTACTATTCCTTGTTTTTGACAGTACTAAACTTGATACAACCAAAGCGATTCATATTATCACTTTCATGGACGCGTTTGCGGCCAATGTGTTTAACAGATTTTCGATCCAAAATATACCCGATTGTGCGAAGAAATAGACAAACGGTTGATAGACCGATATAGCGGCCTCTGACATATCGGTATCGGCGAAAATCCTATATCGGTCGATCTCTGGATTCCCTGTATTTATTGTTGCAAAAGTTAATGTCTTTTTATTTACTCAAAAAATTGTAATACCTAATCGTTTAGTATTTTCCAATAAGGAAGAGTTCATCTCACATTGGAATAAAATAAGTTATGTTTGTGGTAATAATTACGTTATCATTTGAAAGGATCATGTATGGTCAGCTGTCCACACTAGCAAAGATTCATCAGATCCAATTTTTAATCACTCTGTAGTTAAGTTGAATTCATGCAGTGGCCTGGATGCAGCCAGATATGTGTGACAGAGTTACTAAAAATTGGACCTGTGGCCAATAAAACCACAAGTATTGACATCTTCACTATAGTATATTACTGACGGATTCCATACAAATTGCCAAACATAATGAATGCTTTTCAAATTAAAAATGAATACATATCATTAATATATCTAACACATAGCTTGTTTTATTTCATTTCGACATTGACTCTTGTACTATAATGGGTATTTTGTTTTTTTTTCAAGGAACATCACAAAAGCCATCCAGGTCCATTTTACTTTGCCGACATCTGCGCCGGTCCAGGAGGGTTTACTGAGTACATACTCTGGCGCAGACAGTGGTTTTTCAAAGGATTTGGACTCACTCTGAAAGAAGAGAATAATTTCAGGTTGCATGAATCTACATGTGCCTCACCTGTTAGTTTTCAAGCTATCTATGGGAAGGATGATGATGGAAATGTCTGCTCACCAGATAATATTGAGGATTTCAGGGATAGAATAAAACATGAGACTGGTGGGAAAGGCGTGCATTTTTTAATGGCTGATGGGGTAAGCAAACGAAAGGTCATTTCATGATTTGAACTCAAAGTCTAACAATCAGGAGTACACTGGATTTTGATCATAGTCAACAGGAGGAAGATACAAACATATACTCAGTGACATTAGACGTGCTACACCCAGAAAAAATAATTTCCTCTACTTGTTTTTTGGCAACTTAATGACTTTATTTAAATCATGCTTTGGCAACAATGTCAACGTTTTATCTTTGTTTTTGTTTACCTTTGGTGAAATATGATCTCTTAGTTTTTGTGAAGAAAGCAGTTTCTGAGAGAACGCAAAACAGTGGGAGAATCGCATAATGTCATCTTCAGCCACGAATCGCGATTCTGTCTAGGTACACATGATGGTGGAGAACGGCGTGATATTGGAAGTGCTGTTGAGAGTCATGTACACAAGACTGTTGCAGTAATGGTTTGGAAGGACTATGATACCCCTTCTCTTTGTTCAAGGCAATAAGACTGCTGCGCGTTATGTTGATGTTGTCCTACCAACCACTTTACTGCCGTATCTAGAGGGCCGTCCACACGTTCTATTTCAGCAAGACAACGCACGTCCCCATATCGCTCGTCGTGCTAAGGACTTTCTTCAAGAAGCAGGCGTTAATGTTTTGCTGTGGCCACCCCGTTCACCGGATTTATATCCCATCGAACATGTGTGGGATATGACACTTTGAACCATCCGCCACAGCTAATCCACGAAGTTCAAATTGCTTGGAATGAGGTGCCACAACCAGACATCGATCATCTCATTTTGTAGATGCCTAGACATATACAGGAGTGTATCCAGCTGCGGGGTCGCCGAACACGTTATTAATTTTTTTATATTACTTGTTAATAAAATTTCGTGAGAATGTTATCGTTTCATTCTTGATGTAAGAATACCTCATTGCCAAAAAATCAAGTTGACAAAATTATTTTTTCAGGGTGTAACACTTCTAATGTCAATGAGTATATTAATGAAAATAACAATGTTTTAAGGTGATACCTTAAATTTAAACAGCTATGATGACGTCACTTCTGCTATGTTTTATTCCCAAAGCTGTTTGTACATAAATTCATTTTTATTCATTATTTATTTTGGACATACTGTGCTTAGCCCATCGAAATAGACAACGTGTTTTAATTTTTTCCGACTTCGAATCCGTCAGGATAAAAAAAAACAAAAAGTGTGGAATCTTTCTTGTTGTTACTATTAAAGTTTGTCCTACTTCTTAATATTACGTTTTGAGATTCGGAATTTTTTGTAGGGATTTTCAGTGGATGGCAATGAGAATCTCCAGGAAATTTTATCAAAAAACATTTATATATGTCAGTGTGTTGTGGCGTTACAAGTGATATGTAACAATGGACATTTTGTTACAAAACTTTTTGATGTATTTACATGTTTTAGTGTAGGCCTATTATATCTGATCTACAGGTGTTTCGAAAAAGGTAACTGAAGTTCTCAGGTCTTTATATATATATTTTTTTCTTAGTCCATAAATTCGCAAAAAAAGGTTTGTAAATGCAAGTATTAATGCATTAGTTTGTTGGTTACATTTTGGAGATTCTAGCTTTTCCTGTCTCGTATGTTGTAAGTTTCATACATATATGTTCATAGATTTGAAACAATATTGAAATCAGTTGACTTTAATCTTGCATTATTTTCAGTCTCGATTTTCAAACCAAACTCATCAAGACCAGCAAATGCAGAAAGATATTTTATATGTTATGGATTAAAAGCGAATCCAGTTGTGGACAGCATAAAAGAATACTTATGGAAGGTTGTGAAAAGACTGTGGGAGATCAGTGAATGTAGTGATGTAGATGTGTTAGAAATTGTACCTTTGGAAATTATACAGAGTGATAGGGCGTTCTGCGATTATATTCGTCAAAGCAATAACAGGTAAAGGAGAAAAAATGGATGTATAAGGTTTGTTTGGTGTAAAGCTTAGATAGCTACAAAAAAGATATTACGGAGTTTAAACGAGAAAAAATGGGTGCATAAGGTTTGTTTGGTATAAAGCTTAGATAGCTACACAACAAACAGATATTACAGATTTTATTTGTTTTTAGGTTGGGTGAGAGGCAAATAGTTGGACTCCAAAAATTAGCAGCATTTTGTAGAAATCCGACCTTAGTTGATACGAGACAAGAGGAGTTACGAAAAGAATGCTTGGAGTATTGGCAAATTCCGGATAAGCCTAGGTGCGCTCTACCCTCTCTCAGTATAGATGATGTGTTGAATGCTATTATTGATAGGCCAGGTAAAAATATAACATGTAACATGCCTTATACTACTATTCCACCATAGTTTCACTATAGTTTATTAAATATCCATACACCTCGAAAACTTGGTAACCGCGCATTTGTTGGAAAAGGTTTCATTTTTTTGTTGAATATTTATTGGAATTATTGCTACAATGTCAATTTTGAAAATAATTATTCGTTTACACATTTTTTGAATCATTTTTTCCATCACTAAGCATTTTGGGTATTCATAAAGTGATTTTTCAATTTCTCCTTAAATATTTTTGAAATAGAACAGTGTTTAATGTTGTTATTCAATTTATTAAATTCCAATACTCCCTTTCGGAATATAGACTTGCTAATTATGCTACTATTACAATTTTGTAGACGAAAATATGAACAACTGTGATGGTAATTTACTAAATGTTTTTAGCAACAAAATGACTATATTTGAAGCATGTTATGGCAACAATGTCAACGTTTTATCTTTGTTTTTGTTTACCTTTGTTAAAATGTTATCTCTTAGTTTTTGTGAAGAAAGCAGTTTCTGAGTAGTACAAATATTTTTAGTCATTGCCCTTTAATTTACTAGTGTTAAGCATAACAAAGCGCCAAATTATCACCATGTTAGCGACTTTGACAGGGGTAGAATCGTTGTAAGTATATCGTGAAATCGAGATGTTTGTTTGTCCTATCGCGAAATTGGCCGCCGTGTTAATTGTACTGCAATGACGGTAATGCGCGTGTGTCGAGTGTAGATAGAAGCAGGTAGAGGAATACGAATAAGACCAACCATAGTTTTATTTTGTAGAATTCGTAATTTTGAAAATGTTTTCATTTGCTGTTAACAAAATGGTTGAACAATATAAAAAATTGGGAATTATAGTGTTATGCACAGTTGTTTTTTTTGAATACATACTGATATGGGAAACTCGATAGAAGTAATTTATCTTTTTTGATATTTTTGAAATAATATATTCATAATGCTCTTGAAACAGTAGTTTGTTATCCACAGATACACCCAGATATTTGAATGATTCAACCAATTCCATTTTTTCGACATTAATCAGGCGATCAAAAAATTAATTTATTGATGACCTCTAGTATGGACCTAGAGGATGACCCCAGAGGTTGATCAATATCTTCAGGTCTGACCTAGACGTATGACATAATTTGCAAGTCAATTTTGTAAATACCAACCTACTAATTTTTCGACTTATATCCTCCTGACCTTATGTGTGAAAATTGATTGCTATGTATAATGTCATACTGATTGCGAATAAAATAATTAGGAAGTTTCCTATAGTCGAAACTACTACCTGTGTTACTTGCATCTGATAGTATAACTAGTATCTTTGACAAATCTGAAATAACTATTCCAATAACTTTAAATTTAAGGAAGTTATGGCATTTTCTGTGTTGGCTGCTGTAGCCGATCGGCCTCGGGCGTCGAGGTTCGGTAGTGACGTCACATGACGGAGCGTCGCGCGTCGGTAGTGAAGCGGTCGGACGACACGACGGCATATCGCATACATCCTTAGCGCTCAAGCTGACAAGAAGTTTTTTTACGAGCCGATTCCATAATTCTTTTGAAAGTGGACATAATGATTGTAATGAATTTCTTCACAAACAATCCACTTTGTCAGTACGGAAATACGTAAGTAAGTAAATAGTATAATTTATTCTATACAACTCTGATAACGTGAACCCAGAACGGGGTCTCTGTATTGTAAAAGCCAGGATTACGCCCGAACATAGAGTTAAAAGCAATCCGTATCATTGCAGTTTTGAATGCGACGAAAAGGAGGAAACAGTAATCAAACTAGAATGCAGTGGTTGTGCTGCACAAGAGGGTGGCTGTAAGCATGGTGTAGCGCTAATAATGTGGCTGCACAGAAGAAGCGAAGAGCCACCATGCATTTCCGTGAAGTGCTACTGGACAAATGCCAGATTATCTACTATTGACAGTAATCTAAAATTCATAGAAGCCTCTCAGATGATTATACACTTGACCGACGCCTATGCATCGCCACGTCGGCACAAACAAGGTTTGAACAGTGTTCCCCCTACAGCCACAAGATGATCACTATACTCACATTATCTCGAAATGAAAGTAATAATCAAAGCTATTTATGTTCTCCTTTAAACCATTTAGATTCTTTACTTTATCATGCGAGGCATACAGACTAAGACTAATAATAATTATTGTTGCTACCATTTATATCATAGGTATTAGCTAAATAGCTGCTTACATCAAAATGTGATTCACAGCAAAACAACGTTGATTTTTCAGACAGCGGCAATTTATCGTCCGTATTCATTACCTTGCACCACTTCTTTCTAATACTGCTGATATGCTAGTATTTGTACACCTAGGTACAATAAAATATTTGTGGGTTGAAGTTTTGACCCACTTTTTACTCATTGTTAATAATAGGGGTAAGCGTGTGAGGCGCGGCGGGCGCATCTCCTTGTAGTGGTGCTGGGCTGATAAGCTTCCGTCATGTGACGTCATCACTCACTCGCACGGCCCACCACACGATTCTCCAAATAATAAACTTCTGACTAGCGTAACTTTGTTATTTCTCAAGATATTAAAAAAAAATCAGCACTGTTCTTAATTTTTCTTAGACTATCATTTTGAGTGTCTTTTGAAAAATAGGAAACTTCATTGCGAATTATCATTATCTGAGTCATAGTAGAGGTACTAATACTTGTTTTTTTTATCTGAAACTTTGCTAGGAATTTTTCTTTTGAAAAATATGTTATGTTGCCAAGTTTTTGGGGCGTTTGGATACTTGATAGAAATGTAATATAGCTTTGTTTTGTAGAAATACTGTTAGTTCAACCCAGAGAGCTAGATAGCATAGATAATTTCACACATACCGTCCAAGATGTTGAGGATTGGCATTATTGCTCACTGTACAGTTCTCAGGTGACCAATCATTGCAATTTCTACGTTGGTAAGTTTTAATCTGTGAGTGAATTAATTGACATTTGTCTCAATCCGAACATCCATAAAATGACAGCGTTGTGCCGCAAATTAGCATCAGTTGAATACTGCCGTTGTATTGTATCATATCTATTGGAATTATTTAAAGGCACCCAACTCATTCATTTTTAAATTGTACTGCAGCGGACTAAGTTTATATATAGCTTCTTTAGATTTTTAGTTTTAATCCTTTTCGCATAAGCATTCGTTATTTTATTACAGGGATAACTAGCTCTAAGGTATACAGGTTACAGAGGAACAAATGGGTGAAAGTAAAAAATTTGGCGCTGGGTAGGGGGACAGTATTATACGGAGAATTTGTGAAGGAGACTGTTAAATTGAAAAATAGGAATGCCGAAGAAAAATGTAGTTTTAGGTATAGTCTGCATGTTATTGATGCATTACAACTAGCTGATAAGAGTTTGACGGATCTCTCGTTTAACGAAAGGTAATTATAATTGCTATCATACTATAAAATTCTTACCAGATATATTAAAAAAAATTCGTCAAGTAGGTTGCCGTTATCAGTTGATAAAGGATTATGTTCACCACAAATTTGATCCTCTAAGGAAAAAGTTAGTTGCATACAATTAGTCCATAGACGATACTTCCCTGCCCTACCAGTAGTGCATCTGAAAACGTCGGTTCTCCCCTGTCAGACGTGGCAACGTGGTCAGAGCATGGGAAACAATATGCTGTGGCGCGGCAAAAATACTTGTAAAACCATACCAGAACAACAGTACACTCACCAAGGCCGGCGGCATGTCGCCGGGAGTAGTAGCCGCGGCCGGTAGATACGCGCTTCGTCTGCTGAGAATATTTTTAAGTTTTAAGGCCTAACATGTGCGTAGAATAACCAAGATTCGTAGCGTATAAGTGTACTATCATCAAAAAATTGATATGACCTACCCCACAGGTTGTTTACTCTTTTTTTTTCAAAAATGATCAGGATCGTCTGAAACGTCAAAAAACCAATTTCGCTCGATTTTTAAGTTTTTCGGTTTTTTTCTCTGTTGCCGCTGGACCAATTTTCAAAAACTACAAAGCTTTTGCGACATTGGCATACCTTGTGTGAAAATTTCAGGCGGTTATAAGATTATTCGACAGACAGACAGACCGACGAAAATGAGTGACATGGTTTTACGTAATGTACATGACATCCAAAAAACATAACTCATTTTCGAAAATTTTCGTGATTACAATACTTTCCCGCCAGTAGACGTGGTAATTAAAACGCAAAAATATGAAGTACTGTCCAAGAGAAAATATATACAGGATCAACATACGAGGTTTATCCGGAAAACACGTATAAAAGTGGAATAATAACTTTATTTTACAATTGTTCAGGTATTTCCATATAGCCTCCTTCAAAGTCACTCCCCCTGAGACAAGATGCAACTTGATGTTGATGCACTGTTCCTCGACGGCAGGTAAAAAAGGGTTACTTTCAACAAGCACACGTAAATCCTACTTACTCGCAGAGCGCTCCGGCTCGAACTGAGCATAGAGGGGATTGCATAGAGTGAGAGAGAACCACCGAGCCACCCATAGACAACGCGTTGACACGACGCCCCGAATTTACGTATTTTACGGACAAACCTCGTATGTTTGAGATTAGATGAGATATTCTAGATTACAGATCCGTTAACTGCAGATTGAATACCTTGATTTTGTGTTACTCTTTCTTGTTCTTGGCAAATATGTAGTATGAGCTTGCGAAGATTTTGCCGTCGTCTTTTTTTATAAAACCTGTGTCCAATTGTTTTTTTCGTTTTTACAGAATGAAAATAATAAAGATCTATTGCAAGGCTATTAACAAAGAATCTTACTTGACTTCAGTTAGGGTACGACCTAAAGTCTTAGAACCAATGGCGAATCTCGCGTTCAACTCTTCATTAAAAAAGAGAAAGAATAACCATCAATATTTCCAACCACTGCCAGTGATGGGGGCCCATTCACATGAGGAATTATATGACATACATTCTCTGCTACTTTTGAAAACAAACAGCAGTGAGTACAAACATGTTTTATTATTTTGAACATGTCTTTTTCCAAGTGGGATCATATAGTCAATTTTCAACATTTTTTATTGATAAATCCTTAAGTGATACGTATTTTTCATTTTTGTGAATAAACTGATTGGAAAGTGAAAAGAGGGCTATTCTAATGTCCTAAAATTTTGCAGGTCAATCGTTTCATTCAACTTACGTCTTAAGAGTACAAATGTTTTTGAAAGCTGAAGGCTGTCCTGAAGACAAGAAATATTTCGCACTAGATGAGATAGTGTCCAATCTAAAAGAAAGAGTATGATGTGTTTTTGCTGTGATGTTATTGTTTATATACACCTATGTATGTAATATTCATTATGCATTTTAATAATCTGTAAGACACTGTATTATATGATACAATTTACGTGCAAAAATTGAGTTTTTATATTCTTTAAGCTAAAATAGGATGGATAGATAGATAGATTATTTATTGCCCAACAGTGGCCCATTAACAGGACAATATTATACAAAATCCATACAAAAGATACAGAACAAACTACATAACAAAACAAAAATATCTCATGTACATATATCCTTGACCTACGTATGTATTAGCTATCCTATCTAATTATTTGTTAGAAGTACAAAATATGACACAGAAAGTACAGATTCTATTGAAATATTTGTTCTTGTAGCTCTGAACGTGAAGTGAGTACGCCACGCAAAAGTCGGTACACTGATGTTGATCTTTCCAAGACTGTCAATTAGATTATTTAAAAGATTAAACAAAAATATCAATGTCGCGCAACACGACTGTTTAGCTCGGTATTGGTAACACCCCTTTCTGGGTAATTTCCATCAATTTTATAATCTAAGAACTTAGAAAGTCTTCTCTGTACTTTCTCCAAACAACTCTTTTGGCACTCATAAAAGGGATTCCAAACTATGCAAGCATACTCCAGTTTAGACCTCACAAAAGCAAAATACAGCAGCTTAATGGTTCTTATGTTATGAAAATGTCCACAGTTTCTAACAACAGATTCATATAAATGTGAAAGTAATGCTTCAATATGTTTACAAAATGTCAACTTGTAATAAAAAATCACACCTAAATCCTTAATTTCAGTACAAAGCTCCATAGATATCCCATTTAACAGGTAAATAAAGTGATAGGTAGTTTTCCTCCTAGAATAACCCATAACTTTACATTTGGGTACATTTAAGAAATAACTTATTGGTATCACACCAGTGCTGGAGGATGTCCAATTGAGACTGAAGTCAAATCATTGATAACGGAATATATTTTCAATTCATCCGCAAAACATAAACGTTCACTCTGCAAATCTTCACATAAATCATTGATGAAAAGAAAGCACAGCATAGGACTTTTCTTCACTGCAGTGTCACCAGGTATTCGGATTTTTGGGTAAATCTACCGAATTCAGTCCATTCTACCGTACTATCGATTTGAATGCGAAATTACCGAAAATATTTTCAAACTCGTAAGCACTATATTTCTGGTATAATTTTACGAAACATAGGATTAGAGCACTTTGCCAACCTCCCCTTCCCCCCCTGGCTCCCTCAATTTTTATTCATATGCAAGTTTTTGCTTTATGTCTATCTAAAGATTCATTTTGTACTTGCAACTCTATTTAGAAGTTCATTTGCATACAAAAAAAAGACGCTGCAAGCAAGTTTTAATATTTTTGTAACCGATTCATTATTGTCAACGGTTGCAGACTAATACAAAGATGTCACTTGTTGATCAGCTGTTCACCTCAGTAGACGTCAAAACATGATGGATACTCGTTGCAATATGTACACTGCACAGGAAATGAATTTCAGGTTATTTGCATGTGGCATCTCTCTCATATCTATTTCACTGTTGCTGTCATCATGGACCAGTTCAGACGAGTTGCAAGCAGATATACTAGATAATATTAATAAACCAGCAAAACATGGTAAAACGTGAGTGAAATTAAAAACCATGGGAATCAGGATTTTTTGAAGTACATGATAATATGTCGTTATTTATTTGCAGTAGGAAATAGATCAAAAACTTGATTGTGGCAGGATATGTTGACATTTTCACGTTCATCTGTATAAATGCGCCGACCCTCTACGCGCACTATTTTTTCCGAGAGCCACGCCACGCCCTCAATTGGCTTTATATGAAGAGGCAGATTAAACTACTATCTCTAGTCTTCGTGATATATACATTTCTGGAATCAGAATTAAAGTCTCTATGCAACTGTGCAAAAATCCAATATGACCCCTATAAGAAAAAGTAAAGTTGATCATTGAGGACAAGAGAAGAAACGTCATATTGAAATTCTACAGGAGAAAAAGTGGCAATGAGAAAAAACTTTTCATTAAGAAATCCCTTCTTAAATGGAGGAAAAAATAAAAAAGATGTTGGGCGTTGTTACCTAAATGCGCAACTTTGTATTCAATTGATCGACTTCGTATCTCCTATCGCGTCCAGCATCCCAGTGGTGAGTCGAAGTGTTAGCTCTCTATAAAGGGCTGGTCACAAATAGCCGTACGAACCATATAAGTTGTAGATTAGAAGCAATTTTTTTGAAGAGAATTCGTGTTCCTGGAGTGAAAAAGAGGACTTTTCTTTGTGTCGTATGCGACAAATAATGGTTATAACTGTTTGACTGGATGTTTGCATTTGAAAAACTGGGAGATCTACATTCTGTATATCGTTGTCATTATCAATGACATATTTTTGAAGTCGGAACCCTTTTTGGTTGAATTTACTGCCGATTTTGAGAAATACCGCTTTTATCTACAATTTTCTATAAGTATGCCCCCAAAGGCTGCATCTAAACAAGTAGATGAAGAGTTAAGAAGCCTTCAGTTGGATAGGCCAGATGTTGGAAAAGGCAAGGTAAGTCCGAAAATTAGTTATTTATATTATGAATGATTATCTATATATTTTAGAGCGCCAGTGAAATACAAAAACATTCAATTGATGACCAGTTGGTGAACAAACCTGTTGAAAGAACTCTATATATTCTTACGTAAGTTTCTATGTACGCCACAGTAGGTTGAGCGGTAAGCTATAGTTCACCGATAACTGTAGCGTCCAAAATATCTATGATGTTAATTAAGTTTACTATCGGCACTAAATTAACACCAGCAGCTTCACTCGTCCCTAATTTAAAATTCATATATAATGACATATGAACCACAAATTACATAACACTCGCCCAAAGTGGAATATATTTTATATATCTTGTTGACACATTACATATTTTTATCTTTAGATTTCGATTTTGCATGTTTTTAACCTAATTTAAAAGCTATATTCGTACAAGATAACCTGTACAGAGAAAAACTGAGATTAGCTTTTAGTTGCGTGATGTTAATTGTCAAACATTTCTCTAGAAGGAAAGGCTTTGCGCTAGAAATATTGAGTAAATCTACCATATAATACAATTTTGCGTCGCCGCTCTAGGGGGATTTGCCCAGTCTCTGGTTCAGCGGTTCAGTAGTCACTTCTGGTCACTTCCTATTTGCGCCGATTGGCAGATGGCAAGGCAACAGTGGACTTGTTTTTGTTGAGAAACGTCATTTATTTCTATAACCAAAAATATGAAAAACAAGTAATTTTTGTTTGAAAAATGTAAATGAACGAAATTTGGAAGTGATGCTTTTAAAAAATGGATTTGGAAGAGGATATAAAAGACGAGGAAGAACAAGAGCCAACAATCTGGCAAGATATTTATATGTACGAATCTAGGATACATTTGCATTTGTTCTACTCTACTACCCCAAAAATACAAAATCTGATTTATTTTGCAGGAATGGCGATGATTTACAAAAACTTAGCGTCGTCCAATCATTACCTGACCTTCTGCAAACTGACCGCAATGCTACTGTGCAAAGGATCATTCCAAAAATCCAACAAGAACTGCCAAACTCGTCTTCTGAATTTCACATTGCTGCAAGCAAAATTTTCAAGTTACTCGTTGAAATGAATCTGAATCTCAACTTGATGCGTCCAATTTTACAAGGGATTGAGAGTAGAGATCTTATTGTTTCCAATGCTTGGCTAGAAACGTTATTGTCTGTTATAGTTGCTTTGAATGAAGCTACTGTCAAAAATGAGGTAGGTGTCAATTGAAAAGTTGAAGCCGTTTATGTTAAATTTATACCTGTTGGTGAATAGCTTGAAATTTTGCATTGTTCAATGGCAAAAACTGTATTGAGGAACAGGCAATAAAAACTTACAGTATTCTATAATCATACTCTTCTCAACTGTATTGGAGTATGTACAATCAGTTTTTCTTTCCTCTTGAAAAGTTGACTAATGGGCAGAACTGATTTTTACTACCCTCACCAACTGGCGAGGTAATATTGTAAGCTAAAAATTCTAATTTTGAAAATGAATATTTTTTTTAATATTTGACATGTACAGTAATGGACAAAAGTATATAGACAAATTAATATTGTGCTGTATTTCTTTTTTAACTTGTTTTATTAATACACCAACCTGTATACATAATTCGTTATAGCATAATACTCACTTATACATAAATAAATTCATTAGACTCCCTTCAATTAAAAATTAATTGAAAAAAACTGGAACTATGAAGGACAAAAATATATAGACAAAGCAAAACAATTATAGAAAAAAGAAGCATAGTTCATTGAATTATAGAAAACCAACCATGTTTGTGTTGATATTTTGTAGCATAACCAGTATTATCAATGACCGCCTTGGCATAGATTGTAGAAGTTTCTTGATATAAGATTCATCAATCTGTCTCCACTTTTGCTCTAAAGCAGCAAAAAGTTTGTCTTTGTTTCAATAATTTTTATCTCGTATTTGCTTATCTAAGTATTCCCATAGATTTTCAATGGGATTTAAATCGGGAGACTGTGAAGGCCATTTGAGAACTGGTATTTTTTCATCCAGATTCGTTTGCGAGATTTGAAGTGTGCTTCGGGTCATTATCTTGCTGGAAAATTGATTTCAAGGGCATATTGTCTTCCATATAGGATATCATGACATGCTTTAGTATGTCTGTGTATACAAACTTATCCATAATGCCATCTATTCTATGTAAAGGTCCCATCCCAAACCCTGAAAAGCACCCCCAAACCATAACAGACCCACCTCCATGTTTGACAGTGGGCAAAGTATACTTGAGGTTCAATCTTTGTCCACTAGGACGTCTAACATAATGAACACCATCTGATCCAAACATATTGAACTTGGATTTGTCACTGAAACATACCCTCTTCCAGTCACTGATGCTCTAATCAAGATACAACCATGCAAATTGTAATCGGTCCTTACGGTTTGTTCTCGAGATTAGCGGCTTCTTTCTCGGGCGACGTGCAAATAACTTCAAATCATTTAATCTTCTACTTATAGTTTTCATAGAAACACTGACAATTCCTTTTGTCTCGATTTCGGCTTTTATTTGTCTTGGGGTTTTAAACGGATTTCTGGACAAAATTACTTTTATTAATCTAATTGATGTAGCATTTAGTTTTCTAGGCCGACCACTTTTCGTAGAGGCTTCCAAGATACCTTTTTGTTTATATTTGTTCAGTATTGCCCAAACTGCTTTACGTTTCAGCTTCAAATTTTTGGCAATGTCGACTTGACGTTGACCATCTTTGTATAACTCAATGATCTTAGTTTTCACATCGAAAGAAATTTCTGGCCCACGCGACGTGGTCCACTCAAGTTATTCCACAATACTTAGGCCCGTATCGTCAGTCGTCCCTATAATTGTAGGGCGCCTTTATGGCCTCCTTGATTGTCATAGTTTTCTACTTCTCCCTGTCAGCGCTCTATTTTGAGGTTATCTCACAAACATCTATTTGCATCAAATTGTGCTTGCTTTTGAGTTATATCATGTTGTATCAGCCTGAAATTTCCTACAATTTAAAAATAAAACATATCTTCACAATAGGAGAGCGCTGACGCTGACACGGGACAAGTGTAATCTAGAAATTTTCGAAGGAGGGAAAGGAGTATGACAATCAAGGAGGCCATAAACGCGCCCTACAATTATAGGGACGACTGACCATACGGGCCTTAATGAACACAAACTAATCCTCTTCTGACACGAAATTGTACTAAACTAATGTTGAAAAGAATTTGTCTACATATTTTTGTCCCTCATAAAAAAGTGCTTATATCCAGACTTCTATTGTGTTCATTGCAGATAATGTGAAAACAAGGAATTTAGTGTTTCTACTAATAACGCATTTGTTTATGGAGCAATGAAGTATGAATTCGTTTTCTAAAGGTATTTGGGTAAATATTCGTATTTGTCTATATACTTTTGTCCATTACTGTATATCATGAAAAACCATGGCACTCATTTCCATTGGTATATCTTTTTGACCCCAATATAGTCTAATAAGAATTTGATGAAATTTGGAAACAATGCTACAGGCAAAAAATGAGGAAATCAATATCCCTTAAACTTCGTTTGAGAGGCTCCTGAGCATTTTCAGATAAAAACTTAAGGTTGGCGGGGGGGACGTCAAATGGCTTTATGATATGGGAAAAAACTGAATAACTTGAGAACAAACAGAACTACTTGTTTTATAAGGTAGTTTGCAGATGCTTTGGCAGTGGCAGTAATAATCAGTATTGCTACTCCTGCCAGGCTGTGCTAGTGTGTTGGGAGACAAGCTGTCAAAAGTAGCAAAGAAAAAAGGCAGAAATGCTAGAACAATAACCAATTTTTCATGATACTTCATCATTCTTTGATGTTTATCAAGGTTCAACAGCTAATAAGCAATTGATATCTTTGTCTGTTTATAACCTTAGGTTCCAGATTACCTCCCTTTGGCGACATTGTTGAATTTTATATGATGAGGTTAAAATTTGGTTAGCGACAGAATGTGTATGAGAGAGAAGCACGCGAAACGTGCAATATGTATGTTAGAAAGAGTGCGCTGATGGCATTCATAACATCATACTCTGGTTGCTAGGCAATGTTGTGCTTCTGTCTCTTTCTAACACATGTACGCTTCTCGCTCGTACACATTACGACACCAGTGGTATTTGGTTTTGAGTATGTATTTGCTTCTGTTAATAACTGTCTAGCTATCCCTGTAACTTGTAGTGTTTTCTTTATATTGTTTACATCATTCACATTTAAATAAATAATTAGCTTTACTGATGTTTGTGCTATCTGATATGGCAAGCTTTCTAAAATATACAAAAAGTAAGGAATTGTATTTAAATATAAATATCAGCCTAGTTTAGTATTCTTGAAAACATCTTCTTCGTCTTCTTTGTTCTCAAAACACTCTTGAGTGAGTGTGAGTTATTGAAATATGCTTATGATTATCATTATTTTTTGGGGAAGATATTTTTTCAATAACTACTATTATTTATTAGTTATACACATTTGTTTATGATTTAATGTAGGTGCTACCATTTGCCTCAAAGATGTCTCAATTGACTCGACCAGTTAACTTTCGAATAGGATGTTGTAGAGTGTTGAGCCAGATAGCCTTACACCCCAAAATGAGCCCTTTTGAGTAAGTTATAATTCGATCTAATGATGCTTTCTGAAGGAAAACCATTTTAATTGATTTTAATGAAATCAGTGATTAATGCTTCCCATTTGTAACTGATTCTTTTTCTATGCTGACATTTTCAGTGTGAAAAAAGACATTTTACCTGTAGTACAGAGCTTATGCCAAGATTGTCTGCCAGATGTAAGATCTGCCATGTGTATGGAACTACCAAACGTTGCTAAAGGTAGGTTGGCTATTTATATTTGAAAAGTTTTTCTGAGAGTTGTACAATTCTCTTCTAGGTCTAGCAAGTGATGCTGTTGTTAAATCTAGTTTATTACCTTGTGTTGTCGAATTATCAAATGATGAGAACAGTATGACAAGGGCGGCTGCTATAGATACTGTTGTTAATCTAATCCAGTATTCTAATTCAGGTAGGACCTCTGCTTTTAGGATCTATGACAATACAATAAGTACATTCCCTGTAATTTTTTAATGCTCCCGCATGATTTCAGAGACGATATTAAGTACCATAATTCCTCTGATGAAATCACTGTGTCAAAGCTCGTTGAAAAAGGATGGAGGACAAACATATCCTGCTCTTGCACGATCGTATGGAAAGCTGCTGGTGAACGTCAGCAAACATTTGGCTATCACAGATTGTTCGTGGTTCCTCGATTTTTATAAGACGCTTTCCACCAGGGGTGTTGCCACCTCTCACAGTGAGGATATAGATCCAGCATTGGTAAGGTTCAATTTATGTGCAAACGTTATTTTCAATTGACACGTTTCCGTATCCGTTTCTCCAACTGATGATTTACTTTTCATTTAGCAAGAAAATCATTTTTTTTCTGTGTCAGAATGGTTTAAAAGTACTACCTTATGTTTTCCTTTAAAAATTAGAAACGTATACCTCAATGACGCTATTTAATAAACCGCGTCTACCTTGAATTAGTTATCTGTAAGCAGCGTAAAAGGTTACAATTTGGTGCTAAAATATCCCTCATAATCAATGTTGTCAGTTTATATTCTACTCTATAGTATTCTAATAAAAGGCACTGCGTGAATACGTACTATTCGTCATTGTCTGTCAGAGCGGTCCGTAGGACCTTTGCTCTTGGTTGAAGTCTTGTAAGTCAGTAGGTCTGTCAGGTCTGGTTGCCCAGATACCAAACAAAGTCAGGGAGAAAGAAGGGAAGAAGAAAGGAAGGAAAGAAGGAGGGAGAGCAAAGAAAAAAGAAGTGCATCAATTTGAGGAGTGCCTTGGCATTGCTAGTTAGTATTCGGCAATTTTAAATTGACCCGAAAATTAATTTTGGGATAGGTTGTTGGAACTAAAATCGCACGATTTAATTTTGTTCACAGTGCGAGTCGCGGCCTTGTGTGCTTGCGAACTTGCTTGACTGTGTAGTATACTGACTCGCGCAATAAAGTGTTGTTATGCGATTCTGATTGACTGTAACGTAGCTGCGCTTGTTGTTTGATGTAGTCCCTTAGGTAAGGGATGTCAAGGTCTCTGTGAAGGGTCTCGTTGGAAACATACCATGGGGCGTTAGTGATTGTATGCAAGGTTCTGGTCTGCAAAACCTGCAGGCTACGCAAATGCGTTTTGGCGAGAAAACACCAAGCCGCACTTGCGTAAGTGATCGCTGGTCTAATAACCATCTTGTATAGCCGAACTTTGTTGATCAAACTTAATTTTGATGTTCGACATAGCAAAGGGTAGAGTTGCCGAAACGAGATTTGGAATTTAGTTTTTAACGCTTCAGTGTGCTTCTGTCAAGTTATCCCCTTGTCAAGAGTGACACCGAGATACTTAGCAGAGGTTTCCCATGGTACCCGAGCTCCATTCACTGAAACCTCAGACGGGGCGCCGCTACGTTTTTTAGTACAATAGATTGCCTGCGTTTTCGAATGATTAATTTTGATCAGCCACCGATTCGCCCATTCCAATACCTTGTCCACTGCACTTTGCAGCCTGTCGTGAACTAGATCCCCAGAGCACGACTTGGCCACCAGGGCAGTGTCATCAGCATAGAGATAGGTTTCACAGCTGCTGGGGCAAGGGACGTCATGAATAAAAAGTGAATAAAGGACTGGTCCAAGAACCGAACCCTGAGGGACACTGGCTTTGATGGGCCGTGTTGTCGACAGAACGTTATTAATTTTGATCCGAAATTTCCTACCCTCGAGAAAGGATTTCAAAAATTTTAGGAGCCAGAAGGGGAAGCCATATGTTGCTCCTCGTCGAGGTCATTATCAAGGTCATAGTTGGGAGAGAACTGACTTTCCATTGCATCATCGAAAACCTCGACCTTTTCCTCTGTCCTACAGACTAAGCCTCTAGGACCGTTGATGTGTGGGAGTTGTTCTCGCTTTCCGTTTCTGAGCGACTTTGCAACTTTCCAGAGAGGAATACTTGAGTCAAGCATCCCCGACAGAAAGTCGCTCCATTGCTCATTACGGAATTCATGAAGAACATTTCTCACTTCATGAACAAGATTAGTTGCTCTGTGAATGTCATCTGGGTGACAAGACCTCTTCGCTTGCTTAATGGCAGCTCTTTTGTCAGAAATTTTCTGACGAATGTCTGCAGGGAGATGCGTGAATACGTGTTTGATGCTGAGATTAGTTTCACACGCTTGGCACATGGGTTCTGGCTCTTGGATGACGAAATGTCCATGGGTAATTCGGCTGTCCTAAACGGAGCCGGGTGATGAGGGATGTGGTGTCTTCTGTTTGTATTATTTGTAGTCCTAGGTCTGAATCTAAGTTTTAGTTCCAGCAGCTTTGGTGGGTTGTTCTGCCATTTGTTGTTCCAGGCTTCAATGACTATACATGTATTTCTGAGGAAACTCTTCACATCAGTAGCTGGAATCCTAACAGTTGATGTAGTTATTAGGTTTGCTGCTGATTTTGCTTGACAGTCTGCTTTTTTGTTTCGCATGATACCAACGTGAGAAAGGGCCCATACAAAAACAACATTGTCATTTTCTGTTTGAAGCAAATAGAGGATCTGCTTAATTTGCCGCACTAGATTGTCATTTGTGTGTTACACAGTATATAACATAATAAATTGTCTTCAAGAGTACAGATTTTTATACAAAATTTCACTATTATGAATTCTGGTTTTCTATGAGATTTTTTTTTCAACCTTGAACATTTTCAAACTGGCACACAACTTGACATGATGATTACCTTATTTATTTAGTTCCTACAATCCCTTCTGAAATATTGACTTGCTCGTTATATTGCTACTTCAATTTTGTAAATGAAAGTCTGTACTTCCTCTAGTACAATAACTATGGTACCCATTGTTCAATTCAATTATTTTTCTAAGTGATTTGGTAGATGATTTTTTAACTTGAATATGAAAATCAATACCAAGTAGGTTATTAGGAAATTTCGGAATTGCAATTGTTTCATTTCTTTACAACCATTGATCTATTTGTACCTAAGTAATATGTTAAAAAATCTAACTTTCCAGTGTGGTTTGTTGCTGAGCTCAGGAGAAAGGTTATTGCCAAAAAGATTGCATACTCAGAGTCGTAGTAGTAGTAGTAGTAGATATTTATTTACTACATAATATAACAAAAATAATAACAATACAGAATAGGTAAATAAATATGTTTTAGTCCACAGAAGAACAATGCCTGTATGCTGAAATGTGGCAATCCAAAAACAAAACAACAAAGTCAAAATAAACCTAAAGAAAAACTTATATATATGTAGAAGACGTGTGTATGGGTCTAGTTTGTGCTGAACATATTCCTTTATGTACTGATAAGGGCGTTGCATGGGAAGTGTAGACTTATCCTACTTGACGCCGTTTTTTTTAAATTGTAAAATGGTTTACCGTAGAAATAAACAAATAATAATTTCAGGCTGTGGCGTGCCGAGATTTTTGCGCTTACAATCTACCAGCAGTTACGTTATTCATGCGGGATCGTTTGAGGGGTGAAGAAAACAAATGGTATGGAATTTTCAAAGAATTAGCCGCCGATCCTTGTTACATCGTGAGAAGAACTGTAGCTAGGTGTATCCATGAAGTCATCAAAATTCTGGGTAGGTCTCATATTATGTAGTTGGCAGATTTGAATGTTTTCATGAAGTGATGTAGTAGAACCAAGAGACACGATGCTTGGCGTGCCACAAGAGTTTAACAGATAAATGTTTCGGGTAGAAATACGAATCAGTTTTTCCAAAAAATATTTTTTTTCAGACACAAGCTGTGCACTGGTTGTCCCAGACATAGTGAAATTGATGTCAGACGACACGGAAGAAGTATTAGACTCCCTTGTACCTCACCTGAGTGCAATCCTCCTACAACTTAACGCTGCCGGTCTATTGACAACAGATGATAATAAACAAACCACCATTGACATCGGCAGAGCTCTTCTAAAATGTCAAGCGGGCGTTTTCAAATGTTACAACTGGAGGCGTAAAATGACGTATCTGCAACAACTGGAATGTCTGCCAGTTTGTTTTTCTGTTGATTTTATACATCAGCATTTCACTACGCTTGTATTAAAGCTGACTGTTGAAGGGGTAAGTAAATTTTATTTTAGTTAATTGAAAAAAATGGAGTCATGTAGTTATTGTCTCGGTACTTCTCACGAGGAAATATGTATATTTCTGTAGATACAACAATACTTGCGCCCTTTCTTTTTGATATATAAATCAACGACTTGTATAATCTGTCAACAAAAAGTGAAAAAATAAGATTTGCATGTGACACCACTATCATCGATAAAGCGAGAATTTGAACAAAAGAAGAAAAAATTGAGAAATATTTAGTACAGATAACAGAATAGTTTGATTAAGTATTAATTATGGAAAAAAATTTCCCTTCACCTCCTACAGAAATAATTTACGCCTATATAATCAGCTAAATATAAATAATAAATAAAAGAAATCTCCAAAATAGATATGTATCACGAAAACTAAATCATCATCTTGATTGGGAGGAAGCTAAGATTTATGTTATATAAGTTTAGATACTACAGATAATTTGTCAATAAAACTCAATTAAAAATCGTATATCAAACACTAGTTGAATGCCGCATAACATATGGAATTACTGTCTAGGGATCCACGAATAACAACCATCTAAATTCTTTACAAACAATAGAAAAATTATTCATAAGAACAATGCATAACAAAACTTTATCATATCCCTTCAAATCGCTGTTTATAGGATCAAGACTTTTGAATATAATATAAATATTTTGATAAAACGTTATATTAGAATTTCATAAAAACAAACATTCGACCATTTATAAAAATTATCAATATTATACTAGAAATAAAAATAAACAAGTAATTATTGCAAAACCAAAAAAGAAATAATGTTGAAGTCATTTACGTAGTTAGGTCCAAAACTATATCAAAACATACCAACATATTTTCCGCATTACTGATCTATGCTCCAAAATCACTGTATTACTTTTATATTATATCGATTTTATCTAGTCCTTATCAATTATTTTATTGTAACTAACGTATTTTCCTTTTGTTGCATATCAATTTATTCGCAATTTATAATTGGTGTGAATAATTATTATTATTATAATTCGAGAAACAAAAAATGCTATACCAGTTCCCACTCTGCCGACGCTATGTTCTGGACTAACCGTTTCTGATTTAGTTAAATTTTTACATTTTTTTTCTTTATCCGGTTCGCAAAATATATTTGCATTATTTAAATCGCCTCTTTCGTATGAATACAATTGGATATTAAATTAGGTTTTTCAAAATTTTATTTGACTGTTTCAGAGATGCAGACCAGTCAGATCACAGGCTTCAAGAACTATTCTTGTATTTTTGCGCTATAACACAAAGGAAAATCACAGAAGGTGGATCAGAGACAGTCTCATAAGAGAGCTTTGCAATTCTAAATGTAGCTACACGAGACATATTTTCATATACATGTGCGTACATGCTATTGACGTTTTTAGCTGGAAGTATTTCAAAGAGTTTTTCTATCTTCAATTACTGTCACTTGGAGGTGAGCATTTTAATAATCACTTATCAAATTTCTAGGCGGTTCACTACAGTGCAACTGCGTTCTTATATGCTTTTATTTTTAGAACCTTTTGTCATGATTCCCTAGCGTCCTAGAGCTCATCCGATTTCGACGGATGGCCAAGTTCTGCTAAATAGCCGATCGGTCCAGATCACCAATGACTTGATCTGGTACGAACACATCTTGTCAATAGCGGTAGCCAGGTTATTTGTTTAGGACTAAGAAGAACTTTTCTCCACATGACCTCCTCACTCTGTACAAGGCCCAGATTAGACCTAGCCTCGAGTATTGCTCACACGTTTGGGAGGCTGCCCCACCGACTACATTATTTATGCTCGATGCTGCCCAGAGGAGAGCTGTCCGACTGATCGATGACTCTTCTCTAACATAGTTTCGGGACCCTCTCGCAACAGCGGGCCGTCGGCGATCGAGCTCTCTTCTACCGCTACACCAACGGGCTTTGCTTCTCTCTCAGTGCCTGCCAGACAGACCCGCCTGACTTCGGCCTCCCATCCTAACCGTTTCGAACTCCGTACATCCAGAACTGGCCGATACGACCGCTCCTTTGTTCCCAGGGTGTCGAAATTGTGGAACAATCCACATGAGGAGGCTTTTCGCAGTTCTTCTAACCTTAGGCAGTTCAAAAATCGGATTAATAAAGTTTCTTTGCGATCCTCATAGCCGCCGCAGGGTCCTGGCATTTAGGCTTCTACCTGCGCGGCTGCTTCTGTGTAAAAAAATAATTGTAGAGATTATTAGGAAACTAGATGCTGAGGATTCTATTGTAACAGAACAGAAAAATTCTGGCGATTCCAGTAACGATTGTATGTCTATCAAATGACAATTGGAACTGTCAAATTTATACTGAAATTGCACTTGAGTATGCGTTGTTCATTTAACATCCAAGAGGTCTTATACTTGAGTATCACTCAACACACAGTGCAAAAACCACTAAGTTCGTTTTTTGAACAACATGAAAACGCATTATTAAAGGTAGATATGTATTCTGGGTATTATACAGGGTGTTTCAGTTTATTGTTGCATAACTTTAAGGTTCGATAGAACTTATAAAATTAATGCATAAAGTCTATATAAACATGGGTCGAAAAATGCGTGGCTTCCGAAATACAGGTTGTTTAAATTTACTTTCTGAAATAGTTTTTTTTAAATATTTCGAACAATATTTGATGTATAACAGTGAAAATTGGTATACATGGGTTTTTTGGTACGACAAAACGAACCATGGGCATAGTTTTACTGTAGCCGCTAGAAGGCGCTCTCTACTGTACCTGTAGTGTATTAAAATGACCGAAAATTTTTTCTTAGTGCAATTTTTTGCTTTTTGAATAAAAAAACTCATTCTTCGCACTTTTCAACATAAAAAAAGCTCTCTTGTGAATTTTCGTTATAGTTAGCCGTTTTTGAGATATTTCGATTTTTAAGGTTCGATGCACTTTTACTTATTTATGATAAAATAACGTTAAAAAGTCAGTATCTCGATAATTTTTAGAAGTAGGCTGAGCCTGCAAATATTTTTGAAATTGAAAGCAGAATAAGCGGATATTCATTTTGTGTATGGCTTTGTAAATGGAAACGCAGCAGAAGCAGCCAGAGAATATGCACGAAGATTTCCAAACAGACGACATCCAACTCGTTCAGTATTTGTAAGAGTGCATCGCCAAATAATTGAAAATTGTTTTGGAAATCTCCAAAGGGATCAAAACATAAATGTTGGTCAGGGCAGATTTACCCGTATGATTCTGCGAGAGTTTGATAGAGATCCGACCACAAGTGTTAGGAGAGTTTCTGGTGCCTTGGGAATTTCAGCAAGCCATGTTCACCGTGTTCTTAGAAATGACCATAGACGTCCTTACCATTTGCAACCTGTGCAAGGACTACAGCCAGGGGACGGAGAACGAGGAATCAGATTTTGTCAGTGGATTCTTGATAGAACTGATAATAATAGGGAGTTTGTAAGTAACGTTTTATGGACCGATGAGTCATGCTTCACTAGACGTGGAGTGGTAAATTTTCATAATCAACATATTTGGTCACATGAAAGTCCGCATGTAGTTCGGGAAAGAAGTTTTCAGCATGAATTTGGTGTGAACGTGTGGATTGGTATCTACCGTAATCGACTATTTGGACCCTACCTTTTGCCTTCAAGGTTAAATGCTGCGACCTTCTTGGAATTTTTAAAGGCTGAACATGCAAATATGTGGGATGATGTTATGTTAGATTTAAGAAGATTGGTCTGGTTCCAGCTTGATGGTTGTCCAGCTCATTATTCGAGAATAGTTAGAAACTGGCTGGACGAAAATTATCCAGAAAGATGGATCGGCCGTGGAGGACCAGTCGCCTGGCCTCCACGATCCCCAGACCTAAATCCATTACATTTCTTTGTGTGGGGATTTCTAAAAGAAAAAGTGTACCAGACTCCCGTAACCACAAGAGATATGCCAATACACAGAATCAGGAATACATGTGATGAAATAAGGCCTTATTTGAATAACGTTCGATCGTAGATGTGAATTGTGTATTGAACATTTCGAGCAACTACTTTAGATTTTGTATGTTTGTCCTAACTATCCAATAGCATTTTAGTTGTAAATAATTAATTTAATTTGTTAAAAATAATATTGAAAAATTAAACAAATTAATATTCTGTTTTTTGTGTTTATTTGGAGTTAGGAATTATTGCTGTGTTTAAAAACACAATCTAAACGATCATCTTAATTACTTGTAATGCCCAAATCGAAAATGTAAAAAAAATATTATTTTCCCATAAATAATTAAAAATGCATCGAACCCTAAAAATCGAAATATCTGAAAAACTATAACGAAAACTCACAGGAGAGCTTTTTTATGCAGAAAAGTGCGAGGAATCAGTTTTTTTATTCAAAAAGCAAAAAATTGCAATAAGAAAAATTTTTTGGTCATTTTAATACACTACAGGTACAGTAGAGAGCGCCCTCTAGCAGCAACAGTAAAACTATGCCCATGGTTCGTTTTTTCGTACCAAAAAACCCTTGTATACCAATTTTCACTGTTATACATCAAATATTGTTCGAAATATTTAAAAAAAACTATTTTAGAAACTAAATTTAAACAAACTGTATTTCGGAAGCCGCGCATTTTTCGACACATGTTTATATAGACTTTATGTATTAATTTTAAAAGTTCTATCAAACCCTAAAGTTATGCAACAATAAACTGAAACACCCTGTATACTTCTTAAGTCACTACATTCCTTTTCGAGCTTTCTCCATTATTATTTTTATTAATATACTGCGAAGGTTTTTCGAAATTTCATTTAGAAATCAAGTACATTAAGTCTAAAACAGTACTTGAAGTCTGGTTTATCAGTGACACATTTTTATGTTCTCTTGAAAAATACAAATTGTGGGAGCCGTATATTGTCGATTTCTTTATGATAATTGCCTTTATATTGCATTTGACAATGTCTACATTTATATCATTCAATTTCCAGAGGACCCGGTGTCCACCGTAAGACTTTGCGTGGTGAAACTCTGCCCCATACTGAAACACATGCTGATGCTACCGATGGATCGTAATCTTCAAGTCAAACTAGAGCAGTTCGTCTCTAAAATAGAAATGATGGAGAAAGACCGAGACGTGTTAGACACGCTAAAAGTGAAGTTGAAAGAGATGCGTACGCCGCAAGTGAGCAAACAGGAGGCATTGCTGAAGGAGAGAATGAAAATGGAAGAGGAAGACAAAATCCAGAGGGGGCAGTTGACGGTGGGTCTCGGCGCGCCTGCTACCATGAGAGGTATTTCCCTGAGATATATGTTTTGCAGAATAAAAATATAAATGGTCTAATCATACAAGACGAAAATTTCACTGTTTTTCGAAGTAATTGTAATGTCTGGTTTTATTGGTGCAAGTTGTTCAAAGGGGTATTTAAAACATGGACGCATAAATTGGTAATACCAATTTTTGTGGGAAAACTTTATTCTACAAGAGCAAACAACCGCGTTTCTTGGAATTCAATTCAAAAGTGGTGGCAGAAGCGAAAAAACTTTTCCGATAAGATTTTTAGATATTTACGAGACCTACACACCACATATAAAAAGATCCGTCGAATAGCAAAAAAGTTGTCGTCAAGAACCTAGTCACTTGGCAGTTGGTTTTTTAATGTGGTACTTCTTAATAACCACAACGAAATTGCAGTCAATTGGTCAGGTAGTTTTTGAGAATCTCTAATCGTTTATATCTTACCTCGCAGGTATGAATCACAAACAATTATGAAAGATGAATGTTATTTTTATGCAAAAAACGAAATGTTACGTTTTGCTCTTGTAAACAAATTCAAATTTCGTATTTGTGACTAACAGACGCGTTACGATATTCGTGTTATTATAGACATTTTGAAACAAAGCGGATGTATCATCTTTTGTTGCGAAGAAAAAAATGTTTTCAAGATGTCTTCATACTCTTATGTATACATATTTAAAGCTGAAATACACGATCACACATTTGACAATTCATCCCACTGGGGAGACAGTATTGTAATCGCGAATTCGGGATATGTTTTTTTTTTATGTTATATGACACGAATGAGGATCACTAGAAAAGAAATCTACCTAGCCATAAAAAAAATTAAACGCACAAACATAATATGTCAAATAGTGGCACGTGTTCTAACCTTACTTGCAAAATTTGAGTTAATTTTGATAATTCGTTTCCAATTTATAAAGTGAATTGTGAGGTAAAATGAGTAACTAAAAGAAGAATCGCTCAAACTTCGTTTTTTGACGTTTCAGACGCACCTGATCATTTTCAGAAAAAAATGTCCAGGGTTTGAGAATTTGGGGCTGTAAATGTTTGATCTTTGGTAACAGTGAAATACGTTTTATTATTTATAAATTTATGATACCTACCTGTTAGATATCACACATATTTCGCATAATATTACGTCTGTAACACCAGCAACAGCCCAGGAACAAAACCAGATTTTTTAACCGCGTTGGGTCCAATCCAGATATTATGCACCATGTATAGCCAGAGCCGATTATTTCAAGCTACCGATCAGACAAACATGGATTATCAGCATGAAAACCACCGAATAAGTTTCAGACTTTACAGTTCAACTATATTCATTCCATCACCTGCTGTAGGAGCTACCATGGCTGGTGAATAGTCAAGATACCAGAATGTACGAAAGTTAACTCAGATTAAATGGTGCATATTCAGTCTATAATTTCATTTTTTTTAATACGCATTTACAGTTCAATTATATTGATCCCATTACCTGCTGTAGGAGCTTCCATGCCTGGTGAATAGTCAAGATATATATATATATATATATATATATATATATATATATATATATATATAATTTAATTTCTTTAATAAGCAAATTGTTTTTCACTGACAATCATTCTACTTTACGGTCTTATGTCAAGGTTCAGAGTGTGCAAAAGTTGACTTAGTTACTATAGATGCTGCATATTCAAACTCCATTTGCCCAGAATTGCGTATTAATTACAAAGTCAATTTTCACACTCTATCTTGTATAGGTGGTGTGGGCCAGCACCCTGCGACCGCGCCAGGACGAATTCCTTCTCAGAGGGATACTCGCGGTGGTAGAGGTGGCCTGATTAGAGCTAGAACGGCTACTGTACCATCGAAAAGGATCGGTTCAACACCAAGAAATGCTTCCAACCCTAAGTAAGTTTCTCAGACATGGTAATGAACAGACTTGCTATTTGGATTATTCAGCTTTACAGTGTATATTTCAAAAACCAAACTAAACATATTTTTTTTTCTTCGTTTGAAATTAGTACCAAAAAGCGAATTATCAGAATAATCGTAACCATTAATATTGAGCAGGATTTTAAGTGACGTTCGGCAGGGGTATTACGTATCTTGAAATGTGACATTATGTCGTTTTTTTTTGTAGGCTTTTTGTGACATTAAACAGGTTTTTCCACAAGATGTCAACTACAAACTAGTTGTTGTTGTGCACTCGTTCTGTAGCTGTATGTGTTGCCTAAACGACATGGCGCTTCAGTTATCAATGTTTGGCTCTAATGTCAGGTAACATCTGCTTATTGGAGGTCTAAGCTGTAAGTTGTATACTACAGCTGAAAGGAAACGGCAGTGCATAGGTGCATAGTGATTATCTGTGTAATCTGTGTTGATGGTAATTCCATTAGATTCTTGTCTCAAATACACTTAGTTGAGATGTATGCCTCATCCTGGAAATTACATATGCAAATTTGCTGAGTTTAAAAAATGAGACATGATAAAATAAACTCACTGCTTAGTGCTTAATATTACAACTAACAGGCGAGAAGATAGGCTACAGACAGGATTATTTATGAAACGTGAAAAGATTATTACATTCATTATTATATTTTATTTCCAGTCATTTAAATTTCACAGAAATGTATTTTGGGGTGTAAAGTAGAACATACAAATCAGCGCCTAGATGTGAGGCACTGCGAAAATGTTGCGGCTTAATTACACACAACACGACCATGGTGGCGATTTCCCGTAATGCTTCTCAAAGTTTTTGAAAACGCAAAAAAAAACCGGGAAATTGTAATTTATATCTTTGAACATAACCTCTCTTCAGAAAGGACAACACAAATAACCCGTCCGGTACAGCTAATAGATATCCTTCACGGGCAGCATATTCAGTAGATGACACTTTTGGTGACGCTCACGGCTTTCATAGCGAGAAAACGCGGAATGAACTATTTAGACACTACGCAACAAGTTGACATTTTTTCGTTTTTTTTGACATAAAGGTTTCTTACGTAATAACCCTGTCGTTTTGGCAATGATATCGACTTTCATCTTACTATAGTATTTTTGTAGTACCTTCTTACACTTGTCTACAAGCACTATGTAGTTTTTCTAATAATCCAGGAAATAAAGAAGCAAAATATCTAGTCAAAAAGATGAAACATTTTTTATATCCAAGGGTTAGAATTGTTGATTTATAAACGGGTAGCGCGATTTATCGCGACCTCGCTCTTACATATTTGCGCGAGGCAGAAACCCCACAATTGTAGGAGAAATACTCCGCACACTGGAGTGATGCGAAGGGGAGCGATTTGTTGAAGTTGCCGTTTTCGAATTGTAAGCGAGACAAAGTATGAAAAACTAAAAATGGCCACTTTAATGCTTAATAATAACTCGCTTGAAATTATTATTTTTGAGAATATGTTTTTAAATTATAGTTTAAACCTCCTCTTATAAGAGCCCAAAGAGTATTATTTTAGACTTTATTTCTAAGCATTGTTATTTTTTAGTTGTTATTAACGCGCTACGGGCCACACGCATGTCTCTCTAGCTTGTGGAATATTCGGTACAGTTTTTCATATTTTAACTCGCTTACAACTCCAAAACGGGCAACTTTAGAGAAAAGTTACTATTGACTTTCTTGTATAGAATGATCGAAAAAATGAAACTTATCCGGAACGAAAAAAAAAACATTTTTATGAAAAAAATCCTTTTTATTTCTTATCTTCGAAAACGATCAATTACTTTTCATTATAGCATGTTATACGATGATATATAACGACACATTTTGGTGTAAAAGGTAATTATATTTCGACACCAGTGGCTTCATTACAAACAAGTGTTATAATATCTTTTATAAAAAAAATGGTACGCCACTGATATTTATCAATGTTTTTTCTAGTTAGCAGTTACCGTTTTGTCGTTTTAATAAAAAACGCTCCGTTTGAGGAGAAAATTGTAAGAGAGTTTTTATGAATTGAAAAATATCAGTGGCTTAGCAATTTTTTTGTAAAAAATAATCATAATTATGTTTGCAGGGATGCGACTGTCGAAATTCATTTTTTACGGATATACTAAACATTCCATATCTTTAAATGGCATATCTTAGGGACTATCGAGCCGATTTGATAGGAATTTTGCACGATAACAAAGGTATCTAGGAGTAACATAAAACTAGGCGTACGGCTAAAAAATGCAGCGCCGTACTTGACTTTTCCGCTTTTTTATTTTTTCCAAAATCAATACCTTCTGAGCTGAATATTGAAAGGCTTGACTTTGTACAAAACAAGCCAATGAACAGATCAACTACGCCTATTTTGTTTTTTTAGTTGAACATTTTCATTTACCTAAGTATTTTGTTTTAAGCAGCTGGTGTGATATAAATCACAATTTCAAATGTTATCGGTTTGGTTTCTTAGAAATTGAACAAAATAATGCCTAAAATTGAACTAACGATGTTTTAAGAGCTCAAACTTCTAGGACCGGATTCATTCGTTTATTTTCTTATATTTTATTGTGAGCACTGTAAGTTATACTCAAAATTTATCATTATTTCACATATTTTACAGTGTTTCACTTTCCACGCCTAGTGACGAGGGAACTGCTGTAATCGCGAAAATTTCAATTATGAGATATGTTTTTTTGAATGTTATACTATATGTTACGTAAAAAAGACATCATTCATTTCCGTCTGTCTGTCTGTCAGACCGCTAATATGTGAACCGCCTATAACTTGAAAAGTGCTGCTTGGTCATGGATGAAATTTTCAGAGGTTACTACTATGCCACGGACGAAAAAGTTTTGCAGTTTTTGTAAGTCGGTCCAGTGGCGGCCGAGCTAGGGGAAAACTCGGAGGAAATAAAAACCGCCAAGACGTGTTTGGATGTTTCAGAGGTTCCAGATCATTTTCATAATTTTTTTCTGGGGGTTGGGGGTGGGTATATCTCATTTTTAGGCCGCGGTATATGTATATGTTAGCGACCCCATTCATTTTTCGCACCTATCAGTACATATTTCACACATCATAGATTTCTCCGTACATAAATATATATCACTTGGTAGAATTAAATCATTAAAAAATATACTGGAGTTTTGAGTTTCAAGGCATCTTTAGATCAATTTTAAGCATTATTTTGTAAAATGTTGACAAAGCCAAGTTGGTAGTACTTAAAATTTTGTGTTATGTGTTACATAAACTGATAAAGATAAGATATTTTAATAAATAAAACATTTTAACTGAAAAACCAAAAGAGGTCCTCAAAATCTATTTTGCTAACTAATTAATTACTTCACTGGCTTTTTTGTTCATAGACAAATATTCCATTGTCTGGCTAAAGGGTGTTGATTTTGATGAATTAAAAAAAAAGTTGCCAAAATCGATTCCGGTCGTGGATTTTAATTATCCATTCTAGTTTTACGTTACCCTAGTTAGCTTTGTTTTCGTGCAGAATCTCAACAAAATTGGTTCAATAGGGCCAAAGATATGTGATATTAAAGATTTGTCCTGTTTAGATAAATCACCCTATATATCAGTAACAACTGAATTTAGAACCTTTTAATTTTCAGATATGAGACAGTTTGGTCCATACTACCTACCATTTCACTATATCCATTCAACTACGGAACACCCTTATAACGTTCCGAAATTAAAATAATATCTAAAGTACTTTAAAAGAAACTTTTCTCCATAAAATTATTCGAGAAATAATTTCCTGTAGTATTAGCATATCATTAAGGATTCTAATGGAATTAGGCACCAGTGCATAGGCCAATCACTGGAACATTCTTTAGCTGTGATAATTTCTGGAACTAAAGTTTTACAAAAGCTCGTATTATCTGGATTCTTTTTAACGTAATTAGATATACCTCTAATATATCTAATGTATTTATTTCCTGGACTACAAGCTTATTTTTTTGTTTTAGCGACATGACCTTCCTAGGCCATCACTTTTACATAGACGCGGGCGTAGCATTGCCTCAGAAAGTGGACTCTGATGCAGTCAGCGATCTGACACCAACAGTTTCGAGGCTGGCCATAGATCAAGGAACAGCTCAAGAAGATGACGTCGTTCCCACCGTTTCTGCAGAAAACACAAATGTCGCTAGCATGTCCGACAAAGACCTGAAGGCTCTGGAGACTTCCACTACCAACATCACTGACGACGTCAAAGCAAACATTCAACTGATCAGCAGGTTGAAAAGCAAAATACCAACGGACAGGGTGAGGACGAGGAACAAGAGGTATTCGGCGAATTTCTCGTCTAGTGATACCAACATGAACATACTGAAACGAAGGAGTTTGAATATTGGATTTAGCGATGTCAGTCGGATCCCTATCAAAAGTCCGGATGCGTTAATAAGGAGTAAATCCGGAAGTGTATGCATGAAAAGTCATGATAGCACACAAACACTGCCTTCACGAAGTAATGCGGAGACAACTATTGAAGTTGACAATCAGAATGTAGATATTAAGGAGAATCTACCTATAACTGACAGTATTAAAGCTAATGTGCCAAAGAAGACCAGTACACATAAAGCGTCCAGTTTGCCAGTATTCAAAAGGTAAGTTTTCTAGGTCTTCTAGCTTTGGCTTTCTTTTCTGATAGTGATGCTTGTATTTCGGTAGACTCATTATTTTTTCATTTTCTTTTCATTAGGATTAGAAAATTTAAATAAATATTTGTTGGGTTAAGTTAAAAAACGCTTTTTAGTGATACTTCGCCTTTTTATACCGTGTATAAATAAAGTCGGATTATTATTGCCAAAAGAACTCCAACTCATCACTAAGAGACACCACTGATTAACATATTCTCCAAGATGCCCAACCATATGCTGAATTTTGAAATGCAAATACAATTTAAATCGTCACAGCCGTGTTGCTAAGTAAGATCGCAGTAATCCCCTTAGGGGCTGTTTTCACCAAAGCAAGTCGATTTTAACTCGATGATGTCATAAGTTCTTATCCCAGCGTCTGATTTTAATTTCTTCAGATGAAGTCGAAGAACAAACGCGGAAACGCTGGGAACTTAGACACCTATACAGGATGTCCCAGAAGACGACGTCAAGCCGGAAACGGGGGATAGGCCAAATTATAATAGTTATCAAAAAGTCATGTATTTTTCAAATTATAGGCTTAAAAAAAATTGAAGAAATCTACACTCTGTGATGATCTTTTACAAAGGGCACTATGAAAGTTGTACAATGTGGTTTGACACACGAACGCAGGAGGCTGCATGTTGAGACATGTCCATGAGTGCATAGTAGCCGCCAGCAGCACGTCTGTTGATTTAGTTGTTCATTCGTTTTGAAAGTTTAAGGTGCGGACTATGGCATCGTGGTCATGTAGTGAGATAAGGGCAGTGTTATGGTATAACGAATGATTGTCCTCATCGTACGAATTCAGGTGATACAGAGAATTCCAAAGGGGCAATTTTACTCTAGAGGACGCTGGGAGGGAAGCAAGGCCGCGAACATCAGTAACGGAAGAAAGCATTACTGCTGTGGGGAAAATGCTTGACGAAGACCGGAGAGTAACATACCAACATATAGAGGAGACCTTACACCTTCATGCTACAGCAATTTATTCAATTCTGCATGACCATTTACACATTAGGAAACTTCTCTGTGGGTACCGCATAGTCTGACGAAAGAGCAGAAGACTGGTCGTACGACCTGGTGCCAAAAGATGCTGAAAATGTATCATCAAGAGCAATCTCGGTATGTGAACAGCATCGTGACAGGTGACGAGATTTGGCTTTATTATTATATAAGGCCAAAACAAAGTTTGGGTATTTGATGATAAGGACACAGCTGCCAGAAAATCCCGATCTGTTAAGAAAAAATGATAGCTGTATTTTTCAAGTCGAGCGGATTGTGGAGCGTGTCGTTTTGGACACACAGAAGTCAGTGACAGTTAAGTGGTACATGGAACAGTGCCTGCCTAAAGTCATAGAGTCTATGAAAAACCTGCGACCAAAGTCATGAATGAACACTTGGTATCTCCACCATGAGTATTTGACCACTACTGGACTGAAACTTATTCAGCACCCTCACCCTCCTTCCAGTCTACATCTTGCTCCCTGCGCATGTGAAAATGAGGCGAAAAGGAAAATGGTTTTCTAGCGATGAGCACTTGCTAACGGCTTGGGGCGAGTGTGCCGTAATTCCGGGTGAAACTTGGCAGAACTGGTTTAAGGACTGGTTTTGGCGGATGGAGGAGCGTATTGAATTTGGTGGAAATTAGTTTGAACAAATTCAATGAATAAAGCTGTACTGCAAAACTTTCCCATTACTACAAATTTCAATTTTTTCATAGACGGACAGACATTTCTCATAATAAGGAATCTATGAAACTCCGACAGGTCTTTGACCCACCCTGTACAACGAGTCTTCAAACTTTTAAATTCACTTATCTCAAAACTTAGTTTTTGTGACATCTTTTTACCCGTTTCCCTATTAATTGGAAGTAATACATACAATAATAATACATTCAAACCATATTGTGCATCATAATTTTTGCAATATTAACATAAACATTATCACTTTTATTTAATTTTTTAGGCTTTAGGTTTGGTTGTTTTATGTCAAATCTAATTTGCTGAAATCCATTACACCTTGATGGAAAACCGATTTGGTACGTAAACCGCGTTGTTTGCGGTTAAATGGAAATCGTCAGGTATCATAAAAATGATAGTCGGATTTACAGCAGTTAGTCCAGATAGACACGATGGCAACAAATTATTTTCATTTGGAAATTTTATGTAATTTAAATGTTAAGCCATTTTAACATACTGAGTATCTGTACATTTTTGACGTCTGTATAATTTCAAGCAATGCGTCCAATTGTTAACGACAACCGCGTTACTTTGAACTTGTTACTAGATTGTGTATAATCAATGAAAATGTCCATAAAACATGTTTTTCCTTGCAGGAGAGACCCAAGGATACATTAACCAAGTGTGCTGGTGCAATGCTCGACTTTCTACATACAAGTATATTGAGAGAGCTCAGTCTTTAATCCTTTATTGTCTATATAATGTTTACATATTTTTTATATATACACTCTATTGTTATTGACTTATTAAAAATAAATATATCACATTTATTTATTATCAGAGATTAATTTATCTACAGCCTCTACAAAACTTGGTACAACTGCTGTTGGAGGAGGGTTTATCTTATTTTCATCACCTGGTTTGTATTTGCCAGTTTGAACTAGAAATGCTTTCAAACCAGCATTCATGGCACCTTGTATATCATCTGTCACGTCCTAAAAATATTTTTTTAATTACTTTCATAGAAAATAATATCCCATTTTCACTTTTAAGTTTAGGTTTGAGCTACTAGTATGTGTTTACCCCCCCAAGATTGAAAGTGACTATTCTTTTCAAAATTTTAATTTTGTAGTGGTAACTGCAGTTTTGTAGATAAGCATTATGCTTAAAAAAGCATATAGCACATACCTCATATTTGACCCTATAATTTTATTTACAATTTTTCTTCTAGAAGGTTACATAAAAAGTTAGACCGAATTAATTTATAGCCAGATACCCTGTACAACCTCAAGGTTCAAAATAATTTCATAAATTGGCCATACTTACATCTCCAATCATTACTGCATCCTCAGGTGGGATGTTACCCAATGCAGACAGAAAAAATGTTTTATTAGGTTTTCCAACTAATTCTGCGGTGCATTGGGCAGAATATTCGAGTCCTTTAACAAAACACCCTGGACCTAATGCTAAACCATCAGACCTTTTATAATATTTCCCAGCATGAATTGCAATTAGTTGAGCTCCATCCTGTAAGTATCTAAAAAATAATATTATAACAAAAGTATTACTACTAATTATACTGGAAGAAACTGTCTTAAGAAACTAAGATATAATTCTGGGTTAATTGTACCTTAAAGAATTGGATGATAATTTCAAAAACCTCATAAGTCACGCAACCTGGATTTTTCAGGAGGCAGTAAAAACTGTCATTGTTAAACCACTTATCAAGAATTTTTTCTGACTTAGTAGTAATTTTGAGATATGAAAGATTAAAATGTTGAATAGCCTTCACAGTTTAGATTTAGAATAACAAAAAACAACCTGAAAAACGGTTCATATACCCTATTTCGCAAGTATCCATCATGGTGGAATGACAGCTGATTATCTAGTGATATTTCAAAATTCCCCATATCGGCACAGGACACAATTTTGAAGGATCCATCAACGCCAGCTAGTCAGAGCCATATTTTGTTTTGGTTTCATTTTGTACTTGCTAACAGCTGATTTATTTAGGAAAGTTCATTTGCATACAAAAAACAAAATTCCACAAACAAGTTTTACTAGATTATAATATCCAATTCATTACTGCCAACATTGCAGACTAACATAAACATGTCAGTTGCTGCTCAGGTGTTCACCTCAGTAGACCTCAAAATGTGATGGATACTTGTGAAATAGGGTATATCTTATGTTGTTATAGCAAGAATTAGAGTTAGTGGTATATAAATTAAGCAAAAGAATCATAGTATGTTTTATTGCTTATTATTATATAATACTGACTTAGTGACATGCCACATGCTGTAATTTTGCATATTAGGCAAAGCAAACTGCAGGAAAATCTATTTTCCCATTTTACAACCCAACCGTAAATCATCCAAAGAAAATGTACATAGACTTTTCATTTGCATATTTGACAGAAAATGATTATGCTTATATCGATTATTCCTCAAACATGCCTGAAAAAAGTGCTTACAGCAAAAAAAAAAGGGTAATGCAAAAATGATACCTGGGATGGTTTACGAGATGAGGATTGTAGCACATGCAACAAATGCATCTGAGAGAGTAGGTTTTACAATCTTCAGTTAGTTAGAATAGCAACAGCTACTTTTTGGATTTACAGAAATGTTCTCTATATACCTGAAGGCCTCATTTAGTCTATCATAGTGGAACTCTGTAGGTGCTAGACCTATCAATACAGCAGTTGGTTTTTCGCCTTTAGGGCACTCTAGACCTTGGAAGTCTTCCATAGCTTCAGGAGAAAGCATTAACATTGGTTTGAGATTCCTATCTGCAACCAAATTTCTTGCAGCGCCTAGTGAACTGATGATATCGTCTTTATTAACTTTAAATCCGAGTTGGGTTAATCTTTCGAATAAAATTCTCCTGCTTTCTTTCGTTGTATTTGTTACAAATTTTACGTAAAGGTTTGAACTCAGCAACCTAAAAATGTTCGCCGGTTTTATTTTTCCCTCTCGGAACGTAGAGATGTTACCTATTGAGTGCTTCTATACAACCAGGAATTGCTTGATTATCAATATGTAAAGTGCCACTCAAATCAATTAATACAGCCCTCAGCATTTTGAAATTTGTAAAATTTTAACTCAAGTAGTAACTTAACCTAAAATTTTAAGTACATAATAAAGTAATTACTTTACAACAGAGAACAGACTGTCACAAATGTCACGTGCTCACGGAAAGATGGGTAGAGGAAAGACCAACACGAACAAGGAAGGAGAGTGATAAATTTCGAAGTGACTAAGGATACCGATTTTATCATGATGGCAAAACTAAAAGACGTCAACGAAAAAAAAAAAATTAGGTTGACTTCACACGCAGTTATTCCAGATTATATTCGGTTTGTTTCTAAATCTAACGCCATATGAACACCCAATTTCTAACTCATACCAAAAAGTTAAATAGCAAAGTTTGTGCGATTTTTATTTAATTTTATGCTTGTAGCCACCGGCTCGATTTTAGTAACGTTTTTTTGTCCTTGGCATAATAGTAATAATTAGCCTTGTGTCCAAATTTTATTTCATATCATTAAAATTTTTTCGCGATTACTATATACTTCCTCGCTATCGTAACGTGCGATGTTAGATGAGTTTCATCATGCACATCGGACATGCGCTAGAGAGATTTTTATACTGAAGCAGTTACGAAGGCAGAAATACCGGGGTACGGCAACTGCTATAAGGAACATAAAAACGCGTTGTTAATTCTATTTTTGAATTACCTAAAGTCATACAAGCTTGGAAAAACCTCCCCAGGTAGACTGTTCCAAAATCTTGATACCCCAGGAACAAAGGAGAGGTCGTACCTGCTAGTTCCCGATATGCGAAGGTCGACAGAGTTGGGATGGGAGGCAGAATCCCGACAGATCCGTCTGACAAGCTCAACGCTCGGCGGCATCATGAAGAAAGGCTCTGAGGAGCAAAGCCTGTTGATATAGCGATAGAAGATGGCAAGATCGTCGGTACGAAAGGGTCCCGAGAGTGGCCGTTAAAGAGCCATCAGACTGCCCACCTCTGAAAAGCATGTACAATGTAGTCGGAAGACAGAAAATCCTAAACATGTGATTAGTGGTCGATGATTGGTGTCTTACCTGGGCCTTGTACTCAGTCCAGTGAGGAGGTTGAGCAGAGAAAAGTACTTCTTAGACCTAAACAAATAAACGAGCTTTTATCGGCAGCGGTTACGATTGACGAGATGTGTTCATGCCAAATCAAGTCCTAGCAGGTGATCTTGTCTCCGACCAGCTGAAATGTCTCTTTAGCAGAACTCGGCGATATAAACGAATTGTTGCTTCCCTAAGCGGTCATAATTTCCAGGTTCCTTGTCCGAGAGGAAGTCGTTACTAGTCTTTTTCTCTTCAGTTCATCAGCAGAGATTGGTTTGTCACATGGAATGCCTGCGTGTAGAGTGATGTCATCGGCAAAGCTGCAGATGGGATTGATCGCACAGAAGTTGACGTTGTTAGTATGTAATAGAAACAATGTTGGGGTCAAGACCGATCCCTGGGGCACACTCGCGTTGACACTGTGGGATGAAGAGAAGAAACCGTCAATTACTACGGATATCTTGCCGCAGGAGAGGAAGTGAGCCATCCATCTGCAAAGCTTCTCTGGGAGGCCATAGGATGGAAGTTTGCGTAAGAGGGCAGCATGCGACAGCTGACTGGAAGCTTTCGATATGTCAATAGCAACGATATGAGCCTCATCATAAGATTGGATGAGTTCACACCACAGTTGCGTGGCGTACGCTAGGAGTCCCTCGTTGATCGCCGGTGTCGGAAACCATACTTCCTGTTGCTAATCAAGCGTGGTGTTCGAGATACTCTAGAAGCTCCCTATTTATACACTTTTCCATCACCTTGCTGATAACAGAAAGCAGATATTGGTCTGTAGTTGTAAGGGTCGGTCTTCGATCTTTTTTTGAGACATGCTGGACATGAGCAAATTTCCAATTTTCTGGGTAAGTATTAGATTCGTGCGAAATCTGGAAGAGTCGTGAAAGAACTGGAGCAAGCTCCGCTGCACATGTCTTCAGCACAATAGCAGGAATCAGGTCAGAACAAGGAGCTTTGTTGGTATCGAGTGACAGGAGTACCCTTCTTACGGTCTCATGTCTGAAGGTTACTCTCCGCATAGTGTATTAGGGACCTCTTGGCACACGGGGCGTTGGGGGGGGGGGGTCCTATGGCAGCAAAGGTCTTTGAAAGCACTTCTGACTTAATCTGAATATTATCGAATATTAATGATACCGACATTTGATTTGCATAAAAGCTCCTGACTTTCATGACAGTATTTCAGTAAAGCTAGTCTTCTAAGGATATCTCGATTCCAGGCTGAGTTCTCGTCTCATAGACAGTTTAGACTCAAAATATAAACGGAACGCCTAGATTTATGTAAATCTAACCATGCAACATCCACATATACACAGCTGAAACTTTTGACTTCCAGAAGGGGTGAAAATAGTGCCAGACAGTTTGTTACTAATTTTGTTTTGTTTGCATAATGGGTGAAATTGTATGAATAGCCTGCTGAGTTTACAGCCGTTATATACAAGAATGGATATTTGGTCGTACAGTCACTCCTTTTTCAGTTATTATGAGCCCCTTCCCACTTCAGTTGGCCCAACTATTGAAATCTTAGTTTTTTTCGTATCAAACACAAATAATAAAAATGTAGCAGGGTGTTATAGGTTTAAAATATTAACAATGAATATTTTGATAATATATAGTAGAAAACACCAACTTTATCACTCCCTAATCAAATTTGCAGCATAAAAATAACTCATGTTGCAATTACAGCATATCAACCTATTTTTATTTCAATGCAAAATAAATCTATAACGCATAGGTGGCTGTGAAAAATAAAAGCCATGACAATTGTTTTTATTAATCACAGCTGTCGAAATACGTTTAAAATAGTTTTGGGTAGTTAAGCTTTTCAAAATGGGTAGAGGAAAGGTTATTAGTGATAAAATTCGGTTACTGATAATTAAATTTTTTAATTCTGGGAAATCAAACTCAGAAATTGCAACTTTGTTAGACTTATCGCGGTACAGTGTGAGAAATATTGTTAGAAGATATACCGTAACCGGGTCAGTTAATATTAAGCCACGATATGTGAAAAAAGTAATATCACAATTGCTGACCGAAGAACATTAAGAAGAATAATCGTGAAAAACAGGCGTGAAAAAGTGAAATTTCCAGCATCCATTATGGTCTGGGGCAGTATGTCATCAAAAGGAGTAGGAAAACTTCTTTTTATTGATGAAAATGTGGATACAAACACATATTTGGCAATTTTAGAAGAATCGCTTTTACCAGTGATGGAAGAATGTTTGACATCCGGCCAAGATTTTGTGTTTCAGCAAGATGGTGCAGCGAGCAAAAAAGGCTATAAAATGGATGGAAGAAAATAATGTACCACTTTTGAAATGGGTTTCTAGCAGTCCCGATCTGTCACCTATTGAAACTTTGTGGCACGAGATGAAAAAGGTTCTACGACAACATCCTGCTCGTACAATCACCGAACTGAGACAAAAGCTTCAAGAAATATGGGATTGTTTTACACCAAATTTTTGCCAAAACCTTGGTTAACACTATGCCCCAAAGAATTTCAGCCGTAATAAAAAATAAAGGTGATGTTACCAATGGTAATCTTTGAATTGTTGCTTTGTTAACTTCGCGGATTTATTCGCACATTGTTTATTTGTTCAGATGTTCTATTAGTTATAGGTCTAAGTGATTTCAAATATGTATTTTTTACGACTAGAGTGTATCTAAAATGTTTTTGAGAAAATAAATTGTTTTAGAAGTAAATAGTTTCGTCATGTTTAGTTTATAAAGGCATATTTTGGTACAAATCTTGAAGTGGGGAACTGAAGTGGGAAGGGGCTCGTATAGGCCCAGTTTACGTATTTGAATTATCTGTGACGTCGATGTTTTGCAAGCATCTATAGCTAAGCTTTTTCCAGCAGATTGACATTTATGTCCCCGTAATAGACTTGAGCTGAAAGCAAATTGCGTAGTCGCTATCTATTAGCATACAAATTAAATAGACATCACTGGTGCCAGATCGAGCTTCATATCGCATGAGTAGGTAGTATAAAATAAAGCCACACAATCGTTCCGACTAGATTAGTTCTGATCAATTTATTTCCTTGATCAATTTGTACAAATACGAGGTCTGTAAATTAAGAGATGAGACTGATTTTTTTTAATTTTCTAATTCAAATATAATTACAATTTTATATTGTCACCCTCAAAATAACTTCCTTCTGAAGCCACACAGCGCTGGAGACGGTTCTTCCAGTACTCATAGCAGTGCTTGATGCAGCACCCAGTTGTTCTTAATCTGATGAACGGTGGCGTGAGTCAAATTTAACGCTTCCCCGATGATTCTGACTGTCAACCGACGATCCCGGATTCTGTCGAAATTTTCATCGGTTCTTGAAGATGAATGCCTTCTGCTTCGTGGTTCTTCCTCAATCGACCCTCTCCCTTCTGAAAATGTCTTAAACCACCGAAAAACTTGGTCTGATGACAAAACTCTATCTCCGTATGTCTGTTTAGCAAGAGTGTCCGTTCCACTGTGCCAAATTCTGAAGCAAAACCTGATGGCACACCGTTGCTTGGAAATGATGTCACTCATTTTTAGAACACAATAGAAAAAACTGCTTCACGAAAAAAAAATCGCTACGAACAACCAAATGACGCGAGCATGTTCAAACTTGTGCTGAAGGCGGGTCACACGTTTCCCTGACTCCCCTCCAGCGTTGCCAGATCGAACGCTACGTTGCCAGTCTCATCACTCAATTTACAGAAGTCGTATATGGCATCAAGGTAACCCAACACAATTATCGAATTCTAGCGATACCGAAAATTTAATTACAGTCCTTGTAGATTAGAATGAGCCAATCATTGTTTGTCGCCAAAATTCGGTAGTTCTAGGGCATTCTTTTGACTCATTTGTTTATCAATGTCTACCAAAGTGACAGCGTTGTATCAACATAATAATAATACTTACCGATGGAAACATCTACCTTGATTAGAGGTTTGCGCCACTCTTTGCAAATTGTGTAAGAAGCACCATGTCTTGAAATCGTCTAGCACTACCATTATCTGGAAAAACTCGCACTTTTAAAAAATAACACTAAATATACGAATTTAATGCCAGAACTGTAAAAAAATTGAGTTATGTTAAGTGTTATTTGATCACCTCTACACACTATGAGAATTAGAAGACAAACAAATCCTTGACTGGCTCCTTCTACCCTTCTGAATTCGTTGATTTGCACAGATATACATCCAGTGAGGTTAGGTATTACAATATATGTAGATGTTTTTGGATGAAAAGCTAAAAATTAAATTAATGAGTTAGCAGCTTGATGTTATCTCTAAAAGTCAAACTGCTCGTCTCTGAGCTGCTTCAACAGAACGTACAGGGTGCAACGTGTTCATTCCAGATCGTGGCGTCTGTGTAATTTTGAAGAGTATGATCATACGAATTCCTGTGATCTTTGCCCATGCGACAACTGGTTTTTGAGTTTCAAAATACACGCGTGGGTTGGTAGGTGTTTAATGTTTTTCTGGATGTCGCGAAAGCCTTTTACTAGGTGTTTTTTTTGTGAGGGGGGAATGCGTTTATGCACCATACCATAGCCCGAGCTACGGGGTGTGTGGGACTCCAGGTTGTCTTGAGGAGACCACCTAATACCCACTAAACCCTAACCTCCGCGTGGCCCGACTCATCAGCGTCTCGGTAAGGCCATGTGTTGTGCGTGACCTGCGGTCTGCTACAACGTGACTAGGTGTGACTCGCAGGCCTCCTTTATAAACGTATTCAAAAGGGTCTATTAAAGCTACTCAAATCCTTCCTAAAAGGAAGGAAATTCAGAATAAAAATTGACAATGTATTTTCTAAAACACGAGGGTTGAGAGTTCCGTAGGGATCGGTCTTAGGACCAGTTTTATACTCGATTTTCATTCACGACGTCCCCCATTCCATCGACTGTGAAGACTACCTCTAGGCCGACGACACCGCATTAGTATAGCCCAGTCATGTTCTAGTGACAAAGTCCATGACAGGCTGCAGGAAGCGGAGGAGGAGGTTTTCTAGTGGGCGAATCGGTGGCTAATCATTAATTTATCAAAAACACAGGCTATATATTTTACAAGAAAGCGTCGTGGTGTCCCGTCAGAGATTACCGTGGATATCGTTTAGGTACCATGGGCTAACTTCGGCGACTGTATCCCCTTTTATGTAGAACCTCAAAATTGAGTTTGGTCAATAAGAATGGGGTATACAAAACCATCATCAGACCTGCAATAATCTACGCATGTGGGGCTTGGTGCAATTTAGCTGTCAAATATGCGTAGACTACGAGGGATGTCTTTTAAGTTTTGCATATGGAAATAAAACAACACGGTATTGTATAAGTATAGTATTGTAAGTATTCTCCATGAAGATTAATACACATCTGCATGCGCTCAAACCAATTTTCGAAGCGTCAATTGCTTCTTCTGGTGACTGGAACCTTTGATCACGCAGTCTGTTTTTAATTTTCGTAAAAGTAAAGAAATCGTTAGGACTAAGATCGGGATTGTATGGAGGATGGTCCAATAATTCCACGTTTTCTTCCGTTAAATACTGCCTTGTTTTTTGGGCTGTGTGCGAGCTTGCATGGTCTTGGTGGAGGATGTTTCTTCTTTCGGGGTTGATTTTTCGAAGCTTCGTGATGACTTTTGGCAAACAAATGGTGGTATACCAATCCGCAGTAACAGTTCTTTGCTCATTAAGAGGAATTGTTGCAATATGACCCGCTTTCGATACAAATGTCGCGACCATCTTTTTCGAAACACTTTGTTGTCTTTTCTTCACCTTGGAACACCCAAACAGCCGACTGTCGTTTATTTTCTTGTTCATAACAGTAAATTCACGATTCATCACGACTAACAATGCTGTACACATTTTTTGAGTTTCCGGAATTGAAACGGTCAAGCGTTTTTTGACACCAATTAACCCTGACTGCTTTCTGCTCTTCAGTCAACAGGTGGGGTATCCAACGAGAAACTAATTTTCTTACTCCTAATTCTTCATGTAAATTTTTTTGTATTGTAGTCTTTGAGATCTTCAAGGACGCCTCAATCTCGCGATATGTCACATGTCTATATTCAATGATGAGTTTGCGCAAAGCATCGACGTTTTCCTGGGTGACTGGCGTTTTTGGTGCACCCACCCTGGGATCGTCGCTAACACTCACCCGTCCATGTTTGAATTCTCCATACCAACAGGAAATTGTCGACTGATGTGGCGCTTCATTGCCGAAAACACACAGTAACTCAGCAAGGCATTCTTGTTGCGATAATTGCGCCTCCTACTATGTTTCTATATGCAAAACTTAAAAGGCATCCCTCGTACAAGTTCTGCAGAGCAGAGCTCTCAGAACAATAATTAATGCCCCACGGTATGTATAAAACGATACCATCCAAAGAAATCTTGACATCCTCTACCTTAAGGATACATCATAGGTATGATGAGATACGCATTCCAGGTCGCGGCTCGCACTGTAAGTAAAATTAGGTTCATGTTTAGACCTTCAAAAATATAGTTTTAAAAACCAAACACCCAAAATATAGTTCAGGACAAGTCAAAATTTATATAGTACAATGTAACAATCCCTAGATCTATCTCACCTCAGTATTTACATAAAACAACTACTTTTCTTTCTCTCTCGTTCCTACTTCCCTTTCTCCCTCTCTCCTTTCCTCTTCAACAGTGGTCGCCAACCTTTTCTGTGAGTTGAGCTACTTTGATAATTTTGGAATAAACAGTGAGCTACATAGTCGTAAGCAATGTAAGCCAACTTAGATGAAATTATACACAGTTGTATGCGACATACATGTGTTTATTTTATTAATACTAATATGTACATACTAATAAACTTAAATAAACTAATAACTAATACATACTACACAACTACATCCATTCCTACCAATCCTAGGTGTTTGAAAAATAAACAAAATCTTCGTCAGCATGTCAAATACGATTTAATGAAGGTAACTGAAAATAAAAAAAGCAACGCACTATTTTAAACAAAAACATGTCCATATAAAAACATGCCTGTTCAATGAGAAGCCTGACACTCAGACTGACTGACAATTTTTTTAATGCTTGGAGAATAATTTGATACCGTCATTCGAATACAATTATCCAAACTTTCATCTGTAAGACGATTACGGTATTTGTCTCTAATAAACTCCATATTTGAAAAAGATGATTCACACAAATTGGTTGAACTTTCACTTTAGCACGACATAAAACTGAATATTTAACTTTACTTACTGAAGATCAGATACATTTTGTATTTGAGACTAATGATTTTAAAGCTAAATCATTTTGAAACGCAATCACTTCCATTTCAGAAATTGCAAACTGTTGCATATCAATTTCCATGAAGGGTGAAACAACCAATTGCACGATTTTTCAAGTTATCCTTCAAGCTAGAGACTATTTCTACATGATATTTACTGTCATAGGGTTCTAATAGACTTTGATATATCTTTTCTGAAAGAACAGGAAAATGCCTGGTATCGCCATCGATTAAGTTTTATTCCCAAAACTCAACCTTTTTGATGAACGCTTTTATATCAGGAATCATTTCTGCAGTTCTTTATCTCCCCCCTGAAGCTGCAAATTAAGTTCATTTAATTTTTCTAATATCCGAATGGAAATGGTATGTCTTCGTCTTCTTACACTGCTCATAATGTTTTTAATTGCAGGCCAACTCTAACCCAACCGTGTGCCGTTCCCTGTTAATCTTAATGCACTATCGCCGCACCTAGTTTCAAGTAATGTTAAAAAGTAGACTACTAAATTAGTATTCACTGTAAATACCTCAAAATATCGGAGAAAAGCCAAAAATATTTAAAACCAGAGGTGTTCAAGTTAAGAGCAGGAAGAGGTACGTCCGTGGACCTGTTGGCGATAGTTTCCAGAGCCGTGGGAGTAATCTTCAGCCATTTTACCATATATTCCATTTTGTCATTTGGACATTTCGTCAATAGTGTCAAATCAAATTAAGAAACTAGTCTACAGAGTGTATAGGGTAATCCGGAAATAGCCGCTGGAATAAGGGAACATGAGTCAGACTGTACGAAAGAAGAATAAAAACATGAAAGATCCTGAAGAGGGGGATAATGTAGAAAAATACAGTGATAACAACGAAAAACTGTCGGACGGAAAAGAACGATGGTCTTGCCCAGCCTGTTGTAAACAGGGACGAGTTACCCGAAGCGGATCCACCTCTTCCACATGCGGTGCTCGTTCAGAAACCACTGCCCCTTTACAACCAGATCAGTCTACCCCTACCGACACTCTCACCTTTATACTTAACCAATTATCAACTATGGCCAGTGACATAAAGGATATCAAGAACTCTCAATCTCAACTCAGAACTGATGTTGTTAATAGCGGCCTGCGAAACCAACATACAAAATATCCAGGTTACTCAAACAGAGCTGTCTTCTAACATTGCTAATATTGAATCGAGACTTGCAAGATCTATGGAGACGATGCACTCAGGCAACGGCGCTTCTTCTACCCCTATTGCCCCAAGCTCCCAAGCTGAGACAATGGAGTTATTTAGACGTTCCCACAATATCATTCTGAGGGGCATAGCTGAAGGGAACGATGACATAAACATAGTATCAGAGATATTTAGGCATATTGAACCATCTGGCGAAAATCACCGACTCAACATCACTCGCCTTGGCAGAACAACTTCAAGCAATCGTTTAATTAGAGTTGTGTTTTCCTCACCTATTATCGTCAGCAATATTTTTCGGAAGAAAAACTCCATCCTTAGCCACCCCACGCTTCGTCACGTAAAAATCTCTGACGACAAAACCAGAGGTCAAATGCAAGAGCTACAACACCTTCGCGAAGAGCTTAGACGTCGTCAAACAACAGGCGAAAGTAATATTACTATAAAATACGTTCGTGGTAAACCTTCTATAGTACACACAGCAGCTACCCAGGAGATCACACCTTCAAAAAACTGATAAATTCTGTGGCAAACTGGACGGTTTGTTACACTAATATACAATCTCTCTTTTCTAAGCTACTTGAACTCCAAGCATTTGTTCGAGACAATAATCCAACGTTCGTTTGCCTTACTGAAACATGGCTCCATTCCAACGTGTCCGACTCTTCCATCAATTTGCCTGGATACTATTTATACAGAATGGATTCACCACGCACTCCTGGTTTTGGTGGAGTATGCATTTATGTTCGCACGGAAATCGCGTCGGCTTTCTCGGTATCTCCCTCTTTCAGTCCCTTCGATGGCATTGACAATCTATTTTTGGAATTGAGGTGCCCAAATTTCAGCTTCACAATAGGCTGCATATATCGGCCACGGCCCTGTTTAGGAGACACACACCTGTGCAGTCTCATTTCAGATCTCTTAAATAAAAACACCAACCTTTTCATAGCTGGTGACTTCAATCTACGTGACATTAGCTGGCCTATGTCAACCATTCCTGAATGCAATTCTTCTTCTGCTGCTTACATCGACTTGCTACGCAACTCTAGCATATCTCAACTTGTTGATCGTCCAACGAGATTCAGACAAGGACAGACGCCTAGGGCTCTGGATTTGATATTCGTTAACGACGCCGACTTTGTTTCTAATTTAGATTATTTGCCACCTTTTGGCAAGTCTGACCACTGTTCACTTGTATCTTCTCTCCAGTTCAATATAAATAGTCGTTCTACAACCGATAAGTTTAAAACCATCAAAATTGTAAACCACGATGCTCTTAACCAAGCCCTGTCTGAAGTCAACTGGCCTGCTTTGCTTAACAACCGTAGCACCTAAGATATGTGGGACACTTTCGCTCAACGAGTCCTAAGCAAAACGGCTGACAATACTGTTGAAAAGAAGGTATACTGTGACCCCTCAAAGCCCTGGATCAACTCTAACATATCGAGGATGCTTCATCACAAGAGATCTTTGTGGCAACGGTTTAGGAGGAGTGGCTATTCACAATATTAAGTGTCTCATCGATCCTTTTCTAACCTCCTATCTAGAACGTTACATAATGCCAAACATGCTTATGAACGAAAATTCGTTACCTCCAAAAATAAGAAGAAGCTGTTTCGGTATCTAAGAACAAACCTGAATTCCAAAGTTTCATCACCTCAGATCCGCGACGCTGACGGTCATCTCCACATGGAAGCCATCGAATCTGCCAACTTACTGGTAGAGTCCTTTAGTGATGACTTCGTCGATGAGCCTAATGGAGACCTTCTACCGACCACTATCTGCCATAGGTGTCCCAACAGCCTTTGCGAAGTTGAGTTCCTGCCTGAAGATGTATTAATGCACCTGCGAAATCTGAAGACCTCTTCCTCCCCTGGTAAAGATGGGATGACGGCTGCTGTACTTAAAAACTGCGCTTCAGCACTGGCCCTACCATTAAGCTTGATATTCACATCGTCTTTTAGATCTCATACCCTACCCTCATGCTGGCTTAGTGCTTCTGTTACCCCTGTATTCAAAAAGGGCGACAACTCCTCCGCTAAAAATTATCGACCAATAAGTCTCGTTCCTATCGCCGCCAAAATAGCTGGAAGTATCATATTAGATAAACTCCTGTCATTTGCTTTCGAAAATGACCTTATCCTTAAGAATCAGCATGGATTTCTCCCTGGTCGATCAATAATGACCAACCTTCTCTACTCTCTCAACGATTGAACTCAGTATCTGGACACAAAGACTCCTGTTGATATAATCTACTTAGATTTTTCTAGGGCTTTCGATCGCGTACCACATAGAAGGCTTCTGTTTAAGTTGGAATGTATGGGAATAAGAGGCGAGTTGTTACTGTGGATTAAGGCTTTTCTCACCGGGAGGACTTTCTCTGTGCGCGTCAGTGATAGCCAGTCTCACCTTCATCATGTAGCAAGTGGAGTTCCTCAAGGCTCTGTCTTGGGGCCAGTGCTGTTCCTTCTGTATACAAGTGACCTGCCCGCATTAATTTCCTCCACATGTTCAGCTTATGCCGACGACACCAAGATTTACAATACTGTCGTAAATTCTGCTATGCTTCAACGAGATCTTGATATTGTTTGTCAATGGTCAGTCAGTTGGCTTTTACCCTTAAATCTAACTAAGTGTTGTGTCCTTCACCTCGGGAAGACAAATCCGCGATTTACATACAAGATCTCTGACCACAACATCGAAGCAGTTTCCAGCCACACTGATCTGGGCGTTGTAGTCAACGATCGTCTTTCCTGGTCAGAGCATATTCACCACGTTACATCAAAAGCCAAGAAACTTCTATACATGCTGGAGAGGTCTTTCAAAGGATCCGATGTCAACACTTGCGCCTACATTTTCAAGGCATTCGTGAGGCCAATTCTTGAATTCGCTGGCCCGGTATGGGACACTGTGCTTCTGCGCGATAGAAATCTCGTTGAATCAGTACAGCGTCGGGCTACTCGTATCCCTTTTGGAGCACGAAGACCAAGCTATGAAGATCGCCTTGAATTATTCAACCTGACCTCATTCTCTGAGTGAAGACTTCGTGGCGATCTTATAGTTACGTTCAGGATACTTCATGGTTTGATGGGCACCAACCTCATGCATCTATACCGTCTGTCGCGCAGCAATCTACGCGGACACAGCTTCAAACTGCATAAGGAGCCATTTAAAACAACAGTCCGACAGTGGTTTCTTCCCAACCGCATATTCAACACCTGGAATAGTTTACCTGAAAGTGTGGTTGGTGCTACTTCAGTTAATAGCTTCAAAGTGCATTATGATAGCTGGAGGAGTGTATAAACTTTATAGCTATGAACTGTCTTTTTTTATTTTTTTCTATTTGATGTATTTGTGTTACGTGTCCGTACACTATATTTACTGCATGAGCTTATAGTACTGTGTACTCTGCTCATCTCAATTATCATAATAATAATAATAATAATAATTTATTCCGTTCAAAGTAATCGAGATCGACACATTTACGGAAGCTTCTATGATTTTTACACCTTTTTAAAATATGTTGTGAGCCACCAGAATTGCCTTTGCGAGCTACCGGTAGCTCGCGATCGACGGGTATGTATCAAACGATAACATCCTTAGAGTTTTGACCTCCTCTATCTTAGGGACTACATCATAAGTATGGCATAACGTTGCTACCAGCAAAAGGAATTGCACAGCAACGCTTTGTTGCGTGAGGCAGTGGATTACACAACCGAGGCCGCGGCTAAAACTGTGATCAAAATTAAATTGATGTTTAGGCCTTCAAAAATATAGTTTTAAAAACCAAACACTCAAAATTTAGTTCAGGACAAGTCTAAATTTATATAGTCCAAAGTAACAGTCCCTAGATATATTTCACCTCAATATTTAATATAAAACCATTACTTTTCTTCCTCTTCTCGCTCCTGCTTCTCTTTCTTTCTCCCTCTCCCCTTTCCCCTTCAGCTTGTCTGGTTTTTGGGCCACCAGACCTCACAGACCACTTACGGTGGTGAATGTGCAGCATGGTGTTTTCTTGCCAAAACGCATATGCGTTTTGCAGAACAGAACCTTGCGAACCATCACTAACGCACCATGGTATGTCTCCAACGAGACCCTTCACAGAGACCTCGACATCCTTTACCTAAGGCACTACATCAAATATCAGGCGGAGTTACGTTATAGTCAAGCGGAATCGCACAGCAACCCTCTGTTGCGTGAGTCAGTAGACTACAAAGTCGAGCAAGTTCGCAAGCACACAAGACCGCGGTTCGCACTGTGATCAAAATCAAATCGTGCAATTCTATATCCAACAAAATTACGATTTTTGCCACTCACAAATTCCTAAACTAATTTTTGGATTAATTTAAATTAACCGAATCCCTTTAACCGGCGCACTTCGCCCTCTTTGCTCTTCCCCCTTCCTTCCTTTCTTTCTTCTTCCTTCCTTTCTCCCTGACTTCGTCTGGAATCTGGGCAACCAGACCTGACAGACCTACTGATCTACGATACTTTAACAAAGAGTGAAAGTCCCACGGACCGCTCTGACGGACAATGACGAATAGATGAGATAACCTCACAGACTTACGGCAGACACTGAAATTACAGTGACTATGACCTAACGAATCGGACCGCCTTGAGAAGCAACGACGAGTAGTAGGAGTTTTATGTCAGCCTCTAATGACATCAAATGGACACTAACATTAACAGCTTCAAGTGTCCTTGAATGGGCTCGTAGACAAAGCGACTGACAACTAGATAGAATACTTCCTCAGATTTTTTCTACAATAATCTACACATTAAGTTGCAATATAATGTATTAGTGGGTGTTTTTAAAACCAGTTTGTAATTCCACACACAATATGTTGATAATACATCTAATTTTATCCCAGTCGTTGGGTTGTAATAGAACCACTTTATCGTCTTTTGTCTCGCAATACATTTTGTTTAGTGGTACTTCATTCACTCTGGCATTTGTGTGATTTGTATTATTTTATAAAATA